CCAGATTCTCTGAATCTTTTAATGATACCTACAATGAAACCTACTAATTCTTGGATATTTCAGCTATTAGCTCGCTCAGTCTCTCTCGCAGTGGTGAACCTCTTCCCATCTTTCCTTCCAAGAGACCCAGCCTCTCTGATTGTCCTTTTTATGTCTTGTCATTTAAAACGTGTTAGAAATTAACCTCATTGTTTGGAGATGTTTCTTCAGGTCTCTGTTTTTACCAGTAAACACCTATTTTTCAGAGGCACAAACTTTCGCCTCTGAATAACAAAGCATAAAAAAATAATCCCAGCCCCTGCATGCCCTGGCAGCAGAAATGCCCGTGGAGCTTTAAAGAGGAATTAAAGGATGCAGGGAAGAAGATATATACAGGATTCAACTATGTGTATACTTGGCAAAGCTGTGTAACTAGAGATTATTATCCCCTGCGGTGTGAGGGGGGTCACTGTGAGGAGGGGTCTGCTGCTCAAAACAACACGGGACACCCACCAAGTTACACTGAGAACAGACAGCAAACAGGCTTCAGCTCCATTTTGTCAGCGAAGCTCAGATGAAATGATTGTATTGTTTGTGATATAATGAGTGTTTTAGAGCAGAAGCAGACCGTATTCAGAAATTGCAGGTTGGTACACTGTAATCTGGGCTTTGTTGTCACTGTTGGCATGCAGCGACTTAAACTGAAATGTCATGCTGAATTACAAGTCCTTAGCTACACATGGGCGTCCATTAGACCTGAAAGAGCTGGAATTTGATTTATTGTTGCTCTATTTTGCTTTGACAAGCCAAAAGAGGTGTAATCGATCACCCAACTAGGCTGTTAACTACAATGTTAATTTGTTTTTCTTTATAATTCAGCTCATGAATCACAGCGGCAGTGGCACAGAGAAGCAGAGACAGTAATTTAGAAAGCATAATCCAAACTATACCTTACACTGAAACTAGTTGGCTGTGTTTATTTTGAGATACAGTACAATATATTGATCTGATATTTTTAATTTCCTGGAGTTCCTTGAAGTTGTATCTAATCTCTCTCATCTAATATAATACAATACAAGAACTTTATTTTTTCACTAAAACAGTGGTGGTGAGGAAGTGGCTCTGTAAGCTTCTTTGACATTGGCGTACAGCAGATTCAGGGTTTTGTTTTCTTTGGTAGGACAGTTAACAAACTGTGTAAATCCAGTCAGGTGAGAGGAGAGGGTGACACGGTTGAAGTCTCTTGATATTATTACAACTGCCTCAGAATGTTTAGTTTGTATCCTAGGAACAGTTTCATGAAGAACATCACATGGAACTTCAGCTGTTGCCTTAGGTGGGATGTAAACAAGTATTGTAATGATATGACTGAACTCTCTTGGAATATAATATGGCGGAAGGGCAACTGCTAACAGTTCAATATCTGGACAACACATCCTCTCCTTGACAGTTTTGTGTGAAGAGCTACACCATCTCTGGTAGACAAATAAAGCCAGACCTCCTCCTTTCTTCTTGCCACTAGCTTTAGCATCTCTGCCTGACCTTATGGGAGGTAGATTCACACTGGACTCTGAGTTATTTTGATTCAACCAGGTTTCAGTAAAACACAGGTATGCTTTCTCAGTTTTCACCAATAACTCCAGCAGTTGGGCAGAGAGTTGACGTTTCCCATGATGACTGAAAGAAAGGGTTTATATCTCCACCTCCTAGCCTTTAACTCTGCTTTCACCTTTGCACCAGCAGGGCAACCATGAAAACACCTCCAGATGTCCGCTCAAATTTGGATGTTGTTGTCCAGATTTGCTCTGTCTCAATGAAAAAAGCTTACTCTTGAATTAAATAAAGTATCCTTCAATGGGGGACAAAATATGATAAAATTATAAAAATTATAGTAAAATTAGCATAAAATTCAGAGAGACCAGACTTTGCTCCTACTTGGTTGAGTGCAGGTTGTGGAAGAGGATGTCTGCTTCATCAGTTTTATTTGACCTAACAGTGGGGGAGGACCATTAGGACAAAGATGTTGATGCAAATATCATGGAATGCAGTTTTCCTAATTCCCTGAAATAAAACCTGACTTTAATTTATGAATAGAAACAAAGATTTTGACTGTGGTTCTCTTTTCTATTGAGGCTTTATCTAAAAAAATGATGTATCACCTTTTACTTACTAAATACAGTGAAACTGATGATGAGCCAAGATGTTGGCGATCTAATAACTCACTAGCTGTATCTACTTTGAAACTGAGACATACCAAAAACAAATAAATGACTAGCAAAAAGGAGGCCTCTGTATAACTTACTATTTGTGTATACTTTGAAGCTGAAAGTTGCATAAACTTCTGAAAAGTCAGCCTTCATGAAGCCTCTGAGTAACTTACTAATTACAGTAAAGCTGGGATTCACCAAAAAGCCATATAAACCAAAACAAAGTCTCTGAATGAACTTAATATTTGTATTCACAATAAAACTGAGACCCACCATCACAGATGACTAATAAGCCAGAATGAGACCTCTGTTTAACTTACTATTTTCTTTAGATCTGAGACTACCAGAAACACACAAACAGCTAGCCAGATTTATGTGAAGTCTATGTATAAGTCATGGTTAACACTGAAACTGAGACCCACCAGAGACTGCTAAATGGGGGATTCTTGTATCATTAAAATGAACCAGGAAATGACTGTGGTACAAGCCTTAAATGTTGGCAACACAAAAACTCCATACGTTTTTTTCAGGCTCATTTGAATATTGAAAATCCATCAAAATCAATTTCTTACCGTTTATGATCAGGGAACATGAACAGCCTTTTACTGATGAGCATCACAGGAACAGGGACCGTCCGGTATTATTATTGTCCCTCTGCGGTCTGTGACACTTAACAAACCCATGAGATGGATGCATGTCCTGGAATATCTCAGGCAGGTGTCATTGTAGTTAGCTGAGCTCATCGAATGACAGGTGGCTGATGGATCACTGGAGTGGTGGTACTGTTGGGGGAGAAGGGTTAAAAGGTTGAGCCAGAAGAATCCTGGATAAATCTGTGCTGGATCTGAACATAGTGCTTTCATATTTTTTCATGCACCTGATTTATACATCTAACCTCAGCCTCAATTCCTGCACCAGGTGGTTTAGCAGTAGGACTCTTCTACTACACAGATGGAGATGAAGCCACGCATGACATGGACTCTTTTGGTCCACTTTTATCTACAGAGTCCAAACTTCTGGGGGGAGTTTCAGAATAAAGCGAGAAGTCTTCCTGTAATTCAAAGATTTACATATTGACACATTAGGATTGGGCAATCATATGATTGTGATCGATGATCGTGATAAATTTCAGTTCAATCATGATCAGCTGTGAGCATATTTACTTGATCAAACATAGCGGAAGGGTGCGTCACAACAACCAGTCAGAGTCGAGCTTTTCCTGCTCAATTCTGTAAGTTGTCGGAGAAGTAAACAGGAGAAGTAAACAGAATGACCGAACATGGAGCTAAACGTGGAGCTGAGGGCAGCAAAATAGATGTCAGCCGTGACTTTGAGTTATTCTTTGAAGATGTTATTGTTGAGAAGTTGTTCAACGTCGGTTGTGTGGTGGTGGTTTGGGTATCCCCAAAGTGACATTGCGCAATTAAGCCGATGTGCAAGGTATGTCGGCAATCGGTGCCCTTACTGTTAAAAAAACAATGACAATCTATTCACAAGAGTTTGTATTCTTAATTGGGTGAACATGAAAATTAAAAAAACTGTTATTTAACAAGAAAATAAATGTCAGACCAACAATGTGCACCTCAATAGAGACCAATGTAATTCTAAATTAGCAGAATTTGCAATTTGTTGTTTGCACAATGAAGTAGGAAAAATTCCTGTAATGCAGTTCTGACATTGACCTATGAGGTCTGCCGAAGAAGATCTAAAGGGTTTACCACATTCCGTCGCAAGGGCAAGTTCTCCCTCATTGTGTGTCACGGCCAGCAGCGCACAGGGAGAGGAAGACTTTTTTGAGTGGACCAGCTTAGTTATTTAAGTATTTTGTGTGAAAATAATCTTGTCTGAACTGTATTAAGTGTATTAACTAATAGAGAATGCGGTGTTGTTCTGCTTTACCAAATTTACTTAAGTAAATTTAAGTAAATCGACGCGATCGACTAGCGCCTTTTTATACGTGCTCCAGATGATTAGCAAAAGCAAAATCAGTCTATGATGCTCCATGACAGGCGAAGACAGCAGAGCGGGGGTTGTTTTCCCGCATAAATTTATGACCAATAACCAAACGCTATTCGCGGTCATGTGACTTCCAGTTCTGTTTTCTGGAGCGATTGAGTTTGTCCTTTGAGAACACAAACCAGACCAGTTAAACAATCAAAACAAAAGTATCGTCTTGCCTTGGATTCGAATCAGGAAACGGACCTTTAGGTGTGAACACGACCTACGTGTATCTTTTTTCAATTTGCTTTGTTATTTACTTTGTATGTTAATAAAATGTTGAACTAATTTCTCGTTTCTTTAATTTTTTGTACAGATGCTTTAAAACAGGCAGTTACAAAAAATAGTCAAGATCGGACGATATGACAAAATATATCGTGATCTTTTTTTTTTTTTTTTTTTGCCAGATCGTCCAGGCCTATGATACATGCAATGAATTGATCACAAAGCCTGATATGAGTTTGGTTATTTTTAATCACTTTAAAACACCTGAGTCCTTTCTAAATAAGGACCAATGATGTTTGGAGAGTTGAAAGCGTGAGTGTGATTTATTCAGACAGACTGTATTTCACTGGTGCATGTGACACAAGTTAAAACCCTGATAATTTCTGACTTTTTACCTGCACACACATATCTGCTGCGCTCAGCCTGGATATGTATAGAGCTGCATGTCTGCCTCTGTAGGTTTTCTGTCCGTCTTCCGGACGTCAGAAGAACGCATAGCGTCTCCAGTACCTGATTGGCCATCGCTGCTCCGCCCTCCTGCTAGGTAACTTGTGGAGAGTTTCGGGCGGAGCTGAAGGAGGAGTAACGGTTTATATTGGGGAGCCCTCGCAGCGCACGGACCTGGGTTTCTCTGCGACGGGTCCGGGACGTGGTCACCACACGGAGACGAAAGGAAAAAGGAAACGTCTTTTTACCTGGAAATAAATCGATATATAAATCAATAATCAAAGATGCCTGCCAATAAAGACGACGGCGGATGGAAGCAGTTTGTGTGGAACTCTGAGAAAGGAGAGTTTCTCGGTCGTACCGGAGGCAGTTGGTGTGAGTATGGTCGCCCGGGGGGTTTGTGAAGAAATGGTGGGGGCGCGCTCTCGCAGATGTTGAGAGCGCGCACCGGTCGCCTCGTGTTTCCTACCACCTGTTTGATTTGGTGCATTCAGGGACACATGGCCGCATTAGAGCGCCGCTAAACCGAGAGACCGAACTCCATTCAGTGTTAAACTTTGTCAGAACGGATCCCCACAGGTTGAGGTGTTAGAAAGTGGTCCTGTCTGAGGAGGTTAGGGGTTCTGTGGCTGTTTTTACGCACTCAGAGCGCGCAGACTTGGCGCTGCATGCGGCCAATGAGCGGACCCCTGTCTGTCTGTTTGTTGTCAGGACGTCAACTTTTTAATTTGGGAAGGTTTTGAAAGGGTTAAAAATGCATCATGGTCCAAGGTGAGTCAAGGTGATAGGGCCTGCTCAGGAAACGGAGCGCGAGGACTATCGATCCGTGTCGGGTTCCTGTGATCAGATGTCTCTGTAATCTAACGAACAATACAACTGATTAACTCGCTCGACCTTTCGTCTCCTGTTTCCCTGACAGCTGTGTGCACTGCGCATGTCCTTGCTCCTCCGCCTCTCAATGTCACACACACACTCACACAGAGACACACTCCTACACAACCACACACATACACACACACTTCAGCCCAGTCTAGACTCTGACACCTGGGTAAAAATAATGATTCACTGACATGGTGTCTGCTGCAGAAGTCCTGCTCATGAGTGGGAGTGTGGGAGTGTGTGTGTGTGGCTCATATTTGTCCTTCTGAGGTCATCTGAAAATGCTGATGCATTGGGTAAAGTGCCATGCGCAGCTCTCTGTGATGAAGGTGGGGATGGAAGGACATCCAGCCTGATGTGGGACCTCCTTAAAAGAAGTTTGCATCATCACACATGAAGTTAGCGTGTGTCATGAGTGCAGTGTACTCCTCTGAGCCAAAACGTCTTGTGAGGAGCTGTAAAGTCCCACAGGAGTGTCCCTGCATCTTTTTAAAGCCTAAATAATGTCATTTATCATCCGTGTCAGGCTGTTGTGACCTTTTGTCATTGCTTCATGCGCCAGAAATCCAGCCTGCATGAGTGTCGAGCCTGTTAGTGCAGATAAGAGAGTTCTAACAGTCTTTTACCCCTCAATGCACAGACTTTACACTTGATTTCCCCCCCAAAATCTTTACGGACAAAGGCTGCCACTGTCCCGTTTGATACTGAATGCAGGCTTTGTAGCTCCTCTGTTAGCATGTCTGTGTCCGTCAGACAGATGCTGGAGAAGACTACGTCATGTTGAAATGACTTTGAGGATGTGTGAGTTCAAAAAGCATCACTGTATCATCATTATGGTCCATAATATGCAAATTGATGGGAAGTTTTGTACTCATGTTAAACTTTTTTGAGCTTCCCAGCACGTAGCTCAAAGCAGCAGAAAGTGCTCAGAAAAAGCGATAAAACAAAGAGAGAACAAAGTTGGAAAATTTAGTTTTAATGTTTTGTTGCAGGTCACATATGAAGAGCGACCGCTTCACAGAAAAGCTTCTGTAGCTTTACGAAATGGAACTTTTACACAGGATTAGGTGTGCTGTTGTGAAATAGATGTCAGTTATAGTCTCGAATAGTGTATGAATGCCCTCAAAGGTTCATTAGATCCATGAGAGGCCATATTTGCAGCAGTTGTAACCTTGAGTCTGTATCAGCCCGGCTCACTGCAGATGGTCCTCCATTTTTCTGCAGGAGTCGTCAGGCTCAGTCTGGACTTTATTACTGACTCTGGATAAGATCTTTGGTTTCGCTCTGGGTCTGAAATTAAACATTTCTGTCTGACACTGTGGAGAAGATTTAAAACTACAAACACGGAGGCGAAGGGACTGTTCTGTAGAGATTTATCTAACATTTCTGAGCGTAATAGTAAGAGAATGAGCTATAAGCCGTGGTTTAAGGTGGCCTGAGTACAACAGGAAGTATTTATTGTCTCTGCACCTTGTCCTTAAAACTGAGTGTGCACCTTTCTATCAATTCTACAATGCCTGAAGTAAATCAGCCGGAGTGTTTGAACAGAAACACTCCAGCAGCTTTATTCGAGGTAGATTTCATCAGCGTTTGCTAAGATCCGGGTGTATTTCGGAGGTGGTACACTCTGAATTCTGTCCTGTGCTGTGACCTTTGTCCCCTCCAGAGTAACCTTCTTTCTAAAGCTGTTCCTGTGCAGAGTAGCTTTGCAGATTTTTCAGCGTATTTGTTGTATTTTCGGCATGTTTTTGACCCTTCGTGAGTTCACACATCCTTCCCCCCTCCCCTTCCACCTTTAGCCTCATGCCAGGGCTGTTGTTAGCCTCCTGATGTGTAGAATCAATCAATTAAAGCTGCTCCTCAACAGCCTAGAAGCCGAATTTAATTATTTATGGTCCCATGAGAGCAACGGCTCTTCTGTCCGTCATGTGAGCGCGTCCTGAACAGCAGCCGCTCTCTGAGCGTGCAGCTGTGGAGGTGACAGAAAACATGCAACTGTGACTGTACACACACTCCCTACAGCTGCTCCACATGACAGAGTGTGTGCACACATCTGGTGGGTTTCCTCCCACACACACACACATGTATCGGAGGATGTCTGGTTTGTTAAACTGTTTGGTTTTACTCCAACGGCTTGACAAGGACTCATCCGTCACACCTTCATGACACAGAGGTCACCTCCTGAAACATCTCACGACTCCTCTGCTAATTAAAACTTGTATTCAAGCTTCATGAAGATCTGAAAAACTAATTAAAATAATCACCAAATGTGTCTTTATCCTTGTAATCGGCTTTAGGAATTAACTTGAGGAGGAAAAAAAGGTCAAATTATCTTTATCCCGTGTCTAAATAAAAAGAATAATTTTGGATTTTATCCTTTCATTATGGAAGAAAAGTTAATACGTTTAAGCTTTAACCAAAACATAACATTCATGGACACTTAACTGATTAACAACACATCTTTTAGCAGAGAAAACAGCCAATTAAAAAGTATTTGTTGAGGTTAAATCATAAATTAAAGTTTGCAGGTCTACTTAACTGCATTCATTCATTAATAAATCATAAATCATTTGAAAATTACTCAAAGTAAACATTATTGGTTACATTTCCCCCCCTAAAACTAGTATTTAACATATTAGAGCTGATCACAATGTTACATTTGAGTTTATTTTTTTGATTTAGACTGCAGCAGCTCATCTTTTATCAGTCATTACGGTTAAAACATTGTAAAGTTAAACTTTTGTTTTTTCATGCCTAATACATCCAAAATATGCTCAAACTTGTTTTAAAAAAATCGATGAATCCAAGTGAAATGACTTTCAGTTTCAGTTTGATATAAAACAGAATTAAATTTAATAATAATGCAAAAAAAAAAAAAAGTATTTAAAAGAAGAAAAAGTCACTTAGTTCTCAAAGGCTGTTATCTGAAACCTCTGTGGGGTGTCAGCTTAAGTCATAGATTGCACGCAGTTGAAACAGTTGATCTTTGTTTTATATGCTCCACAGCAGATACTCAGTGATGATGTATTTTGCTAAAAAAAAAAGAAAAAAAAGGGAGTTGTCGGGCGGCCGTCATGAGGGCGATAGTTCACTTAGGGTTCAACTCTAACCAGTCATTCTTGTGTCCTGCTTCTTCTGTGGCCCTTTTCCTCTTTCAAAATTAATCCACAGACGAGAGAATTAAACATGTAGAAGACATAATCAAAGACTGATTTGTCCAGAGGGGGCGCCAGAATCAACACTTCCCAGTCCCTCACTGAGCTTAAACACATCACACTAAAGTTATTTTTACGTTATGGGTTTTCCCTCACCTTCTTTAACCAGAAAATCCTAATTTAATCGAAAAATATAAAGTTTAACTTGTTTTTTTCCACTCGCTGTGTCATATTTATTATCATTGTAGTGATATCATCATCTGTTTTTACTCTGATTTCTTAAGTTCCCTGTGCTCCCGGACTAAAACCTGTGTTTTATTCCTCCTCCTCTGCAGTTAAGATCCTGCTCTTCTACGTCATCTTCTACGGCTGTCTGGCCGGCATCTTCATCGGGACCATCCAAGCCTTGTTGCTCACACTGAGCAACTTCAAGCCCACCTGGCAGGACCGAGTCGCACCCCCAGGTGAGAGCTCACACAAACAGATCTGCCTGTGAGGCTAGAAACCTTCTGTGGACACAAACACACACACACACTCAGTCACGTTTAGAATAAACAGAGCCGTTTTTTGCTGAGTAATAGGATGACTTTGTGTTATTTTGGATGACGCCTGTTAACTCGGAGGATCAGAGGCTGCCTCGCTGACATCAGACTGTTTTCATGACTCTGTCAGGGTGAATACAGGGTGAAATATTTCAGTGCAGTGAGTGAGTGTAATTATGAATAATCCTCCTCCCCGGCTCAGGTTAAATCTGACTCAAACAAACAAAAATATTTTCAGATAAGTTAATTTTTAAGCTGCTTTAACTATTAAAATGAGGCTGAGGCAGCTGCGATAAATCCACTGTTAGCATTTTAATGAAGGTCCTCTTAAAGATAGTTGTTAAATCCTTAGGGGGAAAAGAGTCAAACATTACAGATCCCATCCTCTAAGGTGAACAAATCATTTTTGTACACAAGTATGAAGTATGATAAATGACAAAACCCTGATGAAGGAACTTTGAGGTTTGGTAACCATCCTTTTAATTTTTGTTTTTTATAAATCTCTTGTAGAAACAAAACCTTGTGTACAAGTGCTGATTTAGAAACTTTATGAGTACCATCGACTTATGAAGCATCTCTCTTCACATTGCGTCTATGCAGAGCTGCCTTACAGTCTTTGCTCTTGAGCGTTAAAGAATAAAATATTCCGCAAATACAGTTTTATCCCTATAAAACTGACCCTGTGAAACTGCTTTCACTCACTCACTGGTCTTCATACAGGATGTAGAAGCATAAAAAGTGTCTGCTTCCACTAAACCGACCTCAAAGTTAATTGATGTTCTTTTAGTTTCGCTGCGGAGGTCGAGGATGGACTTGAACGCTGAAGAGTTATGTAATTTAAAAGCATTATTTAAGTATCATTAACCCTCAGCCCTCTGCAGGAGGAATAATCCAGGAGTGTCTGCAGCCTGTTTTAATGTCATCACATGTTTCTGTCGTCTTTGTCTCTGGGATAATGTTATGTAACTAAAGAAAATTCTGCGCAGCATCATTTTTTTACTGGAAAAAACCTCCAAATTTCAGCCTCTTGACTTTTTACTCAGAGAGGGACAAGAATATCTTTTTTTTTCATAACATGTCAATAAAAAGCAGGAGGAGCATGCAGATTCTTCTCTTCCCAACACCGCTTTTGTCTGCTTTTTAGAGCCTAACAGTTGTGTAATACTTCAGTTTTCCTGGTTCTTACTTGAGTTTCATTCAAAAAGCCTCATGCAAACAGTATCTTATCTTCAGCAGCTTGAATGACATTTGATTCCAGAAGGTTTAATCTTTTTGTGCTTGTTGACAGCACAGACTGTATCGGAGACAAAGATGTGAAGCTCAACGCCACAGTGACGCTGATTCTTTGATAAACATGCAGAGATTTATCTGAAAAGACGCAAACACAGAAACAGTAAATCTGATGAAAGCCGAGGAAACGACCGGCCTCAATGACACGTTTCTGTCAAACTCTCAGAGTATCAGAGGTGTTAAAGAAAAAAACTCCCCACATCAACGTCCCTGAAAAGCACCTGTGCCTACTGTGTACACACACCACAGCCTGGTTTCCATGGCAAAAACACACTGAGCATGTGCAGAGCGCGGCCTATACAGCAGCTGTTGAGTGGACAGAGCAGGATGAAGGCTGCTGTTTGCTCGTAAAATGAAGATTAATCAGTAGGCATATCAGAGAGCATTGTGTTCGTTTTGAGGTCATACAAACAAGTGAAATCTGCGCTCAGTCCCCGGCGCCACGGTCAGCTGATTAGAGTGACACCGTGTTCAAAACATTCAGCTCAGATGGAGTTAAACTGACACGGAGCAGGAGTTTATATCAGTGTTTGGTGCTCAGATATACAGAAAAAAGTCCTTTAGCCCCCCCCCCCCTCCAAGAGTCACATGAGATCTATCAGTTTCAGATCCGGACCTGATTCAGCTAATTCAGCTCACTTTAGCTGAGGAGGAAGCTATCTGTATCCTGGAAGCTCACACATGACACTTCAGAATCTGCAGAATTATCAGAAACGCAGATTTTCTGACCCAGTCAGTGTCCCTGAATCAACAAAACTCAGATACTGCAAAACTCAAGTTTCAAAGATGGATCTTTTTTTGTTGCTCACAGGCTTTGATTGAGTTTGTGACAACATTAGACAAACAGCCCCTGAGGAAAGAGTCTTTTTTTTTATTTTTTTTAAAGAGTAACATACTTAAGTATAACTAAAACCAACTCCAGAATCCAGACTCCACCGGCAAATCAGTGAATTTATCCTCCAGAACATGTGAATTGCTGGTCTACCTCTGCCTCAGATCTGTTTTTACGTGACTTTCATTGTCAGTTCAGGAGCAAAAAAGTATTTGTTGGGCAAACAGTCACACAAAAAGGACTAAGATTGAGGCAGAGGAAGATCAGCAACTCCTGTATTTTACAAGATAACAGTGTCTGACAACGTAACAGAAATAGTTCCTTTGAGTAAAAAAGTTTTTTCTAAATAAGACCAGCCATCACATGGCTCTCTTTAGAACCAGACTCTAATGTCAATAACAGCACTTCTGGATTTCAAAATATAGGAGTTCCTGATCTACCTCTGCCTCATTCCCTGAATGAGTCTGCTTAAACTTTATAAAATTTTCAGTCCAGATCAGACATCGTATATTTGTTACAGATATCATCAAAATCTAACTGATCTAAGGAAGAAATAGATCAGCAACTCCTAAGATAAAATATCTGCTATGATGACAGTGCTCTTGGCAACAACACAGAAAAGAGAAAAAAGTTTTTTTTTTCAGGAAGTTGCTTTATTTTACCAGAAACATTTGTTACATCACCCTCTTTAAAGCCATCAACACTCTGAATACACAGATTGATTTCTGGTAAATCTCTGCAGACAAAGGCTGCCACTGTCTGATCTTGAGTGAATGCAGGCTTTGTAGCTCCTCTGTTGGCATGTCAGTGTCTGTCAGACAGACTTTGAGGAAGTGTAGGATCAAAAAGTCAGATCAGTAAAAAGCTGATTAACTGGAGTGAATGTGAAGTTTTGTACTTTGTAAAACTTTAAAGCAGCTTTTGAACATTTGTCCTTCCTCTACCCTTAAAAAGTTTGTTAGACAGGTCATATTTGCAGCAGTTTTGCCTCGAAACCTTCACTCTTGTACAATGATGTATACATCAAGTGCAAAGTGTCATTAAACTCTATTGGTAAGAATGGTAGTTATAGTGTGCACATCATTAAAGTTGCTGCTCTACCCCTGCGTTGATCAGTTAGTAGTTTTAATGTGGAAATGATCTGTTCAGACTGAACACAGAATTTTAAAAAGCTGTAAAAATAAGTTGCAGATTTGGACAGAGGAACATCAGCAACTGCTATGTCCTGCAAGGTAATGAGAATTTTCTTTTAGCAAGTGTCTGAAAATCAAAGACAAAGCCAATTGTAGCAATATTTTCTTCACATACAATAATGCCACAATCTTGCCATCTGAGGCAGAGGTAGATCATCAACTCCTGTGTCCCGTTTTGTTTTTATTACAGACAGGATCCTTAGAAACAATCTTTTTTTTCTAATAATAGAGACTTTTTTAAAGCTGGAAACTGTTGTTACAAACCCAACACAATATTTAGAGTGTAAACAGTGACATTAAAAATGCGTAGCGACAGATGAAGGTAAATCAGCGACTCCTGTGTTCTAATGTAAGTAACTGATTTTGTCTTTGTAGTCTGATTGCTTTAATAGTGACGCACTGTCTGATGGGATTTATATTTTTGTTAATGCGTCCTGAAACATAAATAAAACTTTGAGCCTGTTAATGACACAAACAAGAACTTTTTAGGGACATAGCGATGTAAATGAAGTTGCTTTGGAGCAGTTAAATCCGCCTCAGGATTTCCGGCTGAAGTAATCGCCTGGAGCAGCTCCAAACCTCTGAGGCCAGAGACTATTTAAAATAGTTCTCAGGTTTAAAACACCAGAGTTAGAGTGTAACAGTGCGGCTGATGTTGTGTCCCTGCAGGCCTTACACACTTCCCACGATCAGACAAATCTGAAGTGTCCTTCAACCTCAATGACGTGGAGACCTACGTGCCTTACACCAAGGCCTTGAAGGAATTCTTAGCCAAGTATGATGAAGAGAGCCAGAGGGACCAGTTGAAGTTTGAAGACTGTGGAGGTAGGTTTTACCCTTACGGGGTCCTTTACTTTGGAATTCTCTGATCTGATCTGAAGTCCCTCAAACCCGTGTTCAGACCTCACAGAGAGTAATTGAAACCTAACTTATCCTGTCATTCCCCTCCAGAGGACCCATCAGAGTACAAGAACCGTGGAGACCTGGAGAGCGATATTGGCATCAGGAAGGCTTGCCGTTTCTCCAAGACTGTGCTGGGTCCCTGCTCCGGCATTGAAGACCGTGAGTTTGGTTTCAAGGATGGAAAGCCATGCCTGATTGTGAAGCTCAACAGGATCGTCAACTTCCGTCCAAGGGTAATTTACAAGTTCTGAAAGCCAGAGGGTGTTTTTGACTTGGATGTTCTTGGGGGGGGGGGGGGGAGTAGGGTTTAAAGCAGACAAGATGAAGTCCTAAATCCTTAATCAGGAGTTTACAAGTCTGGAGGTCATAAATATATGTAAACTTGACGGTTTAGGTGGATTAAAACTTAAGGGATAAATATGGTTTATGATGATATACAGAGGTTGAGTTTGGTTAAATGTAGACTTGGTTGGTACTCTGCAGTGTTGTTTTCGTTGACGATGATGAAATATTTTTGTCAACGTCATCGTCAATGAAAACGACACTGGTACTCTGAATGCAAAAACAAAGATGGATGGATGAATGGGATAAAAAAAAAGTAAAAGTACAGAGAACAAGATTACCTACATGAGTCAAAGTACATGTGATGCTTTTATTTTGAAATTTGTTCTTTCTTATACCCACATTGCCCTTCCCCCCTAATGTAAAATCATGCTTTTATTTTAAGATATGGCTGATGCTACCTCCTGATAGATTAAAGTTTGGGACTGAATGACAACTACTGCCCCCTACTGAACCAATTGGTCACTAGCTGTTACTTTGTGCCTATTTTAGCACCATATATTACAGCAGCAGTGCAAATGCAAATTAAGAACAGAACTGTCTAAAAATCTCTGCAGTCCACCTTCTAACTTCTCTTCTTATTTAGCCTCCTTCCACCAATGACAGCATCCCTGAGGAGGCTCAACCCAAAGTGCAGCCCAACGTCATCCCCATCTACTGCACCAACAAGGTACGCAAGCAAGCTTAAACCTAGCTGCAATATCAAGAGGTTAAAATGTAGAAAAGAGGGTATCTTCACGCTTAACTTTGCTGCCTCACTGAAGATCATACACAAAGGGTTGTTGCATACTGCTGACAACATTTCCTCGCTCGTCTCTTGCAGAAAGAGGAGGATGCCGGTAAAATCGGCGAGATCAAGTACTACGGCATCGGTGGCGGCTTCCCCCTGCAGTATTACCCATACTACGGCAAGCTGCTGCACCCCCACTACCTGCAGCCTCTGGTGGCGCTGCAGTTCACCAACCTGACCATGAACACTGAACTGCGCATCGAGTGCAAAGTGTTTGGAGACAACATCCACTACAGCGAGAAGGACCGCTATCAGGGACGCTTTGACATTAAGATCCAGGTTAACAGTTTATGACCGACGTCAGGACGGTAGCACTTTCCCCGACCGACCCTCCCCCACACTGCCCCCTTTGTTCTTAACTCAATCTTAAGTAGGAGATCATTATAATATATTTAAAGTGAGGGGGCAGTCCATAGCGGTTAAGTCAATCACAACTAGTCTTTAATTCTTAAATGAAAAGAAAAAAAAACATGCTAGGGGACCGACGTGTAATCTGTCTTCTGTCATCTCTAGCTTCCACTCCAGTGTAGCGTTAGGTTGTAATTTTAGAGGAAAACTAGAAATAGGCCTAAATAAACTATATTTATTCTGCTGTAAATGACTTTTCCACAAGCCATGGGACATTGTTCATCAACGACTGTAAAGCCGAATCATCTCCGGCGCGTAGCGAGCTGTGTTTGTCCCCTCTGCGCATCGCTGCCTTGTGTGGTGACAGTAGGTATTTTCGTCGCAAAATCCGGTCCTTTTTAAAAAAGCCACGCTGTCCCTCTGTGAGCAAGCTTTAGCTGTTCAGTGTGTGTGCGCGCGTGTGTGTCCGTGTGTGTTCCACGTGAACACACTCCTCCTGCTTAATGATTGAAATGGTTTGACTCGGTACACTCTTCTGATCTGTGGAAGGAAAAGGCTGCACTCCAGGGAACTTCTTTCCTCTTTTTATCGTCTTTTACACCTGATCACTTTTTACTTTTTCTTTTTTTTTTTTTTTTTTTGTTGTTGCTTCGTTGAATCATTTTACTGTGTGAAGGGGTTTTATAACTTGGTTTCATGCCTTTTACTCTTTGATTTGCCTTGACTGTAGAGTTGTGTCTCCAGCCTGTTCGACCTTGGCCTGCTGCTGTAAAGGCGACGGTGCTAACTCCACTTTTAGAGATTATTTTTCTTCTCTTTTTTTTTTTTTTTTCCGCTGGATTCATCACATCATGGTGGTGTAACTCTCTGAATGTTTTAGCCATTAAACATGGTGGAAGAATTTTATATTTATGCAGTTGTACATTTTGTTTCTTTGCAGAATATTGTAATGTATAAATGCAAAACCAAAGTTGAAGAGAGTCTCTATCAGAAGCAATGCAGTACTTTGTTTTTAGGATCTCACTATGTTAAGTGCTAAAGTCGATGTCTTGCCTTGCGACCTCTCATAGTTAAACTCTTAATTTGTGTCTTGGACATGAATGTAGTGTAGGTGTATATGAGCAGGTAACACTCCACCTGACGTTTATGCATTTAAAAAAAAAAAGATACGAGTTCTTACGGAGCTCAGTGGCTTTAGATGAAATGATGTTGGCTTTAAAAACCATAAACTCCAAAACGATGTTCGACCTGAACTACTCCATCAGTCAACACTCCATCAGTTCACCCACCTTTGTCATTTAATCAATTAAGAAACAAATAAAATCAAAATGGACCTTTTCTCTTGTGTTTTATTTGACCGCCGCATTGCCCAGAGACTTTACCCAGCATGCATCAGTCTTTTAAGCTTATTTGTTGCTCTTAGTGGTTCTCAAGTCCAGTCCTCGAGGCCCACTGTCCTGCATGTTTTTATGTGTTTCCCTGCTCCAACACACCTGATTCAAATGATCAGCACGTTATCAAGCCGCTATAACGAGCTGATCATTTGAACCAGGTGTGTTGGAGCAGGGAAACATCCAAAACATGCAGGACAGTGGGCCTCGAGGACTGGACTTGAGAACCATTGCTTTAGACATTAGGCAACACATTTCTAAAAAGATGTTAAGGGAACAACAAAAGATGTAAAAAGTTGTGTAAAGCTAATAAAAAAAAGCTGGAGGTTAATTTCCAACAGGTTAGTAACAAGACTGGGTTAAAAAAACAAAAAAAGGGCATTCAGAGGGGCTGATTTTGTGAGAGACTGTGTGAGCTAATAGTTCAACAGTTTCAGAATAATGTTGCAAAGAATGAGTGGATTTCATTATTTACATTTCATAATATCAGAAGATAATGAGAATCTGGAGAAATCTCTGTACAAAAGAGACAAGGACCAAAACCAAGACTGGATGGTCCTGATCTTCAGGCCCTCCGACAGCTCTGCATTAAAAACAGACAGGACTCTGGAGTGGAAATCACTGCACAGTTTATCACTATGTCCACAAATGAGGTTAAAACTGAACTTTGCAAAGAGGAAAACTGATAGAGACAAGGTCAAGAAACACCAGAGACTTCTCTGGATCTGAGCCTGGCTCAAAATTTGACATCCTATTTGGAAATCATGGACTCTTTATCTCCTTCTCTGAAAGCAGAGGGATGATCTGGCTTGTTCCCAGCATCCTTAATGGTATGGGGATCATTGGAGTCCATGTCATGGGGTATAAGGCTCCATTAACGCTGACCAATATCTACAGTTTTAGGAACAACATCTGCTGCCATCCAGACCTTCATATTTCAGCAAGACAATGACAAACCACAATCTGGCCCAGAACCAAGAGTGGATGGCTGTGATCTTTATTAATCTAATTTGTGGTCAGAATATCTCATTACACCGACCATTCACTGCAGTTTCCTGACAAATCCAGTTAAAGTAGATATTAAATCTCAAAGGTACGGGATAAACTGCTGAAACCAACTTCAGGAAATGTTCCTGGTGGCATTGGTACATTTATTTACTCACCAGAAGCATTGAAGCCTTTAATTTTGGCTTAAACTGCCATACCGGGAGTTTTCAGGTCAATGTATGAGAATGGATCTTGACATGAATTGGACAAATACACCGGGTAAGATTTGATTTTCATTTCAGTGTTTTCATCCAAATACAAAAGTTGTGAAATAAAATGCATCATCATATTCCATTTTCTTTAATCCTAATTCATCTTAACCTGTGGTTTTCAAGTCCAGTCCTGGAGGCCCACTGTCCTGCATGTTTTGGATGTTTCCCTGCTCCAACACACCTGATTCAAATGATCAGCTCGTTAGTAAGCCATTACAGAGCTTGATAACGAGCTGATCATTTGAATCAGGTGTGTTGGAGCAGAGAAACATCCAAAACATGCAGGACAGTGGGCCTCCAGGACTGGACTTGAGAACCACTGATTTAAACTATTCATTCACAGCTGTGCAGAAATACCGTAGCTGATATAACGTGTACTTTTTATCATTTTATTTTTTCTGTTTAGCTGTATGTTTTTATTGAATAAAGATATGAAATTATCAGTCAAAGAAAAAAAAAAAGACTAAATCCACACATTCAAGTGTTCAAAATTAGCAAAATCTGACTGACAGCTAGATTTTACTCATTAAACTCCTAAGACCTATTATTTCTTGTGGTTTCAGCAGTAAAATGTTTTCAGGTGAGTGTGGTTTATTTGGAATTAGAAAACTCTGCAGATCAAGTTTTGAGTTTTGTAGCATGGAAAGACACAAAAAAGCACAAAAACCAGTCGAATCATCCTGACTGTCTCATCCTGGACTGACTCTATGGGACCGTTGCACACATTTCACTCAGGGGGGTTGTATCAGGGCGTCCGGTTGCCTCTGCTTCTATGGGTTTGGTGACTTTCTACCTGCACACTCTGCAGAAACAACATGTCATCTGTTCGCCCCCACACACCGGCCTCCTGCTGTAATTACAGAAACGTGCTGCCTGCACACTGAGAGCTCGATGACTGAGAGGTAACACGACCTTCCCTCTCCTCCTCCCCCTCTCCCTCCTCTACATGCGACAACACTTCATTCATTCATGCAGGAGGTCAGACTGGTTTATCCCGCAGACACAGACTATCATGTTAATCTGTTTTGGCATTATTTCAGATTCTTAAGCTCCTCTTTTAGAGTTTCTCTAAATTTTTCCTCCCCTATAAACTCTTCAATTTAAAATGGCAAAAAATACCAGCACAAGTTTTAAAATTGACAGCATCAGCACTTAACAGAGGCAATAAATTTAATTTAATTCAATGTGCAAATACATAAGGTCCTATATGGTGCTACAAGATGCATGCATGTGTGAGTCATGCATTAGGTAGGATAATAGATGCATAATAGATCAATAGGTGAGTAAAAAGAAGAAACCATGGCAAAAGCGAGGAAAATAAGACTGCTGTAAAAATGCTCCTGCTACCTTTGACTGTATACAGGATGAAAAAGGACAGATGAGTGAAAACATGTCCGTGCGGGAGACTATAAGGACAGGAAGGAAGTAGAGAGTGTGTCCTGTGCTTTAGATAAGAGTAATGGAGCAGAGATTTTATCACACACTCTCAGGAAACCCTGTTGCTACTGAACACATGAAGAGGAACATCTTCATCCAAGTAAAAAAACAAACTCTAACTTCCTTAGAGCCTGCAGGAAAATCACCCCCTCCTCACACAAAACAGCTACATACCAGCCCCTCTGCAGCCAAACACACCTGTCTTTATCAGACGCATTCTCATTTAACTAAAATGCTGTTTGGAAAGACACTGGGTCATGCATTATAAGATAAAAAGAGTTAAAACTAAGAAGCATCCTCCAGGGCAAGGTTCAAAAAGTCACACTTTTCCCTAAAATCTATTAATTGAGGACTGAAAGGGTTAGAAACAGGTTTTTCATGCCTATGCATGCACACTTCAGTCATCCTCCAGCCTGAGAATGTGGAAGTGAAAATTCTCTGCATTGTTTCTGCAGCTCACTAACAGGAAAAACACTCTCTACATGGAGTTTGAATTTGTTCATTTGTTCCCGTAGTGATGTAATGACATCATTTGCATAAGCATGCATAAAAAACCACCGTCGCTTTCTCTCATTAAGAGGTTCTGCTTTCTCCAATGCTACTGGGGTTTTGATTCAGTGTGTCAGGGTCAAGATGTCAAAGGTTAAAGCCAAATGAAGAAACGTCCCGGCACCAAAAGAGGAGGACCAAGAAAAATAACTGATCGACCACTTCACCTGAGATTGCCTCAACGATTCAAGGATCTTTGTTAACAGTGTGTGACCTAATAGCTGCAGATGTGCCCTCAAAAACCTCTAATATTTACAGTTTGACATCTAGCTTGGTTAATGCACAGGTCCTCCTGGTGCACTCACCAAGTTTGCTTCGGGGTTTTTCCGCCTCTGCATCTGTGTGTACCCTCCTCTTCAGAAAGCTGATCATCTCCACTCGTGAGCCGTCACGTACAAACAACTGGGATTGTTTTTGTGCTTTCAAGATGTTAATTTTTACCAATGAGCCCAGGTTTTCAGTGTTTGTCCTAAACTGGTTTTACAGCTTCAAATAAAACAGAAATTTACTTCCTTATTAAAAAACAGGTAACAACTCAGAGACAGGCCTATAATGAAATCAGAGTAGTGCAAAGTAGTGCAATCTTGGAAAACCTACTTTTGAAATAGCAAAGTTTTAACCTCTGCCTCACTTAAGGTGGATGTCAGAGTGAGGTTGGATGGCCAAAATATGTTTGTTGCTTCAATAGAAAATACTAATAAAAGGCTTTTTTACACAATTCAACCCCATTGAATTTAATATAAACTTGCCTTTACTCTGTTTTCACTGAAATATAAACTCACATGTAACAGCTGCTTCAGTCTTTGTTTAGTTTCTCTCACATACAGCAGGTACAAAAACCAAACAAAGAAGGAGAAAACAAGTATTTCAGGTCGTGAAAACATCCATTAACCCTGCTGGCACATCTACACTGAGCTGTGAATCAGCAAAGTTTAGGAGCTCAATAAAACCGCAGCGTATTTCCAGAAAAGAGAGTGAAAAAGCCAAGTTATTAAAAATAAGGAGGTATTTTTAGAAAGGAAATGAAGTGAGCTGCTTTCTGCCCGGAGATGAAACCTGTTTGACTCGACTGAGCTCTGAAATGATGACGCCCTCGGGAAAAAACGGATCATTGAGCTCTTCTAACAGCCTCCAAGAAAATCCAGTTTCTCTTTCCAGCTCGTGTGTGGACATAAACACATTAAATCTCTTTGACTTTTCCTCTCAGGACCTTTATCCTTTCACAGTAAAGACCTGCTCATCTTCTTTTTTCTATATCAATCCTGACGGAGCCAAAGTCTGAGGAGAATATCTCTGTTTGTGTCCATGTTCGGCTTGTTTATATGAATTAGCTCCTGATCTTTAAACCTGCGTCACAGATGTCTTGTAAATCTAAAAAGGCTGCTCCGCTCTGTTTAATCCTGACCGATAAGACAAGATGTTCCCTACAGCTTCTTCAAATTAAAGCAAACACCAGCTTCACAGACGTAAACATTGAAGTACACGCGAGGAAGCTTTTTGTACAAATTCAAGTCAGCAGGGTTTTTATTTGGAAATAAAAACCTCAATAATATGCAAAATATTTTCCACAAAGGTGATCTGAAGATAGATAAAAAGCTACATGTTTTTATTTTAACAGTCTAATTCTTTTCACCCTTCTGTAAATCTCCTAAAGTTGCTTGTTCTCACTTGTACCTCAATGTGAAGGTATTACCTGCAGGGGTGTCTCCAGGGGTGGAGTATGGGCTGCTTCTCAATTTATTCATCAGTTATGGTTTGCAGATGAGGATGTAGGAGATAAGGATGTTTCTGAAGGATGTGGGAGGATCCTCTGCAGATGTCTTTCCACTCTTGCACCTTGGTATTACTCATACAGCGCTGATCTGCAGGTGAAAATAGTGTTAAGTGCTGTGACGCCCCTAATGGCCACTTCTCATTTCACTGAGATGCAGGAAGCGTATCTTTCCTGCAACATCAGGTAATGATGAGGAGCTGCACACCTGTCCATTTCTCTCACAGTCTTTATGATTTCTAGGTCATAAAAAAGCTTCATAGAGGAACATTTGATCACTGAGAGATGTAATTTGCTAAATATAGTTGATCATTAGTGCTGGTTGTGAATTTCACCCATGCAATCAACCTTTGAAATCCTCTAAACTAGAGACACATCAGTTTAGTTTGACTTCTGCAGCTCTTTGTTTCAGGTGCATCATTGTAATTTGCACCATAAAACCACAGAGCTGCATGAATGTGGTTAAAATAACCTGAAATTGCTGTATTTTGTATCAACAACCTGGTGAATTGTTAATATAGTGAAGTATAAGTTTGTTGACCTATTGATATGGTGACCTGTTGTGATGATCATCTTTTGTTATGGTGAGATTTCAGTTTAGTGACCCATTGTTCTGCCGACCAGTTGATATGGTGATCTGTTGATATGGTTATGTGTTGTTTTGGTGACCTGTTGATAAGGTACCCTGTTGATGTTATTACATATCAGTTCAGTGATTCGTAGAAATGGTGACCTGTTGTGATGGTGACATGTTGATATGGTGATGTGCCAGTTTAGTGACACGTTGTTATGGTGACCTGTTGATATGGTGACGTATCAGTTCATTGAACTGTTGTATTGGTGACCTGTTGTTATGGTGACCTGTTGATATAATGATCTCTTGTTATGGTGACCTGTTGATATGGTGACGTATCAGTTCAGTAACCTGTTTATATGGTGACCTGTTGTTTATGTTGCCTGTTGTAAGGTGACGTTTCAGTTCAGTGATCCATTGTTATGGCGACCAGTTGATATGGTGATCTGTTGATATGGTGACCGGTTGTTTTGGTGACCTGTTGATATGGTATCCAACAGTTTTATTTTGTAAAACTGTTGGATATTTTACAGATCGGCACTTTGGAGGAAATACGTGAGACAAAAAAGGTGTTATGTCTTTGGTCAAAACACTTCCTCACTCTGAGCTCCTTCAGCAGCCTTCTCTTGTCTTCATCCTTGTCTCCTAGAGCTACTTTTGAGGACCTGAAAGATCTGTCATCACAGTGGAGGGGTGGTGGCTTCAGGTCCAGCCGAGGAGAGAGGAGCTGAAGATAAAAAAGCAGAATATTTTAATGATATATTACAAAACCCAATTCCATTGAAGTTGGGAAATTGTGATAAACATAAATAAAAACAGAACACAATGATTTGCAAATCCTTTTCAACCTCTATTCAATTGAATACACTTCAAAGACAAGATATTTAATGTTTTTTTGCAAAAAATCATTAACTTTAGAATTTGATGGCAACAACACGTGACAAAGAACTTTTTTGACTTATTGATCTATCATGTAAAGCTGTAGCCTTCTGTTGGATTTGATGTAATTGAACAATAGAATGAAAGTTTTGCAGCTCTGTGGTGTTTTATGGTAAAATAAATAAATGAATAAATATCAAAATTAAATACCAAATTAATACTTCTAGAATCATCTGTAGAGATTTTATGATACAGCTTTCTTACCTGCCCACCTCAGATCACACCTGTGCAGCAGACCCAAACAAACCATCTCCATGACGACCAGATTAACCCACTGTTAAGTAAAACAGAAGAGTATTACATTAAGAAACAAACATCCTCAAAATAAACATTAAATCTCTGAACCTGCAAAGGTGTTTTTACCATTTTAACTTTATTTATTGGAGTTTATATCTGTGATCTGATGAGATGGAGGCAGCAGGAAGACTCTTATCTCTGACACACTTAGTGGACCATCACAAGGTCATCTGAGCGATTACGACTGGTCATGTGAGTGGCTCACAATGAACACAGGTGAGGGCGGGGAGAGTCTCTGTGACAACTCTCTGACAGTTTGGTTCCCGTCACTCTGATTTCTATTGCTGAATCTCACACAGTCACAAGGTTTAACTGATGAAGACTCTGCTGATGAAGCTCAGTCACACCTTTCCTGACCTGCCAATGAGAACATTGGACTGATATGACCTGCAGGATGCAATTTAGTTTGCACCTTAAATCCAAATTATAATTATTATTAATTATTAAATTATACCTCTAAAATCCAAGAAACAAAATATATTTCTGGTTTGAAAATATCTCAAAATATAAATTCACTGAAAAGTTTCATTTAGTCCTATATACATAAAATATGTGTACAACTGAAATCAAAGGTCTTCATATATACAGTGTGCACTGAATATAGAAATAAACAAGTTTAAAGTTTTTATTTTACAACTGTGTCATAAATACATTTATAGGGGCTCATATTTCTTTCCTACACATAGTTTTCTGTCATTATTTACACAAGGTTTACACAACGCCATGAATTCCCATAGTCCAGAATCAGAGAGACAGAGTACAGACTGACACATGAGTATACACCAATATAGGAGAGTAACTTATAGGAGACTAAATTGTCCTTTTCCAGGCTTCTGGGACAAACTGAGCAAATCCAAAGACATCAAACTTTATCAGCCAGTCCAGTTTCTGCTCACTAAGCCCCCACATTATTATTTCAGGCTGTTGAAGAGTGACCTCATGAAACTAAAACTCTCTCAGGTCATCAGAGTTTGTCATCAGACTCCATCCAATTCTCACTACCCTCTGAGTTGTTATTTTTTTCAGGGATATCTTAAACATCCGGAGGAAGATTACCAGATCTGGACTGTGTGAATCAAAAAACAGAGCTTTTACATAATTTAAAGCTGAAATCTTGTTTAATTTGCACTGATGTCTTTAATTTTGGTTTGAACAGAACAGACATTGAAAGAGTTACTGAGACTAAGTTTCTTGGGGTTGTCATTGATCAAAAGTCAACATGGAAACAACACATTGAATACATTAAAAATTTCCAAAATCACTGGCAGTCCTGAACAAATCTAGTAAAGTATTGAATTCCAAGGCTTTGAATTTGATTTACTACTCATTGATTGTTCCCTATATATATCTTACTGTGTGGAACTGTGGGGATCCACCTTTAAAACCACTATAAATTCAATAATAAAACTGCAAAAACGAGATATACGTATTATCAATAAGACTGATTATTATGATCACACGGAGCCACTTTTTCTAAATTCTCATGTGAAATTTTATGATCTGTTTTATTATAAAATAATGCAAATTATGTTTAGAGCAAAATCAAAAATGCTCCCTGACTCAATACAGAGGTTCTTTTCAATTCAGGACGGTCCGTATAATCTCAGAGGTGCTTGCAAATTTACTGTACAAAAAGCTAAAAAAAAAGGTATGAAAAGGAGATGTGTCTGCATTACTGGAGTTAAATTCTGGAATGATGCCACCATAAATCTAAAAATATGTCACTTTTTTTTTTTTTGAAGAAGAAAGTGGTTTGTAAAGCTATTTTTGAAGCTTATAAGTGCGATTAATTATCTGTTGTTGTGGTTTCTTTGCTTTTCTGAAGGCCGGTAGCCTAAAAAAGTTGACAATACAGGATAGGATTTTATAAGCAGTCTGCTTCTGCCTTTGCCTTTTCAGTCAATATTCAACACATGATTCTTGATTTAGTGATTTTGTGTGAAATGTCAATATTGTGTACAATATTTGGTGTTGTCATGAACAACACGAAATAAATAAACAGAACGAAACGAACGAAATAAACAGAACAATTTTTAATGATTTTTGGGGATTTTTTTCCCATATTTTCCCTTTTTTTTTCTTTTATTGAGTCCGGACTACAGCTCAGATTATTCCTGTAAATATACAACATAATTCTTATTTCTCATGTTTTTTTTTTGTTTTTTTTATCATCAATCACATTCATTCCATCCTCTCTTTTTGATTTGCTAATTTCCATTTACCCTTATTTGTGATTATACATAATTGATGCGTTACCTCTGAACACTAGAGGGCAGTAGAGTCGCATCAGTGTGAAGGAAGGAGGAGGAGGAGGAGGAGGAAGGGTTCAGAGATGAAGGAGGAGTCTCCATGGCAGGGAGCTCCTGTGGGGAGCAGACATGTCCTCAGAGGCTGTAATGAATTTAATTGGACGGTGCAGCTGTCAGCAGCTCGTTAACACATCAGCAGCTCAGGGAGGTTTCACACATTGACTCCACTCTGAGACGAATCAGTCCTGAAAGAGACACAAAGACAAACTTTACAGATTTTTACCAAACAAATATGACAAATCAGCACCTACTACTCAGTCAGAGCTGTGTTTGATCAAGAGAGGGGGTTTACAGCCCACTAGAGTCGTGGTTATTGATCCAGGAGTAAATTCATTAAGACCCCAGAGAGACTCGGCTTAAACCACAGCTGCTCAGTGATTATTAGAAATACACCAGAGAGCAGAGATTAACTTCATGTCAGCAGGAGAGGCTGCAGACTGAGCAGCACAAGAAGATCACCAAACAAACAAACATACAAAGCTGCATCCACTTAAGACACTTCTTCATTCCACATCCATGATCTTTTTACAGGTGCTGCTTTTTAAAAAAAGCAGCACCTGTGGATCCTGGCCTCAGTCTGCAGCTTCTCATGTGTTTTTTGATGTTTTAAAGTTATGATTAATTTTACCCTTTTTTTTAAACCTGAGGAAACAAACCACATGAAATTTATATACATTTAGAAAGGTTTCATAAACACAAAAAACGTGATTTCTTTCCTCAGAGAGCCAAACAAAACTGAACTTTGCCAAGCAGATGTTTTGAGACATGATAAAAAAACTTTTTTGGGCATACTGAGTATTTGTATTAGCTGCATTCAGAGTACACTTGTGGTTGAGAATGATGATTACAATCAAAATGCAGTAAATTATAGGACAATTTTGGGATTACGAGGAAGTTACTGAAACTGAACAACTATCAGATAAAGAGGTAGAATTATTTTTGCACATGTAAATAAAAACGTTTAATTTGTCTGCTGATTGTATTTGATTTGCTGTTTTTCTGTATTTTAAAAATCTGAAAAAACGTCCTGTCGATCAATAATTCCTCTAAAATGTACGACTGTTTTCAACCTCCAGATTTTGATCCTCTTCAGACTACTTTAAAATGATATTTTCTGCCTCTACTCTGTCAGATTTCCTTCTCTGAACTGTGATCTTCCCTCCTCTTCTGTTCGCTCTCAAGAAGCATCACCAGATTAACTTTAATCCTATTTTACCAGCAGATAATCTAAGTCTGTGGCTGTGAGGCTGCACTTTAACTCCACCTGCACATGCTCAGTGTGGAAACATAGCAGTAGAGTTCATACCATGATTTTTGATAGTTTGATTAAAGCTCCCGTTCTTTAATTCGAGATTGAGCTGAAGTCTAGTCCACATGCAGGCTGGTATTTTTGAAAGTGCAGCTTCATATTTTGGTGCTACTTGTATACACCCTGACAGGCATGCAGACCACTAATATGTTAGCGTCATTTCCAGTTTTTAGTTATCCTCTCAGAACACAGTCAAGAGATGCTCAATATGAATGCAAGGGAAAGACAAAAGCAGTTGCTGAAGTTGTCTGAACCTTAACCTGCTCGGCTGTCTCTTGTTGAGGAAGAGGAAGAGGAGGAGGAGGAGTGTAAAGATTCACTTTAGCTTCACACACTAAGAGGATCAGCTCAGAGAGGAAAGGATATAAATAAAGAGGCAGCTCTGACTCTTTACCCTCACAGTCGTAAGAGCTAAAATTATCCACAAAATTAGGAAGAATTAAAATATAAAACTAAAACTTTTATTAAAAAAAACATGTCGCAGAGTCTGATGCAGTACTGCTTTACTTAAACTTGTTAGATCTTCACTAAAAAAACAAAACATGTAGTCTGTCGACCTTTATAAATAGTTTGAGGATTTCTTTTGTGAAAATGTCAGAAACTGAAATCCTGCTGCTCTCTGACTTTGTTTTATCATGTCTGAAGGTGAAATACAAGGGGAATAACCTGTTTGTTTGCAGTTTTACTAATAAAGTAAGGTTCACGTAACTGAAACTGTGTTTAAAGAGTCTGTAGACTCTGGGATAATCTAGTTTGGATCTGTTTCGTCTAGGTGAGGTTGTTTTCTATCAGGACCTGGTTTCTGAATCAGTAGCTGTTTTTTAGATACATTTCAGCATTGTTGAAAATGATCTGTGCAGTGGTCAGGAGTCCAGAATCTGAGGTCTGAATCTTGTTTTGTGTCTTTGTTTGGTTTCTGGATCTCTGAGCTCTGTCACTGAAGGTCTGCTGAGTCCACAAACCCTCCTGCTCCTCCTCCTCCTCCTCCACCTCCACCTCTGTGGGAGGTGCTGCAGAGTGGACGGACACAGAGAGGAAGATCTTCTCTTCTCCACGATAAAACATGAGTGATTTTTCCTCCAATTTTTCGGGGACTTTAACTTCTTTAGAGACGGATCTGGACCTCTGCTAAACTTGTGGAGTTTGACGTGAAAGACGAAGATCAAACTGAGGGGTGAAATGGGATTAATTCAGACTTTTCCTCTTGATTGAACTCCTCATCATCTTCATCATCACTCACATTCAGGTAAAATCAAACAGCAGATAGAGGTTCATGTTAAAGAAAGTAGAAAATCTCCATCTTATTTAAGTTCAGAGTTAAAACAGTCTAAGTGAGGAGAAAAGCTAAATTTAGCTGCTTTAATCTGGAGAAGGATTTAAGTTAACACAGAGAAACATGCTGAGCTAATAGGACTAAACACAAACAGAAGCTCTGTCACTGTCACTTTGTTTCAGTCTGATGTGTTTTTTAAAATCCAGCAGGAGTGGTTTCTACTCTTTCGAGTCTCTGAGACCTGGTTTTTAAGAGAGACAATGAAACGCAATGAAAGCTGGGACAGAATAATGCAGCATATTTAAAGGTCTGATTGGTAAATACCTGATCAAACTAAAACCAATATGCCTTTCTTTTGTCACTTTAGAGCTACAAAATAAAACAAAGAGGAAAGATTAACCCGAGGGATATCTGTCGCTGAAAGATTACTCATTATAACGTTATTTCACCCTCCTCAGCGTCTCCAAGGATCAGCAACACGCAACAAACCTGCGCATGCAAAAACATTTTCATGGAGGATGTTTGTTTTCTGAAGTGTTTCGCATTTTAACTGTCTCTTTTTCTGCAGACTGATGGAGAACCAGGATCAAACACCTTCTGTGGGGACGGGTCTGTGGTCCAGGTGAGCCTGGTTGGATCCAAACATCTCTATTTCCTTTAAATATCACAGAGTAAGGATCAAATTTAACTTGCCTCCACTTATTTCCTCCACTGTGTGAGTTTTCTGTGTTTCTTTTCTCAGACTGTCCAACATGATGCAGTTTGGGAGGAGCAGCGTCGGTCCTGCGGGGTCTGATCCAAACGACCAGACCGTGAAGAGCAGGAGCGGGTAAGCTGAAAACCTGCACAGAGCACAGAAACAAATAATACACAAAATCATGTTATTTGAGTCAGAAATATTTCATAAAACACAAAAACACTTTATGAAATGCAGAAACATTTTTTAAAGAGTAAAAACATTCATCAAAACGCAAAAACTTGAATTAGAAAATGTTTCAACTGAAGTGATTCACACAAGAAAACAGCAGTTTTGCATTTTTTTTAGATCATTTATTATTATTATTATTATTATTATTATTATTATTATTATTATTTATTTTGTTTATTTAGGAAACTGTGAAATGTTTGATGAGATATGTTAAGCTGATGAGCGCTTTTTCTCCATACATAACCCACGCTCTGGTAATTTTATACCCAAATAAGCAAAACAAGAATATTTCTGCAAAGTGACTTTGTTAGCTTTGCCATTTTACTCAAGCAGTGGTTGAGTTAGTGAGCTCTCTGGGTGTTTTAAACAGCAGATTAGTTTGATAACTAATGAGGTATGTGACAGATTTGCAGAATTGCCGTGTGACATTGATTGGATCAGAAAAATAAATGATCAGTGATAGATGAAAAACTCTATGCAACACTTCACCCCTTCACTGAACATTTGAGCATCATAGGAGTAGACATTTACCTGAGCTACGGCCCCACCCAGTGGCTGATGACAGCACTACAGAAGAGCGGCATATAACTGGCATACTGGTCTATAATAATGAAAATATGAGCTATTTGGCCCAGTAGTTCTAACACTGACTAGAAAAGATTTGGTCTTTATAGCTGGATGATTATCAAAGTAGCTTCACTTAAAGGACAAATGCACAGATTTAAGCCATGCAAATGAAAACTGATTCATTTTTTGCAGCAGAAATGGAAAAATCTGATGAACTGCCTTTGAGCAGGTATCTTTGTGAATAAAATGTATGTATCTATACCGATATTTGTAATTTATACTAATAGATTTTTTTCTTTTTTAAAATCTCTAATATGCAAGGAAGGGTTAGGACTAGATTTTTTGCTTCATTCTGTTCCTTCTCAAACTTTATTTTTGACATGCGTATGTTGTGTTAATTTATCTTTAACATGTACAGTTGTTTGGTGTATATATGTATTATTTTGTTCGGTGATTTTAGTTGTTTTTTGTTGTTTTGAGATAAATAAAGAAGAAAGAAAGTAAAAGAAAGTATGAGCATTATTATAGAGAGAAGTGTGAAAATTACTCCAACAGTATGATGGAATAACAAATATGGATACAACAGATAACAAGAAATCAGTCTTCATAGTAAGCAGATATACAATTACAAAAACATAGAAACTTAGAAATGAGAGACTCCTGAGGCGCAGGTGGATTTAAAAATATTTTTATGGTTTATCTTATTTATTCTCAATCTTTCATTGCTTATATTTTATCCTAAATGATTAAACTCAAGTCTTCTCTCCTCTTTCAGAGATGTCCGCTGGTCCCAGGCTGCACAAAACATGAACAACAGCAACAACAATGACGGGTAAGACTTCTGAAACTTGATCACATTAAATGAGTGAAATCAAGAACTTTAGATAAAGGTGATAGAGAGTTCACTGTCTAATTCTTTTCCTGTAACTTTATCAGGATCAGGGTCACTAAGTTTGCAAACACAGGGAACTCTGACAATACAGGAACCAAGTAAACGGCAGTAAATCTATAAGTTTATCAATGAAAACATTAAAGAGCGTTTTGAAATTTGTTTACTTAACATCTGAGTTGCTTTTTAAGGATGTATTGTTAAATATTTTGAGCTGTTTTTTTTCTGCCTGTAGTAACTGCATGGCAGTAATATTTAATATCCAGAGTCAGCCTGTTTGTCTTTGATTTACAGAAAGAAGGATGAGAAAAAAGATGAGAAGAAAGACGAGAAGAAGGATGAGAAGAAGGATGAGAAGAAGGATGAGAAGAAAGATGAGAAAAAGGATGAAAAGAAAGATGAGAAGAAGGATGAGAAAAAGGACGAAAAGAAAGATGATAAAAAAGACGACAAAAAGAAGGAAGAACCCCCGTGAGTATCTTGGTTTACCAAAACTGCACCACAAGGAACTATCTAAAATCGTTAATTTATCGAGCATCATAATTTCATACTGTCATAAAAAAAATAACTTGTTTTGTAGACAAGTGTCATATAAGAGTTTAGGAGACTCTTTAATTTATCAAACCTGCCACAGCAACAGGTTCAGGTGACTTTATTTGCACTTGTAGGACTAAAGCCAGAGTCCTGCTAAGATGATCAAGTTTTTCTTGGTTGCAGAGTAAAATGAGCTCTACATATGAAGGCATTTACATAACATGGCTTAAAATGAAGTGACGATGTATTGATGGCCTTTATATTTTAATAACTGTCAAAATAGGATAAGATGAGATTCAGTGAAATGCAATGTTAACTCTAGATAACAAAATCTTTCACAGTTGCCAAAACTGTATTACACCAAGTGCTGTAAAATACTAAAAGTACATAAAAGCATAAATGGTAAAGGCAGTAAACAAACATCTGCTTCAATGTTTAACACAATGCAAGCTGTCCATAATCAATATTTGTATTAATTGTATTTGTACACTGTAGTTAAGTATTAGTTAGTTAGTAGTAGTTAGTTCTTGTATTGTATTAAGCTGCTGCAGCAACCTTTACTAATGTGGCGGAAAAGAAAAGCACAACTGCATTTTTGAATGTAATATTTTACTTACCAATATTCTCAGACTGTTCAGTTGATGAACCAAAAGCGATCAGCACCAAAGACCTTTGTTTGATTATCCACCTGTGAGCTAAACAAACAGGTGCAGCTAACGAGGCTGATAACGAGGCAGCTGCACCTGTATGTTTAGCTCATCACAAAAGCTGACAGATCAAGAACAAAATTAAAGATGTCACTCATCATACTTGATATCTTACCATCACAGGGTGTGATAGTTTTTCACAAACAGGACCTGTATAGAACAAACTGGAACTTCTGAAAATTGCATATGTCGTCACATGAACTAGAGATCCCTTGATGTCAGTGAATAATCAAAATTTCTTCAGGGAGTTTTTTTTTTTTTTTTTTTTTGCTGGGTAAAGACATACAATAGTTCTCATCTTCTCTTTCAGAAAGGAGGTGTGGATCCTGGACCCAGCCACAGACGAGTACTATTACTGGCTGTGCACCATTTCCATCCCAGTGTTCTACAATATGATGCTCCTGGTTGCCAGGTTTGTTTTTTTTATTTTTCACCATCTATTATTTCCTTGCTCTCCTATTGTTGTCTCGAAGGTCTTAATTGTGTTTCTTTTCCCATGTAGGTCCTGTTTTAATGAGCTGCAGTACAAAAACACAGTCACCTGGATAGTTCTGGACTACATATCAGACTTCCTGTACTGTGTTGACACCTTTGTGAGACTCAGGACAGGTAAGTGACAGGACATTTGATAAAGTTCAGAAATGCCAGTTGTAGATGTAGCCTTAGTATTTGGTAATGCTCTCAACCTCACTATCCCACCCGCCTGTTTAACCACCATGGGCTCCAGAGTCTTGAGACGCTCTGCTCCCTGACTTTGAAACTCCCGCCCACCAAGCATCCCTGAAATCAACTCTCACCAGAGTCTTAAAACCCATCTTTTCAAACTAGCATATCCAGTCTTTTTTAGTCATGATGATTATTATTAGCTGATGATACTCTTCTGTTTGAACAGGTTTTCTTGAGCAAGGACTGCTTGTGAAGGATGAGAAAATCCTGAAAGACAGGTACATGAAGACTCTCCAGTTCAAATTGGACATCCTGTCAGTCGCTCCCACCGATATCATCTTTGTTTTTATTGGAATCGACAACCCAGAGTGGAGGTTCAACCGTCTCTGCAGGTCTGCCCGGCTCTTTGAGTTCTTTGACCGGACTGAAACTCGAACCAACTTCCCAAACATCTTCCGAATTGGTAATCTTGTCCTCTACATCATCATCATCATCCACTGGAATGGTTGTATCTACTTTGCTGTCTCCAAGGTGCTGGGCTTTGGCTCCGACACCTGGGTGTACCCAAACATGAGTAATCCTGAATACGCTCGCCTGGCCAGACAGTATATCTACTGCTTTTACTGGTCCACTCTCACCCTGACCACTATTGGAGAAACACCGCCCCCTGTCAGAGATATTGAGTACTTCTTTGTCGTAGCTGACTTCCTCACTGGGGTTCTGATCTTTGCTACCATTGTGGGAAACGTTGGTGCCATGATTTCCAACATGAGCGCTGCACGTGTGGAGTTTCAGGCGAAGATTGATTCCATCAAGCAGTACATGCAGTTTCGAAAGGTCACCAAAGATCTTGAGGTGAGGGTGGTGAAATGGTTTGACTACCTGTGGACAGAAGACAAGACCTGTGATGAAAAGCAGGTCCTGAAGAATCTTCCAGACAAACTGAAGGCAGAGATAGCCATCAACGTACATCTGGAGACCCTGAGTAAAGTTAGGATCTTCCAGGACTGTGAGGCAGGTTTACTGGTTGAGTTGGTCCTAAAGCTTCAGCCTCAAGTGTTTAGTCCTGGTGACTACATCTGCAAGAAAGGGGACATTGGAAAGGAAATGTACATCATCAAAGAAGGAAAGCTTGCAGTAGTTGCAGATGATGGGGTGACACAGTTTGTAGTCCTCAGTGATGGGGCATACTTTGGAGAAATCAGCATCCTCGGTATCAAGGGCAGCAAGGCGGGAAACAGAAGAACCGCGAACATCCGAAGCGTTGGCTACTCTGATCTATTCGCCCTGTCCAAAGATGATCTCATGGAGGCTCTCGTTGAGTATCCAGAAGCCAAAACTCTCCTGGAGGAAAAGGGAAGGGCCATCCTGATGAAAGATAATCTCATTGATATGTCACTTGCAACTCTTACAGATGCCAAAGACTTGGAGGATAAAGTCAACAAGATTGAAGCAAGTTTGGAGATCATGACGTCCAAATTTAAAAAGATGACAGCACACTATGATTCTCACCAACGTAAAATCAAGCAGCGCCTCAAGAACATGTCCAACCAGGTCCGAACCCTCACATATGAGGATTTTTAGAGCTTGACTTAGCATGTCTACAGCCAGGCTTTGGGACTATTCTTCCCCTCTTTGCTCTGTGCATGCTGAACAGTGTACAACTTAATGGACAATGGCATCACAGACTTGTGTGCAGTTTTTCTCACAGTGATAGACTAAGGACTTTGCTTGTCCTTTAACCTGTTTCTGATTTGCACCAATATTTATTGTATTTTGTACTGACATCAGATCTGTATGGAAGTACTTTGTGAAGATCATCTAAATGTATGTGAAAACTGTCAAACAGAGAAATAGGACAGATTTCTAGAGATGATCCAGCTTGTTTGATTATCCTTTGAGCAGATCTCTGTTGATTTTGTCCTGACTTTAGAGCTGTGTTGAATAAAAACTGAGACATGCAGCTCACAACAAAATAAAATGTTTGCACTCAGTAGTACAGTAGTAGAGAAACATATTTAAGTGAGGGAACTAGTTTGGGGTCAGAATCTGCGCCATCATATCTGCACCTTCACTAAGTCCTTCGAATGACGCTCAAGTCTTGCAGTGAGTTTATGTGATCAGTCACTATCAATACATCATGTTTCTATTAAGCATTGACTCACAATAATGTTATCACTTTGTCTAGAGCCTAGAGTAATGATTATACCACACACCTGCCAAATTTGACAATACTTTGTGTATTGATGCAAATAAAAGTACTTTTGACTTTAATTCTGAATGTTTATTGGATGATTTGATTCAAAGCTATTTTACTTTAAATTACATTTCTTGAGCTTTTTTGCTTCTCACAAGTAAGCAGGGCCTGTGTCCTCCAACATTTTTTTTTTGTTTACTCTGGCCCTATGTTGTGTCTGAGCTGTAACGACCAGCTGCAGTCAGTGGACGATGCTGTAGCATCATCAGCACAGGGATGTGGATGTTAACCTGCAGGGAGTGCCAAAGGCTGGTGGTGCTATCTCTGCTCATGTTTGCCTCACTCAGCAAACCAATTTGACATTGTTTTGACACCTGCAGACTATGATCCCGAACTCAGCTATTAAAGATCAACTTTGAATGCAACCCTTACATTGGTTAGTTGGAATTCTGTTTAAAACAACAGGGAAATTAATCCATTTGGGACATCCCCAATGCACATCAAACTGGTCTTCAACTGCCCTTTATGTTTCGCGATTGCTTTTTTTATAGAGTAACATTAACAAGGAAAACCAACAGTGGGGAAAAAATGGAAGCAGTTCAACCTGGAAACTGTGCTTTTGAATTAGTTTTCTCCTCTTTCATTATTATAAGCCCCCCTTTACTTTTGACTGGTCAGCTTATGAGAAGTGACGACAATGACCTCATAGGGTGATCAGTGGACACACTGACAAAACTGGATGTATTAGAAATGGCAGAACTTGTGGAGCTAAATCAGGATTATCATCAGGCAGAGGCAGTTGGAAAAAAGCAGTCATCTTTATTTAGCATGTTTTCACAACACTGAATACTTTATCCTTTCATCAGTTTGTATCTTTTAGAATGTAACCGCGGAGTCAAACAAATTGATGAAAACTGCTTCCCTTTCCAAAATCAGGTCGACCTTTTACCTTCGCTGGGCTTCGGAGCCCGTTCACATGTCCAGGTGAGCAGCAGCATCTTCAGCATTACAAAAACAGAGGTACAGAGAAACAGCTGACACCAGACCTGGGCTCAATCCCAGTTAAAGTAGTCCTTCGGCTTTTGTTTTAACCTGCACAGAGCTCCCGCCACAGTCCAGTGTTAGTCCGAATTTCCAGATGCTCTTTGCACAGTTCGAAGTGACTCCCATGGAGGCTAAAACAAGCAGCAAAGGGGATTCTCCAACGTAACTCCGCCCAAGTCTGGATGAAACCGTGAAGATGAGAAATAAGAGCAATGGAACAGAAAAAAAACAGTTCAGGGTGGTTTTGAACTACCACAGTCTGAGCACTGTGGTGTCATTAGTGGTGTTTTGTGGGCACCGATGGTCAAGCAGACAGTCCACTAACTGATCTGTGATAGTCCTGGTTTAAGGAAACTGTTTGTAATCTGGGCTCAAACATGGTTAACTCGTTTCTGCTGCTTCATAACACATCTGTTGGGCTTGTTTTTAGCAATAGATAGATTAGAAAAAAATAGATTTGAAGAGCTGACTCAGCTGTTACCACATGACAGGAGAATGATCTAGAAACGGGAATATACCCTTCACTTGTAGAAACGAGGACCTTAATCCTGCACCCTGTCTAGGGGAGAGCAGGGGATGACGCAACTGGTTGTAAAATTAAGTCTAAGAGAAGAACTTCTTGCCAACAGATGGCCTCTCCTACCAAAATATCTCTGAGCCTATGGTGTGCTCCACTTGATCTCGGAGGTCAGAAATTTCTAGATGCCCACCCTTTCAATTAAAAACTCAACCTTTGAAACTCAGAGCAGCTTTTGGTATCCCAGGCTTGAAATCCAAGATGGTTACTCCCTCATCAACTGTAAAACAGCTGTACCTGTGACAGTGTTTACAAGCAACATGGTCTTCCCTCGTCTTTCACGTGTCGCCTTGACATGCAAACCACCAAGTAATCTGTAATTATTGTCCGGTATAGCTAAAAATGCTAAAAGCAACATGGGCCACTTTCATACTTTTTCTACTCATATCTGGAAAACAGTCAGCTCGGGTGAGACTTCGTCCTCAGCTCCAACATCTGATTACTGAGGTAATGCACCATTCGTCCAAAAACCAAATCCAAGCTGCCACGACTTTTCAGCCCAATCTAACGTCAGGGTTTTTCTTTCCATGTCTTTTTTCCCCCTGTTTCTTTCTCTTTTGGTCCTGTCTTCTCTAAACAGCTGATATCTATTTACAGCCTTCTCTCACTTTCTTTTTGGTCTTTGACTTTAAACCAAAACCACTAAAAACAAACAATTAAACCTACTTCTCACCAGACTTATCTTTGATCAGAGATGTGCATCCCAAAACTGAAGCTCCGTACATGTGATAACATCTAAGTCAGCTCGCTTAATTGACCAGAATGATGATGTGGTAGACAGCTCTGAAATCAAAATGTACTCAGTCCTGAAAAAACTGGATTATCCTGTAGATAAGAACTTAAGTCCTCAGTTGATCTAAATTATCTTAACCACTTATTTTATGGTGAAACTAAAGTTAAGTGCAGGTTCCAGTTTTCATCAGGGGCCTTTTCCCCCACTAATGTAAGCTAGGGATACATTGATGGGCATTGGTATCAGCTGATGTTAGGTCTGTTAGCACTGGCCTATGAGAAAATAATGTGTCATTCATCAGCGTTGCTAGCTGGTTCACTTTATATTTGGGTAATGCACAGAAATCCACACAGATACAGGACCCTGGTCTACATAGTCTAGGTTAAAACATCCAAAGCTGAGAAAAGTGTGATAACCATTCCTTCAATCCATCAACAGTGTTAGCCTTAGCCATCAGTGATAACACAAATGTCTGGATTTAAAGATTGTGTGAAGTTTCAATAATCCAGTTTGATTGGTTTGCTAATGGATGCCGCCAATTTGGGATGACTATGAAGACAGTGTTGGTTTTATCCATCAGTGAAAATGCAAATGTATAGATTTAAAGACTGTGTGAAGTTTCAATAATCCAGTTTGACTGGTTTGCTAATGGATGCTGCCAACGGATGCTGAGGATGGAGGAGAAAATTTCAACCAACAGCAAACTATCTGCACAAGAAGGGGCTGTAATGTTGTTTTTCATAGATAAAACACAGATTTGGTCTCTGTGACTGTTTCCATAGATGTGGTATGAAGCCTAAAGATGGTGGACACCGTATTGGAAATGACTCCAGACAATCCGAAAGTACTTGCAAAAAAACCTCAGGATGAAGGGTAATATATTTGCTACTTAATATGTATGAAATCATTCAAATCTGAGGTACAGAGAGCAAAATTGATTTTTGTACTATACTGTAAACATGTTTCTACATCTGTAGAATATGGGCATTTTAATATGGACTAATGGGGTTTTATAGGCTTTTGGAGACAGCCTCAAGTGGACACTATGCTCGCTGGATGCAAAGAAGGCAATGAGTCGCTAAATCTGACCTTTTGAAGGTGGCCCCCATTTACAAATAAGTGGTTAAAATAATTTCGTTGAACTGTAGCTGGGTTTTAAGGCCTGCCGGGGTGTGTGATGACTTCTGCTGCTTGCCCTGATGTGCTCAGTCGAAGTTGTCAAAGTATCAAACCGCTGAGTCAGAAGGTGAAAAACAAAACCATGGCGTAAACTGAAAATAAAGACCCAGGTTGTATTTTTTAAAAACAAAACAAAAAAAAGAAAAAAAAAAGAAAAAATGTTTAAACCAGTGAGTTGAGTCTGTGTGCAAGAACATCATGCAGATATCACTCCAGTCCTTTACAAGTACAGCCAATTCTACCGAACAAAGAACAAAACAATCCAAAAATATAAAAAAAACATCTGCCTGTTCTGTGGGGATGTCACAGCCCATCTTCCAATTTGTGTTTTCAAAGGAAAAAAAGTGCTCTGGACACCTATATAAGTATTTTCCATAGACAGTGGTCACACCTGTTTTACTATCTATCATTAAATGTGACAGATTCAGACTAAACCTGATCACACTGATGTGTCCACAAAGTGTCTTACCCCCACAGAACTGATATCTGATCTGGAAATACCAAATCTATGCCCAGGACTTGATTAGCTTACCGTAAAGTTGAAGCAGGGGGATAGACATATTTTTCTTTTTCCATATCAAATGCAGATTCTGGTATTTTTAAAGCTTGGCCCTTTTTAAAAAAAACCTGTTTGTGAGGTTTTGGAGCTGCTTTATTCTGCAGCCTTTAGTTTTTGTCCCTAATAGGCTCAGATTGTTCTTGTCAATGTCTGACATTACAATAGGAAGATGGTTTTTAACTAGAAACAGCTGTTGTATCGTTTTCTTTCCAGCCAACTCATTTGACTGATAAAGAGAGATTCAAGTTGGAAGTAAAATGTTTTTCTGTTGTGTTGGATCCAAAGTTACACTTAAAGTCACCAAAGTCACACAGGACATATAACTCACTGGAAAAAAAGACAGAAACTCTCCCGTCCTGGAAGCTTAGATCCTTGTTTTGTCAGTGGAGTATGGTAGCTGTGGCCTCCAGACTCCTAATCCTTCCGATCTGAGTGTCATCACTGCCCATGTCTATTTCCACACCTGTTACTCATGATATAAAATCCTCTTCACACTTCACTGTGGTTTGTTTACTCGGTTTAACTCAAGTGTGCATATGATGAATGCACCGCATACCAACATTACACTCTGCATCCTGTTGGTAGGACGTGGTGAATACCAGCAGCTCTAGTTTTTCTGCAGGTAAGTGGCGTTTTTGTCAGAAGAGTCTGGTGGCTTTAGGAAGAACACTAAAAGATGTTTTTCTTTGGTTATAAAAAAGTGCCTCAGTACATTATAGAAAGGATCCCTTTGCGTGAACCTTTTATTTAACCAAAAAAATAGTCTTAATACTGCTCTCTCTCTCTCTTAAGCCACAATTAACCGTAATTCCACCACAATGAAAATGAAGCGCATCAACCACATCCTCTCTCCTGGTTTGTTTGTGTTGTTGTGTGACTCAAGTGTTTCAAAAGTTTTAAAAAGGATTCAACACAACACTAAAGACCGGAATCTCAAGCATCCTGTGAGATAAACCTTTTTTTTGTCGAAGAAGGCCGGTGTCTTAAAAGATGTCTATTTTCAAGACCAATCTAAGCCTTTAAACTTAAGCACTTCACGGTTGCGTTAAAGCCGTTTTAAACTGTTGCAATCGTAACAATTTTGTGTTTATTTGACATGTAGACCTCACATAAATAAATAAATAAGGCGCAGGTTTAAAAACACCAGAACTGCCAGTTTATATGAAGGGTGTACATACGGCCAGATCACACATCTTTCTGAGTGAAATGAAAAAGAGTTCATGGAAACCCGCTTATTAACCCTCTGGATGCTCCACCTTAACTGGGCTCATTATAGAACAGAGACTCTGCAGACAACACAAAGTGCTAACTTGGGTTTCTCCTATCCACTGACTGTAATCGTTGGCACAAGAAGAGCTCTAAGTTTTTATCTGAGAACATCAGCAGTGACTGGTCTACAAGTGTACATCCTCCGAAAACGTGCACAATACGGTATCGCAGTTCCAACCGCACTGATTATATAAATACTGTTTTTTTTTTTATTTAGAGTCGTCAACACAGGAAGACATGGAAATAAAATGTTTCAAACAATCATGGCAACCTGTGGCCAAAAAACAAACATTCTGAAAATGTCTAAGTGCACTTACACAGCTCTGACAAGATTTGAGTCTAACCTGCGGTGTGTGTCTCCCCCTCCCAAAAGGAAAAAAAAAAAAAGGCCTGAAAAGAAAACAGAGAACTGCTTTTTGATAATGTGCCATTTTGGACCAAATGACAGGTGTTTCCAGATGCTTACCTTCATCGTAAATGGACTTTGTGGGAATATTAAGCGATGTCAGTGGGTGGAATGGAGCTCTTTCTTCAGCGGGGAATAAAATGACTACTCTAAGACTAGATTTTCTCCATGATTATCTGTGAATGAGAGTCAAGGGCGAATTTAACACCTCTTTGTTCAATAAATGGGGGTTATATTGCCTTCTTAAATTCGGCTTTGTACCAAATTTACATAGTTTAATATTAACCCTTGCCCTGTCCCTCGAGCAGGGAAGCTATCCCAACAGGCAGGCGTGAAAAATAACCCATTCCAACCTTAAAATAAATAATAAGGAAAATGATCCTCTCTATACATAGAAAAAAAGACAGGGAGGCGGCACATTCACATAAAGTGGATGTGAGGATTTGATCAGGAGGTCTCTGTGCTTACACTGACTGATGCGGGATGATGCAGGCACAGTAGAAGAACTACTCGAGCGCTCTATTGGAACCATTTCTCCTCTTTCATTTTGGACTTTCTCCAGGAAACATACTCTGTTTTGTCACCTGTTCGATTGTTTCTGATAAAGGAAGGGTGGGGCAGGGTTTCATGGGCTTTCTAAGAAGAAGGAGTCCGCCTGCTGTGTGTGTTCGGAGCGCTTGGGGGGGAAGGGGCTCAGAGCATGCCAAACCCTTTGGCATAGGTGATGGCTTTCAGCAGTCTCTCCCTCAGCTTCTCTTTGCTGCTGTACTCGGGCAGCAGCAGCACGTTAAAGCAAGTGTGAGACGTTGGTAACCTGCAGACACCAGACAACACAGACCTCATCAATATACCACACATCATATTATCATACCAATGATGATATGATGTTTCTAAAAGGCTGTTAGAGGAACAAGCAAAAATATATACTGTATTTTCCAGACTTTAAGTCGCACTTTTTTTTTTTAGTTTGCCTGGGTTTGCGACTTATACTCAGGTGCGACTTATACATACGGTGGATATAAAAAGTCTACACACCCCTGTTCAACTGCCAGGTTTTCGTGATGTAAGAAAATTACAGCAAGATCAATATTTTCACAACTTTTTCCACCTTCAATGTGACCTATAACCTGTACAATACAATTGAAAAACAAACTGAAACCTTTAAGGGGAAAAATGAAAAATAGAAAAGTTAAAATAACCAGGTTGCATAAATATGCACACCCTTAAACTAATACTTTGTTGCAGCACCTTTGGCTTTTATTACAGCACTCAGTCTTTTTGGGTAGGAGTCTATCAGCGTGGCACATCTTGATGTGGAAATATTTGCCCACTCTTTGCAAAACCGCTCCAAATCTGACAGACTGCGAGGGCATCTCCTGTGCACAGCCCTCTTCAGATCACCCCACAAATGTTCGATGGGATTCAGGTCTGGACTCTGGCTGGGCCATTCCAAAGTCTCAATCTTATTCCGGTGAAGCCATTCTTTTGTTGATTTAGATGTGTGCTTTGGGTCATTGTCGTGCTGAAAGATGAAGTTCCTCTTCATCTTCAGCTTTCTAGCAGAAGGCCGAAGGTTTTGTACCAACACTGACTGGTATTTGGAACTGTTCATAATTCCCTCCACCCTGACTAAGGCACCAGTTCCAGCTGAAGAAAAACAACCCCAAAGCATGATGCTGCCACCACCATGCTTCACTGTGGGTATGGTGTTCTTTTGGTGATGAGCAGTGTTGATTTTGAGCCAAATATACCTTTTGCAATGATGCCCAAAAAGTTCAACTTTGGTTTCATCAGACCATAACACATTTTCCCACATCAGATGTCTTTTGCAAAATTAAGCCGGGCTTTGATGTTTTTCTTTGTAGGATAAGGCTTCCATCTTGCCACTCTACCCCATAGCCCAGACATATGAAGACAGCAGGAGATTGTTGTCTCATGTTCTACACAGCCAGTACTTGCCAGAAATTCCTGCAGCTCCTTCAGTGTTGCTGTCGGCCTCTTGTTAGCCTCCCTGACCAGTTTTCCTCTCGTCTTATCATCAATTTTGGACGGACGTCCTGTTCTTGGTAATGTCACAGTTGTGCCATATTTTCTCCACTTGATGATGACGGTCTTAACTGTGTTCCATGGTATATTTAATTCCTTGAAAATTCTTTTGTTGCCCTCACCTGACTGATATCTTTGAATAATGAGATCCCTCTGATGCTTTGGAAGCTCTCTGTGGACCATGGCTTGTGCTGGAAGATGTGTCTACAAAAATGTCAGGAAAAGCTACTGGAACAGCTGAACTTAATTTGGGGTTAATCAGAGGCTCTTTAATTGGTGACAGGTGTGTGCTGACTCCAATTTAACCTGAGTTTGAATGTTATTGGTTAAATCTGAACACAGCCACATCCCCAGTTATTAAAGGGTGTGCACACTTATGCAACCACATGATCTCAGTTGTTTATTTTTACTTCACCTCCCTGAAAGATTTCTGTTTGTTTTTAAATTGCATTGTACAGGTTATAGGTCACATTAAAAGGTGGAAGAAGTTGTGCAATTATTTATCTTGATTTAATTTTTTTACATAACAAAAACCTGGCAGTTGAACAGGGGTGTGTGGACTTTTTGTATCCACTGTATATATTGAAATATATAATTTCACACATTTTTATTTTCACACTGACAGCCGCTAGAGGGCACTCTATGCTGGTGTACCAGTATCTGCTATTCCTGTACCACTTAAGATATACAAACTAACGTTAATTCATATCAACAACTGAGAAAGACTGAGCACAAATGCCGCCATAAAGAAAATCATATTATGCAGATTACAAGCTGCAGGTAAGAAATATGCAAAATGGAAATTGAGCAGCAGAGAGAGAAAGTTTGGAGTGAGCGAGAAACTTGTGAGGGACTGGCGAAAAGTTTACTCTGACTGCGATGAAGAAAACAGAAACAACTAATCCTAGGCTAAAAGCTAGACAGCTAGATTGTTATTATAACTTGCCTTTCAAGATGAAATGTCTGTTCTTGGATTTTGTAAAATAAATTTACCCCCAAAAATGAAACTAAATGTTTTTTCTTCTTCATTACGCATTTTTTTGCTGGTGCGACTTATACTCCAGGGCAACTTCCAGTCCGGAAAATATGGTATACATACACTCACTGGCCACTTTATTAGGTACACCATGCTAGTGACGGGTTGGACCCCCTTTTGCCTTCAGAACTGCCTCAATTCTTCGTGGCATAGATTCAACAAGGTGCTGGAAGCATTCCTCAGAGAGCTTGGTCCATATTGACATGATGGCATCACACAGTTGCCGCAGATTTGTCGGCTGCACATCCATGATGCGAATCTCCCGTTCCACCACATCCCAAAGATGCTCTATTGGATTGAGATCTGGTGACTGTGGAGGCCATTTGAGTACAGTGAACTCATTGTCATGTTCAAGAAACCAGTCTGAGATGATTCCAGCTTTATGACATGGCGCATTATCCTGCTGAAAGTAGCCATCAGAAGTTGGGTACATTGTGGTCATAAAGGGATGGACATGGTCAGCAACAATACTCAGGTAGGCTGTGGCGTTGCAACGATGCTCAATTGGTACCAAGGGGCCCAAAGAGTGCCAAGAAAATATTCCCCACACCATGACACCACCACCACCAGCCTGAACCGTTGATACAAGGCAGGATGGATCCATGCTTTCATGTTGTTGACGCCAAATTCTGACCCTACCATCCGAATGTCGCAGCAGAAATCGAGACTCATCAGACCAGGCAACGTTTTTCCAATCTTCTATTGTCCAATTTCGATGAGCTTGTGCAAATTGTAGCCTCAGTTTTCCTGTTCTTAGCTGAAAGGAGTGGCACCCGGGGTGGTCTTCTGCTGCTGTAGCCCATCTGCCTCAAAGTTCGACGTACTGTGCGTTCAGAGATACTCTTCTGCCTACCTTGGTTGTAACGGGTGGTTATTTGAGTCACTGTTGCCTTTCTATCAGCTCGAACCAGTCTGGCCATTCTCCTCTGACCTCTGGCATCAACAAGGCATTTCCGCCCACAGAACTGCCGCTCACTGGATATTTTTTCTTTTTCGGACCATTCTCTGTAAACCCTAGAGATGGTTGTGCGTGAAAATCCCAGTAGATCAGCAGTTTCTGAAATACTCAGACCAGCCCTTCTGGCACCAACAACCATGCCACGTTCAAAGTCACTCAAATCACCTTTCTTCCCCATACTGATGCTCGGTTTGAACTGCAGGAGATTGTCTTGACCATGTCTACATGCCTAAATGCACTAAGTTGCCGCCATGTGATTGGCTGATTAGAAATTAAGTGTTAACGAGCAGTTGGACAGGTGTACCTAATAAAGTGGCCGGTGAGTGTATATTAAAGGAATTAAAAACAGGTAGCAGCAGATTCATAAACAGAGCTGCCTCACCTGTCTGTGTCTGGGCCGTTCTTGGCAATGATCATCTTCAGCTTGCCCAGACCCCCCACAGGTGCTCTGTCAGTGCCAGTGGTGAACTGCAGGAAGAGGCGCTTCTGTTCCTCCCCGAATGAGTGCAACGTCTCCCAGAACTCCCTTTGGAGCACACAAACATCCATGAGACAGCGTTTAACAATTCAATATACAGAAATATGAATCAATTACCAACCGTCTTCACATACTTTTTAAAAAATATATACAAAACTCAAACTGTCTTACTTGATAATTCTTGAATCTCTGTTGTAACCTCCGTCGTATTCTGTCGTTTCTTCAAGTGCTATAAAGTCCAGGTTCTGCAAGGTGAGACAAAGCAAACATGTACGTAAATATATATATATTTTTTTTAATACAAAACTTTTACAGATTTTTATCATGTGGTTAAAAAAAAGTCTCACCCTGCTCCCACAGATGAGGAGCTCGATCTCCTCGGGTCTGAACAGGTACTTGAGCGGCGACTCGTTGGTGACCATGTGGAAACCTCTCCTGAACGCTTTGAACTGTTTCTCCACGCTTTTGTTAAGCATGTACTCGGCATACTGCGCTACAAACTCCTGCACACACACACACACACACACACTGGAATTATTCAATGTTCAGCTGGTGAACCCTCTTCAACTTTTAAGGGGAACTGTTTCACTGTTAGACTTAATGGCTAACAGTTGAGGTGCTTCATGTGATCATCCAGACTCACTTTTCTGTTCTCATTTGTAACTGGAATCTTGTCCCCATTTTCCCTTAAGTCGTACATTAGTGGATTCCCGAACAGATCCGTCTGGGAAATCTGAAACGTGATCATCATGTCCTCCTCCACGCTTCCCTCGTACTCCAGCAGCTCGTTCAGACTCTGGTACAAAACCTTTTCAAACAGAGTGTTTCACTTACAATCACAGCAGTCAGAGAGTTTGACCCTTCTACAGCTACAGGCTTCAGAGGTGCTTACCGGGTTAGCGTCAGCCAGGTCCCTGAAGGTTCCTTTCTTGCCCATGAGCTTCCTGTACACCACCATGGGGAAGTGGACATCCAGGATACAGTTGTTGTAGATGGCCAGGCCGAGGACGATGCCTATCAGGGTGTACTGACCTTCATTTTCAAACGACGAGGGGTTGAACCAGAACAGTTTGGTGCCCTCGTCGTACGTGAACATGCCTGCAGGAGAAGAGAGGAATTGTGATCGAGGCATGGTGAAAACAGAGGCACCACTAAAAAAGAACAAAATTATAGTAGAACATTTTCAGCCTTGACCAGTGAGTCAGGCTGAGACAAATAACAGTAACAAATAACTGCAGGGGAGTGAACCGACCATGAAGTCTATTTGATTGTCTGTGTGTTTGTGTGTTTACGTGTCGCTCCATGATCATCATGCAGTTTGTATGTCGGCAAAACTATCAGCTCTTCTCTGTTTTGATAGCAGATAATCAACAAAGATGCAGTTATTGCTTAAACTATTTTGAATCACTGTGAAGCCAGTGAATAATAAGGCCCGACTGATTTATCGGCGTGCCGATTAAATCGGCCAATTTTAGCCCGTTTGAGACTAATCGGTAATCCGCCAAAACTCACTGATTTTCGCCGATATTTTCAGAAATAAAATGCGGAGAATAAGATTCGGTTTCACTTCGAAAATGTTCCGCCATTTGAAAAATTCCCAGACTTATCCTGTAGATGGCGCAGCGACCTCATGACAATCTTCATCCACTAACTACCTCACAGCACAGCAGAGTGACGGATCTGAAGCAGGCAGCTCAGGGACACAAGGAGGAGAGTGGTCCGCCTCAACGGTAAATAAACCAGTTTGTGAAATACACAATAAGTCAACAAGTTTCAGTTCAACCCACGTCACGATGTTCCCCGCTGTGCTGGTCTCGGTCACGCCGAGTTAACGGTGAAGCACCATGTAATGCAAGCTAAAGTTAGAGTTAGCCATCTGCTATTTGCCTTGCTACACTGTTAGCTGTGCCAGTAACAGTAGAATAAACAATAGTACACATTACGTGATCGAGCTACTTCTCTTACTGAGGCAGCTGCATGTCTCCAAATGAGACCAGACCGGAAATGTGTAACGTGAGTTAAGACATGGAGGCACAGATCAGCGCGGGGGGGTAGTTGAAAACGCTTTTCTGGTCCGAGTTTGATCAGTCGGTCTTCCTGTCGGCGTCAAGAGCAGTAGCCTTCAGTATATCTGCAGTATAAAGTTCACTGTAGATGTCTACAGTATATATATATTTATTTTATGACTTAAAACTTAAAAAATCAACCAATAAATCAGTAATCAGACTTATATTTCTCATTTTACTGCCTGAATCCTTCAAACTTACAGCAAACACTGACTGCGTCTAACCTCGCACAGGAGGAAATTGAAGGCCACAATGGAAAGTTTGAAATGGAGATGGAAGGAGGAGGCGGCTCTCTGCATCAGCTGTGTGCTTCACTTTGAGGTTTTTGGGACTCCTTTTAATCCAGCAGTGACTCAATTCACATCGACAGTACATGCAAACAACTCCGGTCTTACAGAGGTAATCATCTGGCAGAGCTTTGAGACTGAATCTGTTATTCAGACCCATTTCTTGTCCAAGGAGGTCTATTTCTGCAGTATCACTTCCTGGTTCTCTTTTCCTTCTTGTTTTAAGGCTGTTACAGCTGTCATGATGGTGCATTACCACCACCTACTGTTCCAGTTTCAGCTTCCTGATTCTCAAATCTGATGTATTAAAAGGGTTTGCACCAATCTGTTGCATTATTACTGTGTTAGCTTTGGAAGTTAAAACTCCAACTAACTTCAACCATCAATTTAACCAATGTTTTTTTTTAGTTGATGACTTTTTGAGACATGACAAGTGAGACGACAGACAATTTAATTTCTCTTCAGGGATAAAATTATTCTTAATTTTCATTTACGACTAAATCCAAGAAACATCTTTTTTTGCACGCTGCGTCTACTTTTAAGATCTTTCAGAGCCTGCTTTTCTGCAGCAGAAATATCAGAACATGACACTCAAAAGTGTCATAAAACATCCTTCACTGCTGAAGCTGTGAGAGCTGCTGCTTGGAGACAGGGACAACTTGACACAGAATCAAAGTGAAAGTAAAAGTACATGTTGTTCAAGGCTAGGTTAGGTATTTATCCTGCCTATTATCTATTAACTCCAATAACCCACACCCTCCACACACACACACACACACACACACACACACACACACACACACAGCTTTACAGCGCAATGGAATAATTATACAGCTCAGTTCAGAGGAAATCAGCTTCGTGTTCACTTCTCAGTAAAGAGGCTTTTGATTAAACCGGCCTTTCAGTGCCACACACATTCTGCTGAATAGAGGAAAAGTGTCCTTGCTGCCCCCACGTCTCAGGAACTAAGCTGGTTGCTGCTGAAACATTTTCATACTGATAGAAATCTAATAGGAAATACAGCCTATCTACAGAAACTCTGCAGCCTCACGAGCAATAAAAGCTATGCTTTGATAAAGTCAGATGTGGTGCTTTCAATAAAAGCTACAATTCTGGAGCCAGATTTTCTTTTATACAAATCCGATCAAATCTTCTCCAACAAGATAGCTTTTCCATTTGCTGGCATTTGTACAAACCCAAAGCAGCGGCATACTTGAAAAAAATCTAATCTAATACATCTATTCAGTGTTGTTTTCGTTGACGTTGCCGATATTTCGTCAACGTCAACGAAAACAACACTGCAGAATATATGTTTAGTGTTTGACTGACGAAATGCTCATGAATTTTGCAACTCTGTTCGTCATCCACCACTAACGTTTTCGTTTGGTCTTGTCTCTTCAACGTAAACGCACATTTTAGCCATCTAAGACTTATGTTTAGCTCGTCAACGTCACGTCTTTGTCGTGGAAAAAAAAGGGGCGTTGACGAAAACAACCAGCGTTGTCTTTCTTCAGGATGACGTTGACAAAATATTTTCATCAACGTCATCGTCAACGAAAACAACACTGCATCTAATACATCTGCCATGAAATATGTCAAAACAACAAATTTTACCCAAATCCTGCTCAGTTGATTTCACTAAATAATCTAGAGTAGATCAGATACAACTTTTGGTGAGAGGTGGTCAAGAGCTTTCCAAGGATAAACCTGTGAATTAGGGCTAGGTGATAAACCGCAAATTTACCCATTCCAAAATTTACAACAATAACCAACGTCATTTTGCCAATATCGATATATCAAAAGTTGGTTTTGGATGTGTGTAGGTAGGCTATGGTCTCATGTCCCTTTAAGATGCTGGTCTACATCAGAGACGTGACTCCACCCCATCCAGTCCGTAACAAAGAGGGAAAGACAGGTGAGGAGATAGAGGACGGTTCAAAAGTTGTAGCGACTGGAGTGGTGGCTGAAGTAGACGAAGTTGATGTGGGAGAAGCTGAGCAGCTTGTGGAGTAGTTATCGTCAATTTATCATTATCGAGGTGAACTGCTCAATATATTGTGATATTGATTTGAGGCTGTATCGCCCAGCCCTACTGTGAATATAGAAAAGAACCTGAAACGCAGTAAGAGTCCGGAGTTTTCTGAGTCTAGAACCTGTTGATTTTTTATTCCGCCAGCCTCTACAACACAAACCATTACAGAAACAATGTGTTTTGTGCACTCCGCTCATTGTTGACTTCTTAGTTTCAGGAGTATGCTGTCAAATGCCACACCACTGTAAGACTTTCGATGACGACAAAGCACTTCAGTCAGAAAAGTATCAAAGCATGATTCTCAGCCCCAATCTGTTGTTAATTCATTCAGAGAAATTTGCCCACAAAATCATACTGTGCCAGATGTTGTGGATCATTCTTGTGTTTTCTCACCAATATCTGGGTTAAAGATCTCCTCCACCACCAGCTGAAAGAACTCTTTGGAAACGCCTCCTTCATCTACACCTTGTTCTCCTTCAAACTCCACATACAGCTGCTTCTTCAAGTCTGCAGGATTCTCCATCGCGATCATTTCCAGCTGCAGACAGATGATAGAAAGACATCAGTCCACTCACGTACAAACGAATACAAAGGAGATAGTCTTAAGTTGGACCTGTGACACACTTACCCTGACCAGAGCGTCGTCGATGATGTGGTCTCGCCGCACTTTCAGCCTCAGGTAAGGGTTGAGCTGCTGGCCTTGCACCAGGCTGTAGAGGACAGTGATACGCCGCTCGCTGTACATGCGGATGCGGTTGTCGTAGTACAAGCCCAGGTTCTTTGTGACGGCGTTGAGGATAAAGGGACAGGTCATAAAGGAGAACTTGTTCTCAGTTTCCACCTTAAAGAAAGTGTAGTCCTTGTCCATCTCCAGCACATCGTTCAGCGGCTCATTCACAAACTCCTCGAAGGGAATGAGCGGCCTCCGGCAGTCGTTGGTGCGGATCCCTAACTCCGTCTCTAGTGGGTCCACTCGGGGGCTCTTCTTGTTCCGCCGCTCCTCGCCCAGCAGCTCCTGCAGCGTGAGCTCGCTGGACTCTGGAATGGGCTCCTCGTCTTCCTCCTCGTTGTGCTCGACGTCCAGGTCGCCGCCCAGCACATTTGCATAGTAGACGATCTTCAAGCACTTGGTAGACGCCACCACGGCGTCATCATCATTGACAAGGTTGCGGGTGTTGAACTCGTTGCTTATCACCTTGTATGTGATGAGCTGCTGGAACGTCTCTACCATGCGGCGAATCTGCTCGGCACCGTAGTGCGACCACAGGCGGGCCAACTTGGCTTGAGCCGCCAGCGGGAGTTTACTCATAGCCTTGCAGAACTGCGGCAGAGCAATCTCCAGGTACTCGGGACTGTGGAGGTTGTTGTTTTCCATCACTATAACAAACAGGTTCAGGTAGTTGGGGTCTCGTGAATACACGTTGTGGTACGTCAGGTCGCACTCTACATTAGGGGAGAGGTAGACCAGTGCATTCAGGAAGGCCGCTTCTATCTTCTCATTGGACAGCAGGCGCTCATAGACCCGCCGCACAGCTTCAATGTCCACTGACACCTCATCTGCTGCCAGCTTTTGGACATCGTTGTCCCCCGAGGAGCCCTCACCGAGCCGTGACGATGAAGAGGCAGCGGGGGAATCCTCCTCCATAGCAGAGCAAGCTGCGGCCTCCTTCTCGTCCTCGTCTTTGTCCTCGTCTTTACCCTGAAGGGACTTGAGCTCCTCCTTGGTGTGAGGTTTGGACCTTCTGAAGCTCTGCACAAGGCCCTCAGCACTGGAGAAGACCCGACCGATAACCCTGATCAGAGGCGAGTAATCCTCTTTCTCTCCACAGATGTCCAAAATCTCGTACACTTTCTCCTCTGTCAGGTAATTTACGTCTACAAACACAATTAGACAGTCAAACGTTAGAAATAATTCTAAACCAAACAGTTCAACTTGTGATAAAATGATTGTGACTGTGGGTTATGATTTACTATTCCCTGATGAGGATGATAAACTTCAAGATATTTAAATCAAAGAAGAGATTGACTGAACCTCTAAAGATAAGCACATTTTCAACTAATGGGGCTAACATGTGGTCAGTTATTTGGATGTCACAGCCAGCTCTGTTAGCGGGATATCTTTGTTGTATCCATTCAAGAGCAAAACACACAGTCTTACTTTAAGTTAGGCCTGGACGATATAGAAAAAAAGCATATCGATAAAAAATAAATCATATTGATCGATATCGATAATTATCGATATAATTATTATAATTATTTAACATATATTTTAATTGCAGCCCTGGATGTTTTATGCTATTGCTTAATGACCTACTTTTAATAAAGAACACACAAGCACTGAATTCAAATTCAAACCTTTATTCAACCACCTTTTTTATTTTACCACAACTGAAAGTTTTTTTAAAAAAGAACTAAAAAAAAAAGAAATCAACTTAAGTGGCCTGAGTGACGTCAGTAAATACTGACAAACATAAAGACTATAGTGACCAGAAAATCTGATAAATAAATATATAAATAGTCTTTTGATGAAAATAAACAAAACAAACAAATATATAAATAAACAGAATAGCTTTAGGTGGGAATAGCATACTACCAGTTTTAACTGTGTGGGAAACTGCCCACAGCCTGGTGTCTGAACACTGAAATATTTCTCCCGGGGTCGGGAGATTTATTTTTTTTAATTATCATGTGATTGACTTAATACACAAACTAAGCACGAGAAGCAGGACTTATCCACGCCGGTGTTGTGTCGTAGAATGCACCCCTGCCGAATGCACCCCCTGCTCGTAGCCATGATCCAAATACTCGCGTCTTTGTAAAATATGAGCTCATTTGAACATATTTCCTCCGCACTCTTCTCACCTTTTCAACCCCTGACCCATTTTCATGCCTGAAGCGCTGTGTTTGAGAAATACTTGCGGCCGGGCACTTCATATCGCGGGTCGAGAGTGGCTAGAAGCTGGTCGAAGCCAGGCTTTTCAGCGGTAGTTATTGGTAGTATTTCCCTCGCTATGGAGCATGTTACTGCATGGGTGATGTCCTTATGCCGCTTGGACGCTTTGTCGTATTTTTGGCAAGAAACGTAGTCCAGTTTGATCTGCTTCAGTTGCTTTGTGCTGGTGCTGGCAGCGGTTCCAGAGGATTCCTCCTCCTCCGACGACGTGGAGCCGCGGCGCGGCCGACACAGCTCGTACTCCTGCGGGTGCGATCGGCTTAGATGGTAAAACAAGTTGGTTGTGTTACCAGACTTGGTTTTTACTAATTCTCTGCAAATTTTGCAAACGACCGCTGTTCGCTTTTTGTCAGACTTCTAAAAACCAAAACATTGCCATGCTGGTGAACTACTGAAACCTTTTTTCGGGACAATGTCCTCCGCTTCTCCTTGCTGTATCATTTTTTCTAATACACGTGCTGTCTGTTGTGGTTTGATAGAGGCTTGGCTTGGTGCCGTAGCGTACCTGGGTCTGCGTTTGTGATTGGTTGGGAGGAAGTAATGACTGTAGTAAAAGCTACATGATAGGCTATGATGATAAAGAAAGGGAAACTGTGTTTTTTTATCGAACTTTTTATCGACCCGTTTTTTTTCTATCGCACCACACGTCTATCGATCGATATATATTGTTATCGAATTATCGTCCAGCACTACTTTAAGTATTAAGTGGTTTAGTTTTAGTTATTCTTGCAAATGCCTAAACTCTTAGTTATGGAGAGAAGGGGACTTCTGTGTTTGATGCTACCTCCTGGAGAACCCCTGTCTGTCGAAACCGCTTGAGAAGACTCCTGATATCAGTCCGATATTAATAAAAAAAAAAATAAAAAAAAAAGGAATATCAGAGTATATCAACCTGTATCTAAAATCTCCGATATCAGCACTCCAATATAAGCAGTCCATTACAGACTCCGCTTCGGCACCTGTAGCTAGCAGCGCGCTGATCCAGCAAGCTAAGCCCACAAAATCACAACAACACTGTGTACTAAGGTACCAACAAAGTAGCAAGAAATAAGAGTGATGTTGGCCTTGCGGCAGTATTTTTCGTTAAAGTCCGAAAAAGACGTTGCCGCTGAGTGAAAAACTTATTGTGCACAATTTTGTTCCAATATCAGATCAATATCGGAATCGGTCAAAATCGAAGGCTACAATATCAGTATTAGGGCCCGACTGATATGGATTTTTTGGGGTAGATGCCGATTATTTGGGGGAGGGAAAGTCCGATTACCAATTAATCGGACGATTTTTTCAAGTTTTTATGAAGTTTAAAAATTTTGTTAATTTAAGTAATATATCTACATAATAATTTTTTTTTAACAAATGGCTGCTTTTGAGCCTTTCAAACACTTCCTCAAAGAATTAAAGGCAGAAAACTCATTTCAAATGCTTTTGATTGCTAAAACAACCCCTGGCTATTTATTTGAACTGTAATAAAGATGATAAACTAATTCTTTTCAGCTTATTATTCAGACTATAGTGGGTGTGAGTCTAATTATTTTGTCAACCTCCGTCTTGTCTAACTCACACACTTGTCATCATTCAAAATCAATAGCGTATATAAATAAATAAAAATTAAGCTAACTCACATACATCATAAAAAGTGAGGAACACCCGATATACTGTAGGCTACTGTTCCTCGTATTTATCATGAATCAAACTCGGACCATGAAAAGCGTTTTCAACCGAATCTTATTCTCTGCATTTTATTTCTGAAAATATCGGCGAAAATCTCAAATGGGCTTAAATTGGCCGATTTAATTGGCTCGCCGATAAATCGGTCAGGCCCTAATCGGTATCGTGTCATAAGTTGAAACGTATCAGGACAACTCTGATCCTTAACTATCTTTATTGCTCTGTTTCCACTTCATCCAAATCTCACGACTGTGTATTCTTCAACAATATTCTTAACCGACCAAACTCAATGTCCAGAGGAAGAGGATCAGATCTTAAGTGTGCAACAAAGGATCTTTGGCTTGTAGGGAAAGGAGTTGTTTCATCTAATTCAGGGTAAAAATTCAGTTTTTTTTGTTGTTTTTTTTACATTGTCTTATGTCTTAGTTTCAGTTTGGGATTAACATTTTTAAAGCTTTTTTCTTCAAATTTGAGCTTCTTAGTCATAGAATTACTACACAGATTATTCCTGTAAAAGCTGACATATACACTCAATACTACTGACTTGCATGACAGGATTTTTTATTTTCAAAAATCAAAAGGATATCAAATTTGAATTGTTAACTATATTCTTAAAAAAAATCACTACTTATTGACTGAGATGATGATAAAAAGCAAAAACAAAAAACCAGACCGAGATGGTTGGCACAAATAAGCAATGACACAAATTTGGGATAAGGAGTTATAGGTTTTTTTTTCTCTTTATCTTTGATTTGGATCCCTGCTTTTGTACCCATAGATGTATTTTATTGATGTTTATTTTCCTTTGCCTGTTGATGTATTTTTTGGAATATGAAAGTTGTTTTATTCATCAAAGACATTGTATGCTTTTTTTGTCTCTTTTCTATATATTTGTCCTTGTTTAAAAAATAAAAATAAAGATAATAAAATAAATATCCATCAGAGAGCGATGAGAAGAGGAAAGAATCACAGTAAAACACCTTATTCCTGACTCTCACCTTTGAAATTGTCCCGCACAGAGTGGACATCTTTGTGGTTCATCTTGCTGTTGCTGCAGGCTGAGTTACTGTGAGCGCCGCTGCTCTCCAGGTACGTCGAGGCGGTGCCCTTCTTCGAGGGGTGCGGGTCACATAGCTTGGCGTTCACCTTGTACAGCTCCAGGGCTTTGACCGCCGCTGTGTTGTTATCCATGCGGCTGAAGCCGACTGACGAGGCACACCAGGAGTTGGAACATGACTCGTTCCCACAGCCCTCCGTTAACTGGTGGTAATAGCGCTCTATTAGATGTTTAGCGGCTGCTCGCTTCCTGCATTCAAAAGGTAAAACACAACAGGTTATAAGTGTGTTAAAATCCTGCTTAACCATCATGTGTATGTGCATGATGGGATTGGTAGGAGTGATGAGATTGATTACCATGTTTATAGTTTAGAAATGACTGACCAGTTAATTCACTGGAAAACCAAAGACAGCTGAATGAATGCAGTGATGTAGGATTTAGGACTTTAAAAAACAAACTTTGGCTCCTTTTAGGACTTAAGTCTTCTCCAAGAAAATAAATCCAAGTTTCAAAGAGGTAGAGTGGTTTTCTGAATGAGCATTTATAGAAATCTGGTGCTTTGAAATCCCCTGGAATAGAGACTTTGAGAACACTGTGGACTCTGTCGCAGTTTAAAATCTCTAAGACTGAGTTTGAATTTCTTGCACAGCCATGAGCAGACTTTTCAAAGTAAAGCACGCTTAATAAGGTCTCCAGAAAACACTTGTCCCTCTGTGTCTTTCGAACTTTATTAGAGAAAAACCAACATCAGCTTTCACCAGCTGCTGTTAAATCAACATAATCAATATAACACAGACTGTTGGAGCAGATAATGGGAAGTAATGAAGTTGTGGTATCACTGTTTTCACATGGAGATGTGTGGTTTTTTCCATGTAAGGTAGGAAACTTTGTGTCTCATGCAAATGTTACTGCAGTCAAAGTCTGGAGTGTGTTTTTTTTGTCTTGTCTAATTGTTCACTTTTGGAGCCTATGGAAGTAAAGAAACACGCGGTGTGTTCAGTAAGGCCAGTCGTTCTCAAGTCCAGTCCTGGAGGCATGATTCACACCTGATTCAAATGATCAGCTCGTTATCAAGCTCTGTGATGGCTTAATAACGAGCTCGTCATTTGAATCAGGTGTGTTGGAGCAGGGAAACATCCAAAACAGGCGGGACAGTGGGCCTCAAGGACTGGACTTGAGAACCACTGAGTAAGGCTATTTGATGTGGACTTTCATTCATCAGACTGAACTTTTATCACACATCAGTTAGTTAATCCAGGTGCAGAACCTCGGTGGGTTTACGCCTCTGCTTGGCTTCTACACAGTCACTGCCGTCGTTGAGATACTGTTTCTTACAATGCCACTAGTTCTTGGTTGGTGGCTGTTTTCATGCACCTGTTCACACCTAAATACAAATGCCTCTCATGTTTGTGAATGGTTGAAGGGAATTTGTTGTTAGTATGCAAAGTGATTAACTTAAAACAGTACTAATAACTTTCATGGGGGTTATATTTTTTTATTGTCATGATTAGCAATGTAACTATGAGTCTGTAAGGGGTTTTTGTTGGTTGTTTTGAATCTCTGTCGATTCCCCTCCTTATGCATGGAAGATGGGCCTGAATCGCACATGAATATTGATGTTGGGACTTTTAAAATGAGAAACCTCCAAATACAGTACAGATATGCTCTTTTTCCAAGTGTCTTTAAATAACATTTGTTGTGTTCATTAATTGTTTACACAATATAAATGAAAGTGACTTATGTAGATGTGGAAAAGACCATTCTGACAGGAACAAATGATCAAAAGCAATATCAGATTGAAACACACATTTATTGTCTCAGTTAAATTAAAGGTGCAGTAAGTAGAAACGGTAATATTTGACAACATCAAGTGTTAGCATTCGGGATGGAAACACTTCTGTTGAAGTGACGCTGCCCCTCAAGGATGCACAATAGGAACATGACGGTGCACGATAGCAGCCTCTGTGGAAGTGGAACCTGCTAAAATATGAAAACTTCTAAAGTCTAAAACCTGGTTTATCCTTCAGTATTTACATGATGCTATAGCTTCAACATAATGGCCTACACTGTTTTTAGCATTTCATATATGAGCGCTGTTGCATTAGTCGACAGTGGGGTTTCTTTGCTAGTCATATTGCCAGTTGTGGTTCCTGTTATGTCCCGAACCACTGCAGCTGAATCAGGAGTCAGAGCTGGAAATGTCAGTGACCAAGAGGACCAATCACGGGACGTGTGGTCTTGTGTTGTTGTAGCGCACAGTTGCGTTTTTGAGGAGGTTTAGGTCTATGCAAATCTACAGCATATTCTACTAAATCCATTAGATGCAAAAGTACAAATCAGGCTTTAGTGAACAACAATATGATTTATATTTTTGGGTGAATGCAACCCTGACCCTGCTCTTAAATGCTGGGTGCTTTCATATGACCATTTTAACATCAGTTACATCTAGGCATGTGCCGATATGAAAATCTTGATATCACGATATTGGTGGCCCAAAATATCACGATTCACGATATTATCACGATATTAGCGCAATGCTTTTAACATTATTAAAAATAGCAAAAAACTGCGAAATCACTTCTCTGTGCACAGCATGACACACGCAAACAATATGAGCAAGAGACAGCTAACGTGACGTTGGGAGCATTAGCTTTTTGGAGCTAAAGTTAGCAGAAACATCACTCATGTTGTCAATAATAAGCAGTAGAGTAGACCAAACTTGTTGCGGTCATGTTGTTTTTACCCTGATTTGAGCGAACGATGCTGGATGGTGTTCACGGAGGTTGGCATGTAGGTTGGAGGTGTTAGACAACGGCGCTGCAACTTCCTTACGGCACAACCTGCAGATTGGTGTCAGGTTTATCTGCTCTGTCTGTTTAGTGAAGCCGTAAACAGCCATACTGCCGACGAAACCTTTTTAATAGGAGGATACAGCCGAGGGGTTTCGTCATTCTCAGTCTCCGACTGTTCTTGGTCCGGCTGCATCGTTACGTTGGTTGGAAGTTGGAACGCGTGCATCAACTTTTTTTTCTTCTTAAAACTATTTCTTCTTCAAAATATTCAAACAGTGCTTTGGGTGGCCGCAGTGCATTGAGGGTGGCCACGCACTTTGTTGTAAAATTTCTTAATTTTCTCTTTTAATGTTCCTGTTTTTGTTAGGCTGGCATTAGTGTACTTAATTTGAGAGTTTGTTTTGGATTTGGGACTACTTTTGTGGTGGTTTGTTTGTACATTTTAGTACTGAGGCTTTGACATCGTGGGTAAGACTACAAGCAGGCTAGGTTGGTAAGTACTCAGCTTCGCTCGCCTACGTTGAGTGCTGCTGCCACTCATCTTTAAATTATAATCGTGGAACGATTATTAAAGTACCCTACCATTTCACCATCGCGGCCGTTTAATATTGCATATCGTGATTAAATCGTATATCGGCACATCCCTAGTTACACCTTGTTTGCAAAGTGTAAAGCACTGAGGTGTGATAGTTGGGTTGGTCTGTTCCACCTCTGATCCTCCCTTGAAGGCAGGAACACAGAAAGAATAGGGGAGGAGAAGTTGGCTATATGTCTTTACTCAGTCTCGAACACCTCTCATGTTAACTATTTATTTACAAAGAAGCTTGGATGAACTTGCCACTTGGTGCACAGCACTCTTGACAGGACTAATTTAAGAGCTCATAATGCCATATTGCTATCAGTTATTGTGTTGTAAAATTATATCACCACAGTATCAATGGAACACAATCCAACAAGGCCAAAAGAGGACAGGACAGATCAAACAAAAGAGGTCTGAGCGACTACTTTTGAAGGCCTGTCATCAATACAAGTTCACAGATGCTTATATATGTGTAATAAAAATAAAATCGGTTCTACTTACATTCGGCTTGCTTCTGGGTTTTCTATTTCAGGCTCCTCGTATTCTCTATTCAAACAACAAACACAACAGCAGCATGAAGCTCTGCAGAGGTCAGAATATGCTGCACTGACAGGAGCATTTCAAACAGGGTTACTGGCTTTTTACTGGAAGGAATTTTCCCTAAAACTGCACATTTTGAAAACCGTACATGCTTTGTTGACTGAAAGAATCAAAAATGAAACTAGAACTATCACTGAACAGCAACATTCGAGTGAATTTCTTGCAGCTAGAGGCAGTCAGATCAGCTTTCCAGTGATTGGGGTCACAGTTAGGTTATTGTAAAAACTGTGCAGCGATATTTAGTAGATTATAACTCTTTTTGTTTGAGTGACAAAATATCCCAATCATTCTGAAACGGGGAAATAGGGAAGCAGTAAAAATGTCAGACACCTGCAGTCTCTGACGCTGACTTAGCAAGCTAATGCGATACACAGGAGCCAGTTAGCCCGCCGGCCTCAGTAATCTAACTAATATTCACACAATAATAATATTTTTACAGCAGCAACATTTTATAATAATACATTAAATTATCTATGCATTCACTTTGCAAAGATTTGTTTATAAAGGCCAGGTAGCAATGGCATCCACGTAGCAAGAAACAACATTTAGCCAGCTAACTGCCGTAGCATCCCCGGTCTGTAGTGATATCGTCCCCCACCTCAGCGTTCCTCCCTCGGGGTTGCTCTCGGCCTGTGGTGGCGCACACTCACAGTCCTCCTTCTCGTCGGAATTCATACGAGGCTTTATCCTCAGTTGTTTTTATTCCGCTGCTGTTAGTGAACGCTTTAAGTCCGCCACAGGCTGATAATGACAACAACAGCAGGATATTTTCAATGAGGAGAGATTTGTAACACTAAACTTCATTCACGGCCTTCCTGATGTTGCCTCTCTCCTCTGCCGGAGCTTCTCCGCCATCTTGACTTCACCATTAGCCCAAGTCCCACAATGCATTGCGCTGAAGCGACAAGACCTGCTGGAATGGATCATAGGGAACCGGACTCATCAAAACCCAATTTTAAGGAACAATAACCTTGCCTAAAATACAGTTAAACCAGGTTTCTTTATTTAAAAAAAAACAAAAATTATTTTATTAATAAATTATTCAAAGATCAACTAGTTCATAACTTTGATAGAAATGTAAAAATGTATAATAGTGCTGAAAAGAGTGCATAATTAAGAACTTTTGGCATGATTTAGTTAAACTGGTTGAAAATTAAAATAGATAAAGTTGCACACTTGAAATTGGAACAAGTGCTGTATAGAAATTACAACATGCCAAAAAATTTTTTCAAAATTTGCAATATAAGAATAATTATGGGTAAATACCACATCCATAAAAGTAAATGGCAAAATAAAAATCCATCCCTTGCATTGTTTTAAACAGAACTTAAATCTTATTTTGCTTCCTTGTCACGAATTAAAAACTCTAGTCTAGAGCTAGAAAACCTATGTGATGATGTCTCTAAATATGTACTGTTGAAACTCAATGAATCATTAATTATCTAATATTTACATTTGCTGATTGTATGAATTCCAAAGGTAGGCCTTGCTGTAAGTTTTGTGTTTTTTTCTTTTCTACATTATGTTGTTCTCATGTATATTATCACTGTTGTTCAGTAAAAGTAAGATTACAATAAGTAAGGGAGATAAAAAAGTAAAACTCCCTCAGAACTTTATTCTTTATCCTATCATAAAAATTTATGAGATCGTATGAAGGATCACTTCACTTCACTTCACTTCAACTTTATTTTGTCCCAAAAATGGGCAAATCGGCTTGCAGCAGGCACAGACATTTAAAACACTGCCATACATCATAAAAAAAAAAATAATAATAATAAAATACATCTGCATAAAGAAACAGTTAAGGAGGTAAAAAGTATTTAAGATGATGTAGAAGGTGAAAAGAAAAGCATATGTCAGTCATACCAGTACTTTTGCATGAACAGAGTGCATAAGATAAAATGCAGAAACAAAGTGCAATGTGCCGTTTGCTCACCAATGTAAGACCCCTAGATGAAGCTTGATCTATGATAATAACAATAATAATAATAATAATAATAATAATAATAATAATAATAATAAGAAGAAGAAGAAGAAGAAGAAGAAGAAGAAGAAGAAGAGGAAGAAGAAGAAAAAGAAGAAGAAGAAGAAGAAGAATAGTAATATACACCATATATTATCAGAAACACTTATCTTCTCCTGCAGTAATACCACCTCTAAATTAAATATATCCTATAGAGAATTTCTGAGACGTCTTTCGTTTCTATGTACAATAAATTCTTCTACCCCAGTGATTGGACGGTCCACCTCCAGGTCCCCTGACTCAGTTTCCCCTTGGGAATGCATGACAGTAGGATTGAGGAGCTCCTCAAAGTATTCCTTCCAAAGTATTATAGATCATATTAACATGACAAAATGTGGAAGTTCTACTTTTTTAAGGACCCAATCACACAAAACCAAACCTATAGCCTTCATTTCATATTTTCCCAAGAAGAATTGTATAATAGCAATTTACTAGTTTGAAGTTCAATTGTGAAAGAAAATGTGTTAATGTCTTCTGGACATTTGTACATGATTTGCACTTACAGTTTAAAGCTTGTCCGTATACAGGTGAGGTATGTTGATGAAATGTCTTGTTAAATGAAAATAGAGTTTAGACAACATGGAAAAGTTACATTTCTTTTGTTTGTAGTCAACCAAACTGAGAAAAAATCCAGAGCTGGCGCTTTATAAATACATGTTTACAGAATTTCTCTGTCTTTTGTAGGTGTGTCAAGCCACAATAGTTGACTCAAATGAAAGCACATATGTAAAAGTTTTGTTCCTTACTAGTTAAGTCTAAATCATAAGCCGTGTATGGTTGCATTTTGGTTGTTCTCTGTAATTTTGTTGTGTGAACCATGGATGCATCACCATAACCAACTGGGGCCAGGGCATGCACAAAATAAGAGCCAAGAGGAGTGTAGTGTACTGCCTAAATAATTCACAGACCCTTAACTCATCAAAATCATCAAGTGGTTAAATCTGGAAGGACTTTTATCATTTTGATTCAGACTTTGATCATCCCTATGTTCCTGACTTTCAGCGTTAATACCTCCATGTTTTTGAACTTGATTGAAAACTGTTTGGTGGATCAGGTGTCTCCCCTGAACACCTCATAGACTGATCAGATCAAAATTGGGCCACATAACAACAACTGCTGGTAGTTTTTGTTACATTCCAATTTTTTGTGCACTTTTACTTTGGAAATAAAAAAACTCAATTCCATTGAAGTTGGGAAATTGTGATAAACGTAAATAAAAACAGAATACAATGATTTGCAAATACTTTTAACCTATATTCAATTGAATACACTACAAATATGAGATATTTAATGTTCAAACTCATTGACTTTATTTAATTTTTTTGCACTAATACAATACTACACTGTGTTACATCACTTTTCCTTTTAACAACACTCAATAAATGTTTGTGAACTGAGGAGACTAATTGTTGAAGCTTTGAAGGTGGAATTCTTTCCCATTCTTGCTTGATGTACAGCTTCAGTTGTTCAACAGTCCGGGGTCTCTGTTGTCGTATTTTACGCTTCATAATGCGCCACACATTTTCAATGGGAGACAGGTCTGGACTGCAGGCAGGCCAGTCGAGTACCCGCACTCTTTCACTACGAAGCCACGCTGTTGTAACACGTGCCGAATGTGGCTTGACATTGTCTTGCTGAAATAAGCAGGGGCGTCCATGAAAAAGACGTTGCTTGGATGGCAGCATATGTTGCTCCAAAACCTGTATGTACCTTTCAGCATTAATGTTGCCTTCACAGATGTGCAAGTTATCCTTGCCTTGGGCACTAATGCACCCCCATACCATCACAGATGCTGGCTTTTGAACTTTGCGTCAATAACAGTCTGGACGGTTCTTTTCCTGTTTCTTTGCCATGCCGCTTACGTGCAGTGATTTCTCCAGATTCTCTGAACCTTTTGATGATATTATGGACCGTAGATGTTGAAACCCCTAAATTCCTTGCAATTGTACTTTGAGAAACGTTGTTCTTAAACTGTTTGACTATTTGCTCACGCAGTTGTTCACTAAGTGCTGAACCTCGCCCCATCCTTGCTTGTGGATGACTGAGAATTTTTGGGGAAGCTGCTTTTATACCCAATCATGGCACCCAGCTGTTCCCAATTAGCCTGCTCACCTGTGGGATGTTCCAAATAGGTGTTTGATGAGCATTCCTCAAATTTCTCAGTATTTTTTGCCACCTTTCACAAGTTCTTTGTCACGTGTTGCTGCCATCAAATTCTAAAGTTAATTATAATTTGCAAAAAAAAAATAAAGTGTATGAGTTTGAACATTAAATAGCTTGTCTTTGTAGTGTATTCAATTGAATATAGGTTGAAAAGGATTTGCAAATCATTGCATTCCATTTTTATTAATGTTTATCACAATTTCCCAACTTCAATGGAATTGGGTTTTGTAGATCCTTCCTTTCCAATCTGTATGATTTATTTACATGCTGCTCCTCTGTTTCCTTTCTTTTTCAAGCTCCTGTGCTGAATTTGAGTGGTGTGAATTTGACGTCCCAGATGTCATTCTGTACGTTTTACTGGTGTTTCTTTATAGAAAATCTCATCTTGCTCTCCTTTGACAGTTAAATGCATTGCTTCCTCATAATTCTCAACTGTTTTGCTTGCTCTGACCACTACCCCCCCCCCCCCCCCGTTTTTTTCCCCCGAGAAATGTAAAACATTTACCAATTCCCATGTTCCCCTGATGTTAGTGTTCACTTTATAGGTCAAAAAGAAGTACAATTATAAGTTTCAATCTCTCTGAAATCCAGCCAAAAACTTCTTAGGAGTGTTTTAAAGTTGAACAATTCTACACAGGTATAGGTGTGTTGATGTTTTATGCTGTAATTTAAGTTCCAATCCAATCCAGGTTTATTTATAAAGCACATTTAAAAACAACAAATGCTGACCAAAGTGCTGTATAGTAAAATTAAAAACAATAAAAGACAGACAATTAACATGAACAATAAAACAAAGACACAGAAACACATCAAAAACAGGGGGACATAGATGGTTCAGTAAAAACATGATGAAAAGGCCAAGTTCTCAGAAGTTACAAGCCAGGGAGTAAAAGTACGTTTTCAAATTTGATTTAAAAACAGGCGGTGAGGGGGACAGTCGGACATGAAGAGGAAGAGCATTCAAGAGCTTTGGCGCAGCAATGGAAAAAGCCTGGTCACCCCTGAACTTTAATCTTGACCTAGGGACAGTCAGAAGGCACTGGTCAGAGGATCTGAGAGTCCGGGATGAAACATAGGGTTTTAAAAGATCAGAGCGATAAAAAGGAGCAAGCCCATTTAAAGATTCATAAGTTAATTACAAAATTTTAAAATCAATCCTAAAATGCGCAGGAAGCCAGTGAAGAGAGGCTAAAATAGGGGAAATGTGGTCATATTTACAGCGACCAGATAAAACAAAAGCTGCAGCATTTTGAACAAGCTGTACACGATTATGAGAGGTTTGGCTGGCACCAAAATAAAGTGCATTGCAATAATCAAGACGGGTTTTGATGAAGGCATGCATAACCTTCTCAAAATCACTAAAAGATAAAAAAAAGACATGACCTTGTTTAAAAGACGAAAATGGTAAAAACTGGCTTTGACAACTGCATTTATCTGCAGATCCTTTTTACAATCTCTGTCAATTAAAACCTCCAGATTTTTTACAGAGTCTTTAAGAAAGGGCTCAAAGGTGGACAGATCTACTCTGGTGCAGCTGTCATGTGGTCCAAAGACAATTACTTCAGTCTTACTCACATTTAATTTTAGAAAATTGAGAGCCATCCAGGTTTTTATGTCCCTAAGACAGTCCAAAAGTGGACATCAGCGTAGAAATGAAAATAAATGTTATTTTTGGGGGGCACTTCACATGGGAGAGGAGCTGAGGAGGAGGTGGCATCACCAAGGCTGACAGAGAAGCTCCTGTCAGCCAGGTATGACCTGAACCACTCCTAATTCCCACCCTATGTTCAAGATGAGAAATTAAAATGTTGTGATCCACAGTGTCAAAAGCGGCAGAAAGATCAGCTGAATCCCCAGAATCAGTGAGCAATAAAATATCATTAAAAACCTTTAAAAGCATTGTTTCAGTTCATGTAAATATGATGACAGGGGGAAAATGGAATCCATTCATGTCAGCGTGTGCATAAATACTTATGAGATCGTTTATTTTCGAGCTAATAGTGGATGCATTAAGTTTATCTTTTAATTTATATTTAAATATTTTCAAAGTAGTCGAAATTGGGAGGGAAAGCAGCAGAACTGGCAACCTCACAGTAAGCTGCTGGCAGGTTAGAGTGCGCATGCCCTTGACCACCATATCGAACTGGGGAGCGGCGAGGCCACGAGGAGGTAAGTACTGACTTCTGTATTTCACATTATAAGTTTCTCCTGAGTTAAATACTTGTTTTTTTCTCGGTGTTTTTAAATTCTGTAAACTATTTAGACGGAACAGAATGAATAAAACATATATAAAAAAGGTTTTAAGTAATGGCGAGTTGAGGAGGTCATTTCAGCTAATGCTAGCACCGCGGCCTGCATCCTTCATGTACCTTCATGTGGCTTTTATACCTATTTGCATTGTATGCTATAGTATCAACCTCCAGGCACAGTAGTCATTGAAATATATAAACTTAAAATGCATGCTTGTTGCATTGTAGGGATAAATCGCGTGAGAATAAGATGTAAAAAGATATTTCCATCGTTCTTGCGGGACTTCACTCGTTAGCAGGTGTTCTGGAAATTGCTGGTTCATAGTAGCCTAGCCCCGTATGTTGGAGGCTATTGATTCGCGCTATGTATTTTCGGTTTTTGGTGACTTGAGGGGGGGGGGGGGGTAAGTTTATGTTTAAGACCTTTTTTAATGAACAAGTTTATCTAAACTATATTCTGAAAACTTTGTAGAGTACCAATGCCTTAAACCGAAGTGTTCAAGGTAATCTGGTTGTACGCATGCGCAGATCCGATGAGTAAGCACATTTCAGCAGGTAACGTCACTCGGTAAAACACCGAGAGTAGCTCTAATTACTTAATTTATAACAGGCGGCAACTTTTGCGTTAACTCCGGCCAATTTTATTCAATAGTGGTCATATTAAGAAAATATTTGTATTACTCAACACATTGCAGCATTTAAACGTGAATTAGTTGGTTTCACCGGTCTTGTCGCTGTTATTTTACCCGCTACTCCGAGCTAAATTTAACCCAGTTTACTGAAAACGTGCCCTGCCACGTTATTCGCAAAGGTAAGCCTATCATGGAAGCTAAATGTTACTGTGACGCTTGCTAAAGACAAGAAATGTGATATTTTAATTTAGTTATCCGAAAAGAAATGGACTTATGATACCCGTGGCCTGATTTCCCTGGTGTGGGGTACCTTGGAGTAACTAAAGCCAGTTTTGTTTGTAATTTTTCTAGATTGAAGAAAAATGGATGACTGGGAAGAAACGGTAAGCCAGTCTGCTTTTAAAGTGCCAACAGAAGAGCCATTCTATAATTAGGGGTACATGTCATTTCCATGGACTGTATTTCTTTTTTTCAATTTGAAGGGCACATTTCTGTTATTAAATACAAAAAGTTTAACAGATATCTTTTTTTGTTGTTGTTGTTTTGCAATAAATGCATGTATTACATTGGAATTTGTTGGTTTTATGCTGTCCGATTTTCTCAATGTCAGGTTTAGCTCTTCAGATTAACATAAAATTTATGTTTTTGTACAGAACTTTTGTAAATATTTGTTTAAAGTAATCACTAAAATATGAGAAAGATGCTTTAATTTCAACTTTGTCCATTCATACACATTAAATCATCCGCTTTGTGTGTGTTTGAGAAACTTTTGTCAACTGTGTTACCCTGTTACCCTGCAGTGCCAGTACAGGGCTCGGCGTGATGCTGATCCTGATAGAAGAGCTGCATATTTACAGAAACACATAAATCTCTTAAATGTTGAATAAACGGTTACAAAAAAGATGGAGCAGGAAGTCTTACGTAAGAATGGTGAATAACTCTAAACTCAGTGTAATGTGAGTTTATGTTGAAAAAGGTTGCAGTCTACATCATCGTATCCCATTACATCACCATTATGAAGCTCAAAATTTACAATTTTTTAAATCCGTTGGACAGATAAACTCAAAACCCCAGGTGTATAGACTCAAACACTTTCAAACAAATGTGTTACCAAATCTTTAGTATTTTATGTATGTTTTATATGACACAACATATGTCCGTAACACAGTTGACAAAATGATAAATCAAATGTTCATTTTCATTAAAATAAATTAAAAGTCCTTTGAGCCTAAGCTTGCCAATTAATTGATTAAGGGTGTATATCATAGAAACATCTAGTTAAGTTATTAAAAAAGGATACTGATATTTTGAGTTTTTGGTCAGCCTGAAATGTACCCCTAATTGTAGAATGACTCAGAAATATTTCATTTTCACATTATTTGCTCAAAACAGGAGTGCAAACATATAACACAAATGGCTTAAATTTTCTCCACAGAGTGCCCCTCCTAGCGGTAGTGGACCGCCTCCCTACAGCTCAATTGAAGGTATGAATTTATGCAACATTTAAAGCTGTTATGAACATACTTAGGAGTTTTGTAGGTTTGATTCCAAGAATTTAGGGGAAAAAAACAAATCAACATGGCGTGGAAAACAGCTGATATGTAGCAGGTAAAAGTTAGGAAAGTCGGTGCGTTCATTTCCTGAGTTTTAATTTAAATTCAATATGATTTTGATGTTGTCTTTAGGGACAGAGGGCAACTCCTGGAACACTGGTGGAGGTAATCATAGAGCTGATTAAGGAATAATTGACTTTACCCGTCCTGTAGGAAGCATAATTCTTGAAGCATAATTTTCCTGTGGTTTTTCCCCAGGTCATGGAGGGAGAGGTCGAGGCAGAGGAGGAGGATATAAAAGCTGTTTCTCTTCAGGTGCTCCTTGAGTTCACAGTTATGGTGGTTAATGGAGTAACTAAACCTTCACTGACAGAACAAAAATATGGAGTGTTTTGTAACAGAAATGAAGTCTCCATGTAAAGCTGGGTAGACCTGCAGCCATTTATCGATTGATTGTATAAATCCTCTGATAACTCAACAAACATTCTCCATTTTTTTGGATAATTTTGTGTAATATCTGGAGGGAAAAGGTGTTAGAAAAAATTGATTAGACCTGTAAAATATTGATAATTCCCTTTTTTTTTCATTTCCCCTCTGTGACTATAAACTGAATCGTAGGCAAAAAAGACATTTGTGTCTGTCAACATCTAAATATTCTTGCAAAGGTTTGAGAGAAGAGGGTTTAAAACTATCTGGTCAAAGCTTCTGAAAATGAATGACTGTGAGAGCACATACTCAGTTTTAAGTTCGACCTCTCTTTGGATCTCTGTGGTTACAAAGAAATGAGTTGATCTCTTAACAGTTTTTCAACTATTTTTGTACATTTAGTTGACAAAACGACAACAGGCTGCAAACCATGGTCACATTTACTGACAGGAAATCTGTACTTTCAATCTATTTGAAATTACATAATACAGAGAAATGAGCATTCAGATATTTAAGGACATGAAAGATTTGGTTTTGTGAAAATAAAATTACACTAAAGACAGAAATGCATTGAAAGGCACCTTAAGTTTGTAGTTTTCTTAGATTTGTAACCCCATTAACATCAAACTGTTTAGACCACAGCTTGGTATGTTTCTTTTAACTAAAATCCAGCAGGTGTGTGTTTTACTGACTTCATACAGCAAGGTTTAAACATCACGGCTTCTTGTTTTGCAGGTGGTGACCAGGATGGAAATGGTGAGCACGGGGAAGGTAAGGGTTCAGTGGTGTTTGTTTCTTGGCGAACCTTGGCTGAATGAACCTAACCTCTTTGTGTTTGATAGATGGAGATAACTGGAACCAATCAGGTGAAGATGGTGATGGTTTCAGAGGAAGAGGCAGAGGAAGAGGTAGAGGAAGAGGTGAGACATCAAGACTGATTAATGATGATGTGATGCTTTGATGGCCAATATTCAGGTGTTGAAAGTAAATGAGCATGTTTTAACTGACGTATATTCTGCTTGGTCGCAAACAGGATTCGGTGGCTTCAATCGCAGTGAATTCCATGGTAGTACTTTAATAAGAGCAACTCCAGATAATCTCAGTGGAAATATTGTTTGGTTAATATCCATTTTGTTTGAATTTTATAGGAGACGACAACAAAGGGCATGAAAATGGTAAGTGTGAAGTTAAATCCTGTTACTGTCTCTCACTCAGACATTGAAAATTGTTCCAGTTGTCCCTGTTTGGTATCACCTGCGGTCTGTTTTTAATCAGGATTCAGAGGCGGGAGCCGAGGAGGAAGAGGTGGCGGAGGAGGAGGAGGAAGAGGTATTTTTCTCAGCTTGGATCTTGATCTTGGATAGATCGTTTTAAGGCTTGCTGGTTGATTATTTATGATGATGTGTTGAAGGTGGAGAGTCTGGTGGAAGAGGCGGCTTTGCAGGAGGTAAAAGAGAAACTACTTCACATTCAGAAAAATGTAAGATTTCATCTACTCAGCTCTAAGCGCGTCTCTTCATCTCAGGCTACCGTGAAAATGACGAGGAAAGTTTTGGTAAAGGTTTCAACAAAGGCGGAGAAAAAGAGAGAGAAGGCGGCGATCCGGAGAGTAAGTCCGTGACAAATAAGCTGGGATTATTTGAACCCTTCTGCTTTGAACAATAACTTCTCCTTGCACCATGTAAAGTTGTTCTGTTCTGACCTGCAGAACCGCAAGTGACATACATCCCCCCGACACTCCCCGAAGACGAAGATTCCGTTTTTGCCCACTACAAGCAGGGTATAAACTTCGACAAGTACGATGAAATCACAGTGGATGTCAGCGGGACGAATGCGCCGCTGGCTATAATGGTAAAGAAGATGAAATAACACGAGGAATCATCAGTCTGTCTTATTTTGGTATCTCAGAATCTTTAAATACGACAAAGTAGGGCAGCGTAGATGGAACCATTTCTAACTCGAACCTTTCTTCCCTCAGACTTTTGAGGAGGCCGCTTTGTGCGACTCCCTGAAAAGAAATGTCAGCAAGTCTGGTTACGTGAAGCCGACCCCGGTGCAGAAACACGGCATCCCGATCATCTCTGCCGGCAGAGACCTGATGGCCTGCGCCCAGACCGGTTCTGGTAAAACGGTAAGAAGGCAGAAAGTGACCAAAAGACTTTAAAAATTTTTCTCATGATGTTTTTGTTCAGGGTTTCATTTTCTCCCCGCCCTCCTCTAGGCGGCGTTCTTGCTCCCGATTCTGCAGCAGCTGATGGCAGACGGTGTGGCAGCGAGTAAATTCGTGGAGCTGCAGGAGCCCGAGGTTATCATCGTGGCCCCGACCCGAGAGCTCATCAACCAGATTTACCTGGAGGCCAGAAAGTTTGCTTTTGGGTCTGTTGTAAAGATCATTACCCTCTGAAAGTCCTCCTAAATGCTGCAGTTTAATGACCACATTTTGAATATATTTCATGAGCCCTTTCCTTGGGCAGTATTTTAATTTTTCTTGTAAACTTGAGGCCTCCATTAAAAAAATAAAAAAATTGCAGTGCTTTTTAAAAATGGAACATTTTTCAATGATTTCTTAAAGCATGTTATCCAGGCTCTTAATATGACTTTTAATTTTGCCAGGACGGTTGTGCGACCAGTTGTGGTTTACGGCGGCGTCAGCACTGGGCACCAGATCAGAGACATTTGCCGAGGGTGCAACGTGCTGTGTGGAACACCAGGGAGACTCTTGGACATGATCGGCAGAGGAAAGGTCGTCTCAGTCAGAGTTTGAGCAGTTCTTGCTCAGATTTGTAAAGCTCTTGTAGGATGCTTTTTCCAAACTTTTGTGCCACCTCTTTCAAACCCTTGGATAACTTTTAACAGGATGTCTTTTTTTTATAAAGAGACATGGGTTTGAATTTCACTTGGTTTTGGCTCCAGCTCTCTCCTCTTAAAACTATCGTATGTGTTCCCTGCAGGTCGGCCTGACTAAGATCCGGTACTTGGTCCTGGATGAGGCAGACCGAATGCTGGATATGGGTTTTGAGGCTGACATGCGCCGCCTGGTGGGCTCACCTGGAATGCCATCAAAAGAGGACCGTCAGACTCTGATGTTCAGTGCCACCTTCCCCGAGGACATCCAGAGGTCTGTAAAAAAAACACACCTTTAGTCTCCACCTGTCCTCCCAGAATTCTACTTTAAATGTAAAATCATGACTGTTAATTCTCTGACAGGCTGGCCGCTGAGTTCCTGAAGACAGACTACCTGTTCCTGGCTGTGGGGATAGTGGGCGGAGCCTGCACAGATGTAGAGCAGAAGTTTCTCCAAGTCCCCAAGTTCTCCAAGAGGGAGGCGCTCATCGATTTCCTCAAGACCACCGGTGAGGATGTTTTTGCTTCTATTTCAGGCTTTTTCCAAGTTTGGAGATGCAAATATACAAACTCCAAGATACATGTTTTGCACAACTGTAGATTACAGTAAATGTCTTGAGAGGAATATTCGATTATTATCTTTGAATATGACATTAATGCACTCATTGATAGGGGCATCCCCACCTTTTAATAGTATGAAAATAAAGAAAAACTAAAGATTATTTAAGAGATTAAACATGAAATTAATTTTAAAACAATCTCATATCTCAAGCCCATATTTTCATTTCAGGGACTTAACCTCTGGAAGAACACTAACAGATAAGAACGTAGAAAAATGAATGATCTGTAATTAACATTGGGAACATTTGTCTGTGTGTTGCAGGAACGGAGCGCACCATGGTGTTTGTGGAGACCAAGAGAATGGCTGATTTTATCGCCACCTTTCTGTGTCAGGAGGAGGTTCCCACCACCAGCATCCACGGGTGAGTGAAGTTTCCAGAAGTTAACTTTGTTTAAACGCCGATATTAACTTGGGAAAATTTGTCGTCTTTCAGCGACCGTGAGCAGCGGGAGAGAGAGCTCGCCCTCGCAGACTTCCGCTCGGGTAAATGTCCGGTCCTCGTGGCGACTTCAGTTGCCGCCCGTGGTTTGGATATCCCAGATGTGCAGCATGTGGTGAACTTTGACCTCCCCGTCGGCATCGATGATTACGTCCACCGTATAGGAAGGACGGGCCGCTGTGGAAACATTGGGAAGGCAGTGTCCTTCTTTGACCCGGAGAAAGATGCACAGCTGGCTCGCCCGCTGGTCACAATCCTGTCCAAAGTAAGAGCTTGTTCATTGTGTAGCACTGGCACATGTGAGAAAATCAAATTTTAAACTGGATTCTTTGGCACTGTTTGCTTTAAGGTCCTTACGCACTGGGGCTGACACAAATATAGAGCGCAAAATCACGAAATACTCAGAGGCAAATTTTGACGCGCCTGATCATACACATCAAGCCTGATTCGATTTTGTGACTTTCCGGGGGGAAAAGACGCATCCCGGGGAAGATATTTCCGGGGGGGAAAGTCCAGCCTCCTTTGCCTCTGATTGGCTAGAAAATCTGGAAACGTCATCACGCGCTCAAGCCAAACAGTCAGCACTTACAGCCAATCAGAGGCGAAGGAGGGCGGGACCTTCCCGTAACAACCTACAGTGAGAAGACAAAAATGGAGTCTAGCAATACCAGATAAGCACGTGAAACTATGGTAACAACTGTTAGCTTACGTTAGCACAGATGAAAGTTAAAACAAAGATGTGTAGCAAACAAACATCACAAAACATCGTCGTATGAGAAATCTGATGCTATGACTCTCCACAAGTTGTCCTTAAGGTCGTTATCTTTGTAATATTTGTGTAAACGATCATAAACAATTAGCCGGTCGGCCATGTTGGATATACCGGTGAATCTGACGTCGCAACAACACACAATCTGATTGGTCATAGGTGGACACGCACAGTATGCGAAACTTAAAAAAATCGACCATGATCCGGAAAAAAAAATGCTGCAATATCGCAGAACGGAAAAACGTCGCTGATGTGAACGCTTGTATTGACAGGATACGGGTTTGAAAAAAATATTGACGTCTGAAATAATCGCACGGCAAAAACCGTCCCGGTGTGAAAGGACCTTTTTAAAATGTGTTAATTTTTTTTTGCCTGTTAATCTACTTGAACAGGCCCAACAAGAGGTTCCTGCATGGTTAGAGGAGTCCGCATTCAGCGGTGGCGGCTCCAGCACAGGCTTCAAGAACCTGAACTCCTCTGATTCCAGGAAGGTAACCAAATTTCTTGTGATATTTTGAGTGCATATTGTGTTTTCAGTGTCCTCACTCTGCTTTCACGGCTCTTTCCAGAACAACAACAACAACAACACCTGGGACCAACCAGCTCCAGCTCCAGCTCAGGAGGAGGAATCATGGGATTGATGAGAACACTGTAGCACACCCACACAGCACTGTTCGGAGTTTTCTTTGCACTCAGACGTTCAGCTTGTTCTAGTTGTATCAGTGATTTTGTTTTACAGTTTTAACTTTGTCTGACTTGAGAAAATCAAAATGCTAAACAGAGACGAAGTGTTAGAAGAAAGTTGGGTCCTTATTAGCCTTCTCTGACAGAGCATATCATTCAGAGGTTGTTTTATTTTTTTTTTATTGTTTTATTTTTTAAGTCTTTACTTGGACTCAAAATAAGGTTCATAAGGAAAACGGTGTGTCTGAACAAACTTCAATTTTTGAGAATGTCAAATTCCAAAATGTTTGTTTCCTCTTTGGATAAATATAACCAATAAATAAGATGTTCAAAGCAGAGCCTGTCCTTATTGTCAAGTGTGTAGTGGGAAAGCTTACACAAAATACTTAGAAATTAGGATTAATATTTCATATAAAAAGAATTAAGTCAAAATTAAGATTCATTAAACTTTACAACATTGTGTACGTTCTTCTTTTGACGTCGTGTTGAACTGCCCAGCTCGCTCACTGATTGGCTAGCACTCATTCCCTTTTGTTGGGATTGGTGGATTTTGTGCATGGCTGCTTGGATCATACACTGAGAGTGATATTCATGATAAGCCAATCAGAGGCAGAAAGGGGCGGGGGATGCCGTCAATTCCTCTTGTGATTGGTCTCCTGCGTGTTTCCGGTTTCAAACTTGGATTCTAACCGTAACGTGAAAACCAACATCTGAAATGCTAAAAACGGCTGAAGTTGACGAAACTTCGGTGTGTAGAACTGTTTTCAGCCATGAAAGGGACAGCCAAAACGAAGGTAAGACCCAGACCTGTCATATGTGAACCAGCAACTCCCTCCGGATACCTATTTTAGCTTTGAGCACAGTTGTTGTGAGTGTTTTTACGATGCTGTGAACTGTCAGTGTGTTTACTGACTCCTGAACGTGATGTTTAAGAAGGTCATCAGTCTGTAGTAGACTTTCCACTTAGTTCTGATATTTCTTTTGGAAGTTATCTTTAGTTATGTCTTCAATTGTCTGGGTGTGATTGTTTTTTTCATCGTTCAAAGGACACATGTCATTGTTTCCCTGCTTATTTCTTTAAAAGTTGATCTCTTAGCTTAAAGTTTTGACTGACTTTGACAGGATATGATTCATGCGTGCATACAGTTTACCTGTATAAAAAGTAAAGAACTGCTCATGTTTTGCAGGTGGTGACATCTGGGAGGCTGACAGGAAGAGTCAAGGTACAGTCTGCAAAAAGAAGGTAAAAAAACAGCATTAAGTCATCTTTCTATTGCATGAAATTTTGAAGTAACCAGTGTTTTCCTACTCCCTCACAGCCAGCTGTCCTCTATCTTGTGTTACTTTTAGAGTTCCTCCAAATCCAGCTCCTCCAGCCCGCCCCGTTCCAGCCTACTCTCTGTACTCTACAGACTCTGAAGACCAGGCAAGGAACTAAGACTAGATCATCTCTGAGAGTCTCGTTTCTGTTTAAAACGTGGTCCAGACTTTAATCAATACAGCTGCATTCACTAAATGAAGAAATAAGTGTCAGATAGGGGAAAAATGTCTGGACTTTAATATCACTTAACCTTTCGTGTGCAAAATATCTTACATTGATAACTCTTTCTTTCCTTTATCAATGTGTTTGGATTTATGTTTGTGCATTCAACAACTCCTGATACATTGTCTTCATAAAAGCAGCTGATCTCTCTCCTCTCAGGTCACTTCTCTCCACAAAGGTCTGGACCGGTGTGCCGATTTGCTCAACGGCATCCTGCAGGTGGATAAATCAGGTCAGAGGAGCTTCAAACTCGACTTCAGATGTCAAAATACAAAACCCAATTCCATTGAAGTTGGGAAATTGTGATAAACATAAATAAAAACAGAATACAATGATTTGCAAATCCTTTTCAACCTATATTCAACTGACAAACTACACTACACTACAAAGACAAGATATTTAATGTTCAAACTCACAAACTTTATTTTTTTTTGCGAATAATAATTAACTTTATAATTTGATGGCAGCAACACGTGACATAATAACAGGATGAATGTGAACACCCTTTGGGGGGCTTCAAAGTGTTTTTGTATTTGTAGATGTTTCACCGGGTGTTTCCAGGACACTGAAGGCTGCAGCAGCCAAACCAAAACCTTCGACTTCACAGGGGAAGAAGACCATGAAGAAAGTCCCTCCACAGACAGGTAGGAGTGTGTTTGTAACTTTTAGTTTCAGCAGGGCTTAAGCAGGATAAGACTTGCAAGATGGATGGAGTAGTGAGGTGGATTGTGGTTCAGATATCAGCTGCTACACCTTCTCTTTTAATCTCACCTGCAGATCAGAAGACCCATCACTCTGTCCAGCAAGTAGCCGGCTGCAGAACTCCCAAAACGCCACATCAGACCGTCACTGCTCCAGCCGCACACTCAGGAGTGAAGCTCCACCCTCCTCGCAGACATCCTCAGCACAAGACCCCCACCATCCCTCCATCTCAAACCATCACACCTTCCTCTGACCTGCACAGTCATCCTCCTGCTCCTGGAGCGCCGCCCACTCGCAGTGAGGCGCAGCAGGAAGGAGATGGAGGCGAGTTTGTTCCAGTGAGAGACGTCGATCCTCAAACCTCAGACACACACACCTGTAGTTTAACTATGCAGCAGGACCTGGACCCTGATCAGGCAGGTGAAGACCTCTTGCTGGACTCACACAGCGATCAGACCGAAGAGAGACAGAGGAACGCTCAGGACCTGCTGGAAGAACTCAGAGCTCTAATTGCAGGTCAAGGTAAACACACACAGGCTTTTCAGAGACTCTTCAAAGAAACAGATTCAGATGATGAAATAACATTAAACACGTCTCCATCCTGAATTCATTAAAAAGTCTCAATCATTGCATCTCCCTCTGTTTGTGTGTGTGTCAGGCATTGTAGCAGAGAGGCTGCTCGGTCACCTGGAGCTCACCCTTTGCTCTTCCTCCTCCTCACTGATAAAAACTGGAGGTTCAGACATTCAGGCTGAAGCAGAACGTGCGTCATTGCAGAGCCAAAACACACAGCTGCACAGGTAACACACACACACAAAACTGCAGGTTAAACAGAAATACACATTCATGAGCCGTTTTTCTGTCTGTGTGTTTTGCAGGCGTGTGAGGAATCTGCAGCAGCAGCTGAAGCAGATAGAGGAAGCAGAGAGACGTCAAGATGCTGAGACTTTTTCAGCCTCAGAGGGTGAAAACAGCTCTTCTGTTTTTGAGTAGCTGAGCACCAAAAACACACTCAAAGTTTGAATTTTTCGTCCTTTTCCAGTTTTGATTCTGCAGGGCGAGCTCACCGCCGCTCAGTCTCAGCTGCAGGAACTCCAGTTTGACCTCACAGAGCTACGGAAAGCCCTGCAAGACACACAGAGCGGGCTGAGAGAAAGCGAGGCAGAGAGAGCTGTCATCCAGACAGGTTTGATTCACTCATGTCTGATTTTACAGCTGAGCCCCACAACTGATTAAAGAACAAACTCCCAAATTTATAAAAAGTTAGACATCATTTAACAAATATTTTAAGTTTCTGTGGTCGTGTTTGTGTTTGTGTAGATTTGGAAACCACGAGAAGAAGATTGGAGGAGTGTGAGCGAGAGAAGAGCGAGTTTGCAACACTGGCTCAGAAAAGACAGGAGGAGATCCACAACCTGAACAGGTGTGTGTGTGTTTGATCTTTAAGTTTCAGATGGTTTTAAAAAATGAGGCAAACGCTGTAAACACTTCCATGTAAGAGCTGTTGTCCTCGTCTGTTTCAGGATCTTGCAGAGTCGAAATCCGTCGGTGTGTCCCGCTGCACATGCTGACTCTCAGATATCACAGCAGCATTTTCACAGAAATCCAGCAGAGCCCCCGTTAGACCGGATCACTCAGTACCTGAAGTCTCTGGGTCAGATGGAGAAGGCGTGTGTGTCTACAGAGACAGATGCAGAATTACCATCGCATCCTGCTGTCAGATCTACAGACCCTTCGGTCTGCTCCTCACTTCAGCAACCCGAGAATCATCGCCGTCAGCTCTTCAATTCCTCGCTGTCTCACTGCGACCGAGTATCTCTGTGCTCTGATTGGAGCAGGACATCTGGCTCCACCTTCAACACCAGAGACGAGGCTGCGTTCAGAGACGGTCTTGCAGCTCTGGACGCGACCATTGCTAGTCTACAGAAAACGATGAAGCTTGACCTGAAGAGTTGATCCGGTTGACTGTACAGCTTTGAGATGAAACTCTCCTGTTTCAGCTTTATGTTACTCTGTTAGGGGTTTGGATTTATTATTTAATAAATAAAGCTTTTTTTAATCCTGTTTTATCCTGGTCTTGCTTCCACAAATTGAAAACATTTTAAATAGTTAAATTTTAAAAGCATTATAAAGATGATTAAATATTACTAAAAAGGAAAAAAAATTAAAAATGTGACGAAGGAAGAACAATATTAATCCACTGAAAAAGACTGGCTTTATTTTGATTATTATTCTGTTATATGGGGGAGATAATTTTGTCATTTAGTTAAACCAGTGGTTCTCAAGTCCAGTTCTTGAGGATGTTTCCCTGCTCCAACACACCTGATTCAAATGATCAGCTCGTTATCAAGCTCTGTAATGGCTAACGAGCTGATCATTTGAATCAGGTGTGTTGGAGCAGGGAGACATCCAACGTTCCACCTGTCTCTACACTAGGACATCATTTATAATCAAAAACCTGCTCCTTATCAAAGACTGTGTACAGTTTTTTTTTTTAGGTCCCTATAATATTGGATTGCAAACAGAAAGGAGAACCATATTTGAGTTGTTTGGAGGTCAAAACATAACAGATTTGAGATCCTGAAAAAATCGTCTGCTACGGTTTAAAATCTAGTTGGGTTAAACCATCTAGTTCCACAGAGAACAAGGTGCAGGATGCTAGTGTTGGATATTTCTTTCATGTGAATCATCCATAAACCTGCTAAATTAGAAAAAAAGAGAAAACAAGTTATTCAAAGAGACAAGAACTGGATTAATATGCTATTTGTGGAGCTGTTTTTTTTCCCCCTTCCTCTAAAAACACTTTTCATAAGTCGTGTTTTGACGTGATGGAGTGTCTGAAGCTGGGCCTGACTCAGGGTCTGAAGGTCAGCTGCTGCAACTGGAACGGCTGGAACAAACAAACATTGTGGAAACATGATGATTGTGTGTGACCTGCTTTCAAGTTAAATAAACATTTGAAGTTCCAAACTTTGCTAAAAAATTAAATTTGGACTACCCTCACACTGCCACAGATTTTATTTTTAAATCTAAATAAGTAGATCTCATGATTTTAACAGTTTCCATCAGGGCTGAGAGTCAAAAGTGGTCTAAAAGGGCATCTTTAACACAAAATACACAACAAATCTAACTAGTGTGGTTTTTATTTAAAAGGAAAGTTGAAATTTTGATTTTGATGAAGGTTTTTGAGGACAGTAAGCTAAATCTATACTTTAAATAAAAGCATTTAAAATAATTTAAATACAGATCTGACACACACAGAGCTTCAAAGTTGAGACGAAGGTTACTTTTCCACCCACATGGAAGAAAAACACGAATATATTTCCCCTTTATGCATTAAAAGTTGTTTTTTCTTTCTAATTGACAGTAATTGAAAGACTTTTAACTTTGACTTTAATAGTGCTTTTTTGCTCTCCCTCTAACACACAACACAAAATAAGGGTGTCTTGATACAACTTTTTGATACCGTTACGATATGAAACAGATACGATGCCGATATTGCAGCCTTCAATATTAACCGATAATGACTGATATTTATGCCTGACAAAATTTTCACTCAGCTGCAATGTCTTTTTCAGATATATAGAGGAGCGGAGTCTGAAATGGATTGCTTGTATCAGAGTGCTGATATCAGGGATTTTAGATGCAGGCTGATATAATCCGATAATTGTTCTTTTGCTGATACTGGACCAATACCTGATATTGATATTGTATTAGGACACCTGTAGTTCAAACTGCCTCCCTATTACAGAAGAGAGTGACAGAAGTGCTGCTGATCCTTCACATTCTGGATTTTGTGAAAACTCTTCCTCATGATGATAAAAATGACTATTCACTCCATCTGGGAAAATGTGCTGGAGTAAAACTTCATGTTCTGTTTGCAGCCTCTTGTGTAATCATCAGAAGTACAGAGTTTTGCAACAAGTCAAAACTGACTGAGCTCCAAATCAGAGTAAACTCTGATGTTTGATCACAGACGGGCTATAAAAGGAGTATGTGAATGCTCTGTGGATTCAGAGAGACTTCTGATCCTGGAGAAGAAACACCAGCAGGTAATTATTCAGAGCTGGAGTCTGAATGTAGGTTTTTCTAAATGCTTTTATTCTGTTTGAGATTAAATTAGATTCAACTTTTTCATCAGTTTAGCACCTGACCAGAGGTGCTTCATCAAGTGCAGACAACTACAGAGTGATTAACAGAGTAACACTCTTTAAACCACTGCAGAGGTGTAGGAAGTTTGTCGGTTTAAATATATGGATTAAAGAAGGATTAAAACTGTCAGTTCTAACACACTGAGACAGATTCAGGCTCCTCTGAGGAACTTTTGGTTTGTGTGAGTTTTGCTGATGGGGTTCTAGTGAAAAGCTGAAAATGGTTGAAGATTTAGGGATTCACATGAACTCGTACATTTCTGTCTTTGCAGCTGATCTACTTGGTCATAATCATCCATAATGAAGACTGTCCAGCTCGTTGTCGTCCTCCTCATCGTCTGCATCAGCTGTGGTGAGTACTCGTTCATGTTTTCAGCCTTTCTTTGAACCTCTAACATAAAACAGACCACTGCATGCAAATAATGGTAAATCCTTGACTGGTATAAGGGGTGAACACTCTGTTTTATTTTGCAGCAGAGGCTCTGAGGTGTAACCGTTGTGTCCCTGCGAGAATGGGTGGATCATGCCATAAAACAGAGGAGGAGTGTGAAGAACGTCACGATGTTTGTATCTACGTAACCATCAGTTACCCAAGTAAGTGATCTTAAACTGCAGTAATTATACATTATTTTGCACAATTTTGAGTTTGCATGACTCAAACATTTTTAAAAGAGCTTTTTTAGATCACTCCATCCTGCAGCAGTCCTCAGTCGATTTCAGTGCACCCTTTAAAAGTTTTTCAAAGGCTTTAAAAGTTTTTTTTTTTTTTAAGTAAAAAGTATTTCAAGCGCTTTCTGCAGATATTCCATCACTGTAATGATGTCAGACAATTAGAATATCAATCTGAGCCTGTCAGGGATAACATATGGACTTTTAGTGGACACACATTTTCATTTAGATTCCACTCAAACTGCAGCAGTAAAGATTCTGTGGATTCTGTGGATCATTTGTGGATATTTTGCCAGAATTAACATGTTGCTCTTGTATTTCCTGCAGCGTACTCGTACTTTAAGAGATGCTCGAGGAGAGTTGATGCCGAGATCATGAAGGCCAACCAATACCTCACCGTCAGAATCTGTGATACTGACCTCTGCAACTGAGATTATTTTATAATGTCTGCAAAAAAGCATTAAAGTTGTATCTTTTATTTAAAAATGTGACTTACTGAGAGGACTGAAGAAATGTGATTCAGCTCCATATAATCTGCATACCAAATAAAAAAATAAATAGAAAGTTGGTGTCCTGCAGTTTTTTTTTTTTTTTTTACTAATTCAGAGTAATATAATAGTTTTATTGTGATGTATCCTGTTGTTTAAGTTACTTTGTTTGTCTCACCCCTCAGGGTACAGAATCACTGGGAGGAAAGTAAGAACAAATATGTTGACTCTCTACCAAATAAAAATTCAATGAAAATAGTGAACCGTATAGATTTTTCCCTCTATAGGTCTTTAATTTTTTCTCTTCCAAAACTCATGTAACAATTGCTGAAACCATAAAGCCAGAGAACGGTGAATGTCTGTAAAGACATCTGTACCACAATATTCTATGGCCTGTTATTCTAAACACAGAAGCCTGACTGCAGCATGACAGGAGCAATGGTACACTGCAGCCTCTAGTGGCCAAAATGAGAACTAGAATAGAATATTCCTTTAATGATCCCCCATGGGGGAATTTTTTTTTGTCACAGCAGCATCACAGACAAAGAGTGCAAAAATGCAGTTATAAAAATAAAGATCATAATATTAAGAACTTAAATAAATTTAGTATGGTAAAATAATATGGTAAATATGGTAAAAGGAAGCCAGTAAGTAAGTCCATGGTTCCAAATTTGGATTCTGCATAGTGGAAAATGTATGATTTGACACCAAGATCATCAAAATAGGACAAGTCTATGGGATTTTAATGCAAAATGCAGTATTACTGTATTTTCAATGGTGGCCATCTTGAAAAATGGCCGCCATCTTGAATTTTCATTTGGCCAGACGGAAATATCAAAAGAGCAACTCCCAAGGAGTATGTGTGCCAATTTTGGTGCTTTTATCCGCAAGTGAACGATTCTCCTGTAATATGCTATTATCCGCCCCACTACAAGTTAAACCATCCACCTGTCTCTACACTAGGACATCATTTATAATAAAAAACCTGCTCCTTATCAAAGACTGTGTACAGTTTTTTCCTGAGGTCCCAATAATATTGGATTGCAAAAAGAAAGGAGTATCATATTTGAGGTGTTTGGAGGTCAAAACATAATAGATTTGAGATCCTAAAAAAAATTGTCGGCAAAGAGTTGAAATACGGTTTAAAATCTGGTCCTTAGTTGAGAAAACATTGGGTTAAACCATCTAGTTCCACAGAGAATAAGCTGCAGGATGCTGGTGTTAAATATTTCTTTCATGTGAATAATCCATAAGCCTGCTAAATTAGAAAAAAAGAGAAAACAAGTTATTCAAAGAGACAAAAACTGGATTAATATGCTGCTTGTGGAGCTGTTTTTTTCTTTTTCACAAGTCGTGTTTTAACGTGAAGGAGTGCCGAAGCTGGGCCTGACTCAGGGTCTGAAGGTCAGTGGCTGCTACGGGAAATGCTAGAACAAACAAACTCAATGTGGAAACATGATGACTCTTCGTGACCTGCTTTCAAGTTAATATACAAAACCCAATTCCATTGAAGTTGGGAAATTGTGATAAACGTAAATAAAAACAGAAAACAATGATTTGCAAATCCTTTTCGACCTATATTTAATTGAATACACTACAAAGACAAGATATTTAATGTTCAAACTCATAAAGTTTATTTTTTTTTTGCAAATAATAATTAACTCAGAATTTCATGGCTGTGACACATGCCAAAGTAGTTTGGACAGGGTCATGTTTACCACTGTGTTACATCACCTTTCCTTTTAACAACACTCAATAAACGTTTGTGAACTGAGGAGACTAATTGTTGAAGCTTTGAAGGTGGAATTCTTTCCCATTCTTGCTTGATGTACAGCTTCAGTTGTTCAACAGTCCGGGGTCTCCGTTGTCGTTTTTTACGCTTCATAATGCGCCACACATTTTCAATGGGAGACAGGTCTGGACTGCAGGCAGGCCAGTCGAGTACCTGCACTCTTTTACTACGAAGCCACGCTGTTGTAACATGTGCAGAATGTGGCTTGGCATTGTCTTGCTGAAATAAGCAGAAAGGGCGTCCATGAAAAAGACGTTGCTTGGATGGCAGCATATGTTTCTCCAAAACCTGTATGTACCTTTCAGTATTAATGTTGCCTTCACAGATGTGTAAGTTAGCCATGCCTTGGGCACTAATGCACCCCCATACCATCACAGATGCAGGCTTTTGAACTTTGCGTCAATAACAGTCCGGATGGTTCTTTTCTTCTTTGGCCCGGAGGACACGACGTCCACTATTTCCAAAAACAATTTGAAATGTGGACTCGTCAGACCACAGAACACTTTTCCACTTTGCATCAGTCCATCTTAGATCAGCTCGGGTCCAGAGAAGCCGGCAGCGTTTCTGGATGTTGTTGATAAATGGCTTTCACTTTGCATAGTAGAGTTTTAACTTGCACTTACAGATGTAGCGACGAACTGTATTTACTGACAGTGGTTTTCTGAAGTGTTCCTGAGCCCATGTGGTGATATCCTTTACACATCGATGTTGGTTTTTGATACAGTGCCACCTGAGGGATCAAAGGTCACGGGTATTCAATGTTGGTTTCTGACCTTGCCGCTTACGTGCAGTGATTTCTTCAGATTCTCTGAACCTTTTGATGATATTATGGACCGTAGATGTTGAAATCCCTAAATTCCTTGCAATTGTACTTTGACAAACGTTGTTCTTATACTGTTTTTCAATGAATAGACTTAATCTCATGATTTTAACAGTTTCCATCAGGGCTGAGAGTCGAAAGTGGTCTAAAAGGGCATCTTTAACACCATGTAACACAAAATACACAACAAATCTAATTAGTGTGGTTTTTATTTAAAGGAAAGGTGAAAAAATTGAGTTTGAGGAAGTTAAATCTAAACTTTAAATAAAAGCATTTAAAACCATTTAAATACAGATCTGACATACACAGAGCTTCAAAGTCGAGAGGAAGGTTACTTTTCCACCAACATGGAAGAAAAACACAAATATATTTCCCCTTTATGCATTAAAAGTTGTTTTTTTCTTTCTAATTGACAGAGATTGAAAGAGTTTTAACTTTGACTTTAACAGTGCTTTTTTGCTCTCCCTCTAACACACAACACAACATTGGGGTGTCTTGGTACCAGTGGCGATTGCTCTAAGACTGCAAGGGAAGCTCAGCTTCCCTTAAAATGTCACCCCCCCAAAAAAAAAGAAAAAGTGGTGAAATACGTACTGCTGTGTGCACATTTCATTAACTAAATACCCGTCAGAAAGCCTTCATCTTTTGTTCAGAATCAGCTTCTTATCACACTGTGATAAGAAGCTGATAATCACAGGTCTAAACTTCGTTCTCATTCATCCTCGCAGCTTCACACAGCCGGACGCCCAGCGTCTGCTGACTTCAATGTGGAAGCTCAAAGTGGGTTGTTCCAGTAGCGAAACTAGACGCTCATTGGATAAATGCTGGGCTTTGTCCTGCCCATCGGACGCTCAGCGTCTCTGGAGTTCTATGACGAGAGGGCGGTCCCGAATTCCTCGCGGACGCTGAGCTTCTGCATCCATGATTGAATGAGCTGTCTGAGGCGAAACCTTTTTTTGATTGACAGCTAAACAAGCGAATCAGCGATCTTGAAGAATAAAACATCTACCAGAGCATTTTCCAAGTTATTCATTCCGTTGTTCTTAACTGCTCCAGAGACTTTACCGATCCTCAGCGACTTTTGTCTTTGTTAAAAACGACTGCCGTTGTGTTTGGCGACTCTGTTCTGTTAATTACTAATAAACAAACACAATTATGATGTAGGCCAGAAAAATGAGCTTCCCCTCCTTGAAAGACCAGCAGCCGCCACTGCTTGGTACAACTTTTTGATACTGTTACGATACGAAACAGATACGATGCCGATATTGCAGCCTTCAATATTAACCGATATTGACTGATATTAGCACAAATTTATGCATGACAAACTTTTCACTCAGCTGCAATGTCTTTTTCAGATTTATAGAGGAGCGGAGTCTGGAATGGATTGCTTGTATCAGATTGCCAATATCAGAGATTTTAGAATCAGGCTGATGTAATCCGATAATTGTTCTATTGCTGATACTGGACCAATATCTGATATTGATATTGTATTAGGACACCTGTAGTTCAAAATGCCTCCCTATGACAGAAGAGAGTGGCAGAAGTGCTGCTGATCCTTCACATTCTGGATTTTGTGAAAACTCTTCCTCGTGATGATAAAAATGACCTTGACTCCTCCTGGGAAAATGTGCTGGAGGAAAACTTCATGCTCTGTTTGCAGCCTCTTGTGTAACCATCAGAAGTAGAGTTTTGCAACATGTCAAAGCTGATTGAGCTCCAAATCAGAGTCAACTCTGATGTTTGATCACAGACGGGCTATAAAAGGAGTATGGGAGTGCTCTGTGGATTCAGAGAGACTTCTGATCCTGGAGAAGAAACACCAGCAGGTAATTATTCAGAGCTGGAGTCTGAATGTAGGTTTTTCCAAATGCTTTTATTCTTTTTGAGATTAAATTAGATTCAACTTTTTCGTCAGTTTAGCACCTGACCAGAGGTGCTTCATCAAGTACAGACAAGTACAGAGTGATTAACAGAGTAACACTCTTTAAACCACTGCAGAGGTGTAGGAAGTTTGTCGGTTTAAATATATGGATTAAAGAAGGATTAAAACTGTCAGTTCTAACACACTGAGACAGATTCAGGCTCCTCTGAGGAACTTTTGGTTTGTGTGAGTTTTGCTGATGGATTCTAGTGAAAACTTAAAGTAGTTGAAGATTCAGGGATTCACATGCACTCATATATTTCTGTCTTTGCAGCTGATCTACTCGGTCATAATCATCCATAATGAAGACTGTCCAGCTCGTTGTCGTCCTCCTCATTGTCTGCATCAGCTGTTGTGAGTACGCATTCATGTTTTCAGCCTTCCTTTGAACCTCTTTAACATAAAACAAACCACTGCATGCGAATATTGGTAAATCCTTGACATGTTTAAGGGATGAACACTCTGTTTTGTTTTGCAGCAGAGGCTCTGTGGTGTAACCGTTGTGTTCCTATTAGAATGGGTGGGTTATGCATCGACAGAGTGGAGGAGTGTGCAGAAGGTCTGGATGTTTGTGTCCACGTAACCATCACTTACCCCCGTAAGTAATCTTAAAGTGCAGTAATCATACATTATTTTGCACAATTTTGAGTTTGCATGACTCAAACATTTTTTAAAAGAGCTTCTTTAGATCACTCCATCCTGCAGCAGTCCTCAGTAGATTTCAGTGCACCCTTTAAAAGTTGTTGTTTTGAAAGTCTGACAAATATCACTGAAAGTATCCCCACAGAGTGGAGGAGGGTTTTGCTTTTTATTCACTACTACCTGTTAAATTGCTTTCAAAGTAACCAAACCCCACTGAAAAAACAGTAACTTTGCCTCACAGGAGTTGCTGGTCCACCTCTGACCTCACCTAGTTTGTCTGCAGTGCAGAGTGACTTCTGGATCCTGGAATAGGTCATTGGATTAATTTTAATATCAATGCAACACAAATTTAAACAAAAAAGTATCTGATTGTGGGGTAAAACTCTGGTGCTCTGCAAAGTACAACTGCTGTTTTTGTGAATGGAGTCTGGTAGCTTTGCAGAGAGTGAAACAAAGGTTATTTAATGCTCTCTTTCATCATCTGTAATGATGCCAGACACTTAAAATCTCAATCCGCGCCTGTCAGGGATAAAACAAGGACTTTGAGTGAACACACATTTTCAATTGGATTTGACTCAAACAGAAGTAAAAATCCTTGATTTCTTTGAATTTGGTTTTTAAAAGCATCATTTGTGGATATTTTGCCTGAATTAACATGTTGCTCTTGTAGTTCCTTCAGCGAACTCATACTTTAAGAGATGCTCGAGGAGATTTGTGGCCGACAACATGAGGCGCAGCCAACACCTCACAGTCCATATCTGTGAAACTGACTTCTGCAACTGAGATAACGTCTGCAAAAAAAAGCATCAAAATTGTATCTTTATTTAAAAATGTGACTTACTGAGAGGACTGAAGAAATGTGATTCAGCTCCATATAAACTGCTTACCAAATAAAAAAACTAAATATAAAGTTGGTGTCCTGCAGTTTTTTACTAATTTAAAGTAATATAATAGTTTTATTGTGATGTATCCTGTTGTTTTAGTTACTTTGTTTGTCTGACTCCTCAGGTTACAGAATCACTGAGAGGAAAGAAACAACAATAGTCCATGAGCCAGACCACTGATTGCAATAAATCGGCAGGGCAATTTCTAGTTTGTTTTTTTGAGTTGCTCCACAACCCTAATTTTTATGGTTTGGCATGATAACCTTTGCAGACTGGGAGCTTAGTGATGGTTATCATGCATATAGGCAAAATATCCACAAATGATCCACAGAATCCACAGAATCTTTACTGCTGCAGTTTGAGTGGAATCAGAGTCCTGTAGCAGAAATACCTGAATTCCGTTATTATGGGGCTTGTGGACTACTTGCCAAACCATAAACTAGGGATGTGGAGCAACTCAAAAAAAAAAAAAAACTAGAAATTGCCCACCCGATTTATTGTGATTGGTCAATTTTGGGGTCTTGGCTCATGGACTACAAATGTGTTTTGTCTTTACCAAATAAAAATTAATTAAAAAGAATGAATTTTCCTGCTAAAGTTCTTCAGTTTTTTTTTCTTCCAAAACTCACATAAGAATTGCTGAAATCATGAAGCCAGTGTACAATGAATGTCTGCAAAGGGGTCTGAAAACTAAAAATGTCCTGCTTTTTTGGGCAGAGTTTAGGGTCCAAAACATACCACAATATTCTATGGTCTGTTATTCTAAATAAAGAATCCTGACTGCAGCATGACAGCAGTGGATAAAGCTTGTAAAGTGCTGGGTGGAGGAGGCCTTAAAGCTTTGAATTGTGTAAAGCTGGTAGAAAGACAACATGAAGCCTGAGCAGAATACCTTTGAACACATGCAGCAGTGGTACACTGCAGCCTCTAGTGGCCAAAATGAGAACTACAATAACAGACAGGAAAAAAAAACAGCCTTAATAAAGGGAGAGGTGTTTTTCACCTACTGAGTTTATTTTTAAACTTTAGTCTGGAGTTTAACCTTTATGTTCTGTTTGCAGCCTCTGGTGTAGAAGTAAACAGTTATGCAACATGTCAAAGATGACTGAGCAACAAAGCAGAGTCAACTCTGATGTTTGATCACAGACGGGCTGTAAAAGGAGTATGTGAATGCTCTGTGAATTCAGAGAGACTTCTAATCCTGAAGAAGAAACACAAGCAGGTCATTATTCAGAGCTGGAGTATGAATGTAGGTTTTTCTAAATGCTTTTATTCCGTTTGAGATTAAATTAGATTCAACTTTTTCGCCATTACACATGTACTGAAGCAGTTTAGCATCCGACCAGAGGTGCTTCATCAAGTACAGACAAGTACAGAGTGATTAACAGAGTAACACTCTTTAAACCACTGCAGAGATGTAGGAAGTTTTTCAATTTAAATATATGGATTAAAGAAGGATTAAAACTGTCAGTTCTAACACACTGAGACAGATTCAGGCTCCTCTGGGGAACTTTTGGTTTGTGTGAGTTTTGCTGATGGGGTTCTAGTGAAAAGCTGAAAATGGTTGAAGATTCAGGGATTCACATGCACTCATATATTTCTGTCTTTGCAGCTGATCTACTCGGTCATAATCATCCATAATGAAGACTGTCCAGCTCGTTGTTGTCCTCCTCATTGTCTGCATCAGCTGTGGTGAGTACGCATTCATGTTTTCAGCTTTTCTTTAAACCCCAAGACCACTGCGTGCGAATAACGGTAAATCCTTGACATGTTTTGTTCTGCAGCAGAGGCTCTGAAGTGTAACCGTTGTATTCCTGTGAAAATGGGTGGATCATGCACCAACACAGTGGAGGAGTGTGGAGAAGGTGAAGACCTTTGTATCTACGTATCCATATCAAACCCCAGTAAGTGATCTCAAATTGCAGTAATTACACATAATTTTGCACAATTTTGAGTTTGCATGACTCAAACATTTTTAAAAGAGCTTCTTTAGATCAGTCCATCCTGCTGCAGTCCTCAGTAGATTTTGGCGCACTCTTTAAAAGTTGTTGTATTAAGAGTCTGACAAACATCATTAAAAGGATCTCTACAGAGAGGAGGAGGATTTTGTTTTTATTCACAACTACCTGTTTAATCGCATCCTCAAAGCAACCAAACCCCACTAAATAAACAGTAACTTTGCCTCAGGGGAGTTACTGGTCAACCTCTGAGCTCACATAGTTTATCTGCACATCTGATCCTGGATCTGGATCCTGGAATAGGTCATTGGATCTATTTTAATGTCAATGCAACACAAATTTAAACAAAAAAGTAGCTGTTTGAGGGGTAAAACTCTGGTGCTCTGCAAAGTACAACTGCTGCTTTTGTGAATGGAGTCTGGTAGCTTTGAAGAGAGTGAAACAAAGGTTATTTAATGCTCTCTTTCATCATCTGTAATGATGTCAGACACTTAAAATCTCAATCCGAGCCTGTCAGGGATAAAACAAGGACTTTGAGTGAACACACATTTTCAATTGGATTTGACTCAAACAGAAGTAAAGATCCTTATTTTCTTTGAATTTGGTTGTTATAAGCATCATTTGTGGATATTTTGCCTGAATTAACATGTTGCTCTTGTATTTCCTGCAGTGTACTCATACTTTAAGAGATGCTCGAGGAGATTTGTGGCCGACAACATGAGGCGCAGCCATCTCCTCACAGTCCAAATCTGTGAAACTGACCTCTGCAACTGAGATTACGTCTGCTAAAAAAAGCATTAAAGTTGTATCTTTATTTAAAAATGTGACTTACTGAGAGGACTGAAGAAATGTGATTCAGCTCCATATAATCTGCATACCAAATAAAAAAACTAAATATAAAGTTGGTGTCCTGCAGTTTTTTTACTAATTTAAAGTAATATAATAGTTTTATTGTGATGTATCCTGTTGTTTTAGTTACTTTGTTTGTCTGACTCCTCAGGTTACAGAATCACTGAGAGGAGAGAAACAACAATAGTCCATGAGCCAGACCACTGATTGCAATAAATCAGGTGGGCAATTTCTAGTTTGTTTTTTTGAGTTGCTCCACAACCCTAATTTCTATGGTTTGGCATGATAACCTTTGCAGACTGGGAGCTTAGTGATGGTTATCATGCATTTAATCTACAGAGTCCTGTAGCAGAAATACCTGAATTCCGTTATTATGGGGCTTGTGGACTACTTGCCAAACCATAAACTAGGGATGTGGAGCAACTCAAAAAACAAACAAACTAGAAATTGCCCACCCGATTTATTGTGATTGGTCAATTTTGGGGTCTTGGCTCATGGACTACAAATGTGTTTTCTCTTTACCAAATAAAAATTCAATAAGAAGAATGAATTTTTCTACTATAGTTCTTTATTTTTTTCTCTTTCAAAACTCATGTAACAATTGCTGAAATTATAAAGCCACAGAACAGCGAATGTCTTTAAAGGGGTCTGAAAACTAAAAATGTCCTGCTTTTTTGGGCAGAGTTTGGGGTCCAAAACAGTCCACAATATTCTATGGTCTGTTATTGTAAACAGAGAATCCTGACTGCAACATTACAGCAGTGGAGAAAGCCTGTAGAGTGCTGGGTGGAGGAGGCCTTAAAGCTTTGAATTGTGTAAAGCTGGTAGAAAGACAACAGAGCAGGGGTCCGTTTCACGTAGCAGGTTTAGTGGAAACTCTGAGTTTGTTAACCCTGAAATCAGGGAAACTCTGAGTTTTCCGTTTCACAAAGGAGGGTTAGTTAAACCAGGGAGAGAGGGGTAACTCTAACCTGTTTCACAAAGAGAGGTAACTCAACCTCGCGGTCATTAGATTTTGGCTCACTCTTTAAAAGTTGTTGTATTAAGAGTCTGACAAACATCACTAAAAGGATCTCTACAGAGAGGAGGAGGATTTTGTTTTTTTTCACAACTACCTGTTAAATCGCTCTTCAAAACAACCAAACACCACTAAATAAACAGTAACTTTGCCTCGTGGAAGTTATTGGTCAACCTCTGAGCTCACCTAGTTTATTTGCACATCAGATCCTGGATCTGGATCCTGGAATAGGTAATTGGATCTATTTTGATATCAATGCAACACAAATTTAAACAAAAAAGTAGCTGTTTGAGGGGTAAAACTCTGGTGCTCTGCAAAGTAAAGTTGCTGTTTTTGTGAATGGAGTCTGGTAGCTTTGCAGAGAGAGAAGTAAAGGTTATTTGACGCTCTCTTTGATTCCACTCAAACTGCAGATGTAAGGATAATGTGGATCATTTGTGGATATTTTGCCAGAATTAACATGTTGCTCTTGTATTTCCTGCAGCGTACTCATACTTTAAGAGATGCTGGAAGAGATTGGAGGCACAGACCATAATTACCAGCAAAACTCTCACGGTCAAAGTCTGTGATACTGACCTCTGCAACTGAGATTATCTTATAGCGTCTGCAGAAAAAGCATTAAAGTTGTATCTTTATTATAAAATGTGACTTACTGAGAGGACTAAAGAAATGTAAATCAGCTTCATATAATGTGCATACCAAATTAAAAAAAACCTAAATATAAAGTTGGTGTCCTGCAGTTTTTTACTATTTGTATTTGTATTTGTATTTGTTTATTTAGCACAGATTAAAAACAGTGCAAGGAGGGAACGAAGCCGATAGGCTTATACAAAGTTCCACTCCCATCAGGTCAGAGAAAACATAAGGTGCAGACAACTAAGTACACAGACTGGAACACAGACAAATCAGCAAACAGTGATAAAGAAAATAAAGTATTTATAAAAAGGAAAGAGATATGATCAAAACAAATAATGATGTATTAAAGACATGATCAGATGATATTTTAATGATATTTTAAAGGAGTTAAAGGATGATATTGATTTTAGAGATGCATCAAGATTATTCCACAGTTTCTGACCTCTAAAAGTGATGTTAGACTGATGACTAGAAGTTCTACATGAAGGTAACTGAAGATGGCCATTTTGTCGTGTTGAGTACGGATAAAGGTCGGATGAAAAGGTAAAAAAGTTTCGGAAAGTTTCAGGAAGGGCTTGTTTGTTATTGATGAATTTGTGGACATATAAACAAGAGTGAAGGACATTGAGTTTGTCAATTGGTAAGATGGAGTATTTAGAAAAGAGAGGAGCAGAAGGTTCGTGTTTGCTGGATCGTGAGATCATTCTTATGAATCTTTTCTGGATTATTAATATTTTCTTGAGGTAGGTTGAATACGTTGCACACCATACAATGTTACAATAGTTCATGTACGGAAATAGAAAGCTGTAATACAAAGACAAATGAGCAGAGGGATTGATCAGGGGACAGACCTTATTAATTATACCGAGGCTCTTCATTGACCTTTTGCATACTTGGCTGACATGAATGTTCCACTTTAGACCCTCATCGATGACAACACCCAAAAAAGTGGTGCGGGGTACTTGAGGGATTCCAGTACCATTGATTGATATAAAAAAACTAAATATAAAGTTGGTGTCCTGCAGTTTGTTTTTACTAATTTACAGTAATAAAATAGTTTTATTGTGATGTATCCTGTTGTTTTAGTTACTTTGTTTGTCTGACTCCTCAGGTTACAGATTCACTGAGAGGAAAGTAAGAACAAATATGTTAACTCTCTACCAAATAAAAATTCATTAAAAAGAATGAATTTTCCTGCTAAAGTTCTTCAGTGTTTTTTTTCTTCCAAAACTCATGTAAGAATTGCTGAAATCATGAAGCCAGTGTACAATGAATGTCTGCAAAGGGGCATGAAAACTAAAAATGTCCTGCTTTTTTGGGCAGAGTTTGGGGTCCAAAACATTCCACAATATTCTATGGTCTGTTATTGTAAACAAAGAATCCTGACTGCAGCATGAAAGCAGTGGAGAAAGCTTGTAGAGTGCTGGGTGGAGGAGGCCTTAAAGCTTTGAATTGTGTAAAGCTGGTAGAAAGACAACATGAAGCCTGAGCAGAATACCTTTGAACACATGCAGCAGTGGTACACTGCAGCCTCTAGTGGCCAAAATGAGAACTACAACAACAGACAGGAAAAAAAACAGCCTAAATAAAGAGAGAGGTGTTTTTCACCTACTGAGTTTATGTTTAAACTTTATGTTGTGTTTGCAGCCTCTTGTGTAGATGTACACAGTTGTGTAACATGTAAAGATGACTGAGCAACAAAGCAGAGTCAACTCTGATGTTTGATCACAGACAGGCTATAAAAGGAGTATGTGAATTCTCTGTGGATTCAGAGAGACTTCTAATCCTAAAGAAGAAACACCAGCAGGTAAATATTCAGAGCTGGAGAATAAATGTAGGTTTTTCTAAATGCTTTTATTCCGTTTGAGATTAAATTAGATTCAACTTTTTCGTCAGTTTAGCACCTGACCAGAGGTGCTTCATCAAGTACAGACAAGTACAGAGTGATTAACAGAGTAACACTCTGAGGTGTAGGAAGTTTGTCGGTTTAAATATATGGATTAAAGAAGGATTTAAACTGTCAGTTCTAACACACTGAGACAAATTCAGGCTCCTCTGAGGAACTTTTGGTTTGTGTGAGTTTTGCTGATGGATTCTAGTGAAAACTTAAAGTAGTTGAAGATTCAGGGATTCACATGCACTCGTACATTTCTGTCTTTGCAGCTGATCTACTTGGTCATAATCATCCATAATGAAGACTGTCCAGCTCGTTGTTGTCCTCCTCATTGTCTGCATCAGCTGTGATGAGTACGTGTTCATGTTTTCTGCCTTTCTTTGAACCTCTTTAACATAAAACAAACCACTGCATGCGAATATTGGTAAATCCTTGACATGTTTAAGGGATGAACACTCTGTTTTGTTTTGCAGCAGAGGCTCTGTGGTGTAACCGTTGTGTTCCTATTATGATGGGTGGATTATGCATCGACAGAGTGGAGGAGTGTGCAAAAGGTCTGGATGTTTGTGTCCACGTAATCATCACTTGCCCCAGTAAGTAATCTTAAAGTGCAGTAATCATACATTATTTTGCACAATTTTGAGTTTGCATGACTCAAACATTTTTTAAAGAGCTTTTTTCGATCACTCCATCCTGCAGCAGTCCTCAGTAGATTTCAGTGCACCCTTTAAATGTTGTTGTTTTGAAAGTCTGACAAACATCACTGAAAGGATCCCTACAGAGTGGAGGAGGGTTTTGCTTTTTATTCACTACTACCTGTTAAATTGCTTTTCAAAGTAACCAAACCCCACTGAAAAAACAGTAACTTTGCCTCGCAGGAGTTGCTGGTTCACCTCTGACCTCACTTAGTTTATCTGCAGTGCAGAGTGACTTCTGGATCCTGGAATAGGTCACTGGATCTATTTTTATATCAATGCAACACAAATTTAAGGACAAGTATCTGATCGTGGGGTAAAACTCTGGTGCTCTGCAAAGTACAACTGCTGTTTTTGTGAATGGAGTCTGGTAGCTTTGCAGAGAGTGAAACAAAGGTTATTTAATGCTCTCTTTCATCATCTGTAATGATGTCAGACACTTAAAATCTCAATCCGAGCCTGTCAGGGATAAAACAAGGACTTTGAGTGAACACACATTTTGAATTGGATTTGACTCAAACAGAAGTAAAAATCCTTGATTTCTTTGAATTTGTTTTTTAAAAGCATCATTTGTGGATATTTTGCCTGAATTAACATGTTGCTCTTGTAGATCCTTCATCGAACTCATACTTTAAGAGATGCTCGAGGAGATTTGTGGCCGACAACATGAGGCGCAGCCAACACCTCACAGTCCATATCTGTGAAACTGACTTCTGCAACTGAGAGAACGTCTGCAAAAAAAAGCATCAAAATTGTATCTTTATTTAAAAATGTGACTTACTGAGAGGACTGAAGAAATGTGATTCAGCTCCATATAATCTGCTTACCAAATAAAAAAACTAAATATAAAGTTGGTGTCCTGCAGTTTTTTTACTAATTTAAAGTAATATAATAGTTTTATTGTGATGTATCCTGTTGTTTTAGTTACTTTGTTTGTCTGACTCCTCAGGTTACAGAATCACTGAGAGGAAAGAAACAACAATAGTCCATGAGCCAGACCACTGATTGCAATAAATCAGGTGGGCAATTTCTAGTTTGTTTTTTTTAATTGCTCCACAACCCTAATTTTTATGGTTTGGCATGATATCCTTTGCAGACTGGGAGCTTAGTGATGGTTATCATGCATATAGGCAAAATATCCACAAATGATCCACAGAATCCACAGAATCTTTACTGCTGCAGTTTGAGTGGAATCAGAGTCCTGTAGCAGAAATACCTGAATTCCGTTATTATGGGGCTTGTGGACTACTTGCCAAACCATAAACTAGGGATGTGGAGCAACTGAAAAAAAACAAACTAGAAATTGCCCACCCGATTTATTGTGATTGGTCAATTTTGGGGTCTTGGCTCATGGACTACAAATGTGTTTTCTCTTTACCAAATAAAAATTCAATAAGAAGAATGAATTTTCCTACTATAGTTCTTTATTTTTTTCTCTTTCAAAACTCATGTAACAATTGCTGAAATCATAAAGCGAGAGAACAGCGAATGTCTTTAAAGGGGTCTGAAAACTAAAAATGTCCTGCTTTTTTGGGCAAAGTTTGGCGTCCAAAACATACCACGATATTCTATGGTCTGTTATTGTAAACAGGGAATCCTGACTGCAGCATGACAGCAGTGGAGAAAGCTTGTAGAGTGCTGGGTGGAGGAGGCCTTAAAGCTTTAAAGTGTGTAAAGCTGGTAGAAAGACAACATGAAGCCTGAGCAGAATACCTTTAAACACATGCAGCAGTGGTACACTGCAGCCTCTAGTGGCCAAAATGAGAACTACAACAACAGACAGGGAAAAAAAACTGCCTAAATAAAGAGAGAGGTGTTTTTCACCTACTGAGTTTATGTTTAAACTTTATGTTGTGTTTGCAGCCTCTTGTGTAGATGTACACAGTTGTGTAACATATCAAAGATGCCTGAGCAACAAAGCAGAGTCAACTCTGATGTTTGATCACAGACTGGCTATAAAAACAGTATGTGAATTCTCTGTGGATTCAGAGACTTCTAATCCTGAAGAAGAAACACCAGCAGGTAATTATTCAGAGCTGGAGTCTGAATGTAGGTTTTTCTAAATGCTTTTATTCTGTTTGAGAGTAAATTAGATTCAACTTTTTCGTCAGTTTAGCACCTGACCAGAGGTGCTTCATCAAGTACAGACAAGTACAGAGTGATTAACAGAGTAACACTCTTTAAATCACTGCAGAGATGTAGGAAGTTTGTCAGTTTAAATATATGGATTAAAGAAGGATTAAAACTGTCAGTTCTAACACACTGAGACAGATTCAGGCTCCTCTGGGGAACTTTTGGTTTGTGTGAGTTTTGCTGATGGCGTTCTAGTGAAAAGCTGAAAACGGTTGAAGATTCAGGGATTCACATGCACTCATATATTTCTGTCTTTGCAGCTGATCTACTCGGTCATAATCATCCATAATGAAGACTGTCCAGCTCGTTGTCGTCCTCCTCATCGTCTGCATCAGCTGTGGTGAGTACGCATTCATGTTTTCAGCCTTTCTTTGAACCTCTGTAACATAAAACAGACCACTGCGTGCGAATAACGGTAAATCCTTGACATGTTTTGTTTTGCAGCAGAGGCTCTGAAGTGTAACCGTTGTATTCCTGTGAAAATGGGTGGATCATGCACCAACACAGTGGAGGAGTGTGGAGAAGGTGAAGACGTTTGTATCTACGTATCCATATCAAACCCCAGTAAGTGATCTCAAATTGCAGTAATTACACATAATTTTGCACAATTTTGAGTTTGCATGACTCAAACATTTTTAAAAGAGCTTTTTTAGATCAGTCCATCCTGCTGCAGTCCTCAGTAGATTTTGGCGCACTCTTTAAAAGTTGTTGTATTAAGAGTCTGACAAACATCATTAAAAGGATCTCTACAGAGAGGAGGAGGATTTTGTTTTTATTCACAACTACCTGTTTAATCGCATCTTCAAAGCAACCAAACCCCACTAAATAAACAGTAACTTTGCCTCAGGGGAGTTACTGGTCAACCTCTGAGCTCACATAGTTTATCTGCACATCAGATCCTGGATCTGCATCCTGGAATAGGTAATTGGATCTATTTTAATGTCAATGCAACACAAATTTAAACAAAAAAGTAGCTGTTTGAGGGGTAAACCTCTGGTGCTCTGCAAAGTACAACTGCTGCTTTTGTGAATGGAGTCTGGTAGCTTTGAAGAGAGTGAAACAAAGGTTGTTTAATGCTCTCTTTCACCATCTGTAATGATGTCAGACACTTAAAATCTCAATCCGAGCCTGTCAGGGATAAAACAAGGACTTTGAGTGAACACACATTTTCAATTGGATTTGACTCAAACAGAAGTAAAGATCCTTGTTTTCTTTGAATTTGGTTGTTATAAGCATCATTTGTGGATATTTTGCCTGAATTAACATGTTGCTCTTGTATTTCCTGCAGTGTACTCATACTTTAAGAGATGCTCGAGGAGATTTGTGGCCGACAACATGGAGCGCAGCCATCTCCTCACAGTCCAAATCTGTGAAACTGACCTCTGCAACTGAGATAACGTCTGCAAAAAAAAGCAAAAATTGTATCTTTATTTAAAAATGTGACTTACTGAGAGGACTGAAGAAATGTGATTCAGCTCCATATAATCTGCTTACCAAATAAAAAAACTAAATATAAAGTTGGTGTCCTGCAGTTTTTTACTAATTTAAAGTAATATAATAGTTTTATTGTGATGTATCCTGTTGTTTTAGTTACTTTGTTTGTCTGACTCCTCAGGTTACAGAATCACTGAGAGGAAAGAAACAACAATAGTCCATGAGCCAGACCACTGATTGCAATAAATCGGCTGGGCAATTTCTAGTTTGTTTTTTTGAGTTGCTCCACAACCCTAATTTTTATGGTTTGGCATGATAACCTTTGCAGACTGGGAGCTTAGTGATGGTTATCATGCATTTAATCTACAGAGTCCTGTAGCAGAAATACCTGAATTCCGTTATTATGGGGCTTGTGGACTACTTGCCAAACTGTAAGGATGCCTAGCCCAGGTTCACACTAGAAAGAATCGAAGGTCCACACGAATGGTCATTTTGACAAGCTTTCCTGATTACATATCTGGGTTACAGCTTCAGCAGGCCACAAGTGTGACCCAAGTGTGACACAAGTGTAACAAAGAGTGGTCCAAGTGTGACCCCCCCCAAGTGTAGCAAAAAGTGGTCCACCCCCAAGTGTGGCCAACATGAGTGTAGCCCCCATGTGTGGCAAAGAGTAGCCCACCCCCAAGTGTGGCAAAGAGTAGCCCCCCCCAAGTGTGGCAAAGAGTAGCCCACCCCCAAGTGTGGCAAAGAGTAGCCCCCCCCAAGTGTGGCAAAGAGTGGTCCAAGACCATTCAAGTATATATAGCGGTTCACAATCCTAAACATACTGTTGGTATTTAGTTGACCCTAAGAGAAATCCATGTATGGTAAAAACAAAGGACAACATGTTTCAAAAGCCTTAGATGAACATGTGGAAGGTCCCAAGAAGGAAATATCATGGCAAACATATTTTGGGGACCTGTATGATGTAAATAATGTGTACAGGGTTCCTTGCTCAGAGATGGTTGTAGGAGGCCCCCGGCTCCAGCAATCTAACACCAAAGTGTCTGGGGTATTTGAGTGACACAGCTCCACCACTCTAAAGGCTGACATGACTGGCTAAAGAAACTCATCCTAACACAAACCATAAACTAGGGATGTGGAGCAACTGAAAAAAAAACAAACTAGAAATTGCCCACCCGATTTATTGTGATTGGTCAATTTTGGGGTCTTGGCTCATGGACTACAAATGTGTTTTCTCTTTACCAAATAAAAATTCAATAAGAAGAATGAATTTTCCTACTATAGTTCTTTATTTTTTTCTCTTTCAAAACTCATGTAACAATTGCTGAAATCATAAAGCGAGAGAACAGCGAATGTCTTTAAAGGGGTCTGAAAACTAAAAATGTCCTGCTTTTTTGGGCAAAGTTTGGCGTCCAAAACAGTCCACAATATTCTATGGTCTGTTATTGTAAACAGAGAATCCTGACTGCAGCATGACAGCAGTGGAGAAAGCCTGTAGAGTGCTGGGTGGAGGAGGCCTTAAAGCTTTGAATTGTGTAAAGCTGGTAGAAAGACAACAGAGCAGAATGAGCGGAATACCTTTGAACACATGCAGCAGTGGTACACTGCAGCCTCTGGTGGCCAAAATAAGAACGACAACAACAGACAGGAAAAAAAACAGCCTTAATAAAGAGAGAGGTGTTTTTCACCTACTGAGTTTATGTTTAAACTTTAGTCTGGAGTTTAAACTTTATGTTGTGTTTGCAGCCTCTTGTGTAGATGTACACAGTTGTGTAACATATCAAAGATGACTGAGCAACAAAGCAGAGTCAACTCTGATGTTTGATCACAGACGGGCTATAAAAGGAGTATGTGAATGCTCTGTGGATTCAGAGACTTCTAATCCTGAAGAAGAAACACCAGCAGGTAATTATTCAGAGCTGGAGTCTGAATGTAGGTTTTTCTAAATGCTTTTATTCTGTTTGAGATTAAATTAGATTCAATTTTTTCGTCATTACACAGGTACTGAAGCAGTTTAGCATCCGACCAGAGGTGCTTCATCAAGTACAGACAAGTACAGAGTGATTAACAGAGTAACACTCTTTAAACCACTGCAGAGGTGTAGGAAGTTTGTCAATTTAAATATATGGATTAAAGAAGGATTAAAACTGTCAGTTCTAACACACTGAGACAGATTCAGGCTCCTCTGAGGAACTTTTGGTTTGTGTGAGTTTTGCTGATGGATTCTAGTGAAAAGCTGAAAATGGTTGAAGATTCATGGATTCACATGCACTCGTATATTTCTGTCTTTGAAGCTGATCTACTTGGTAATAATCATTCAAAATGAAGACTGTCCAGCTCGTTGTCGTCTTCCTCATTGTCTGCATCAGCTGTGGTGAGTACGCATTCATGTTTTCAGCCTTTCTTTGAACCTCTTTAACATAAAACAGACCACTGCATGCGAATAACGGTAAATCCTTGACATGTTTAAGGGATGAACACTGTTTTGTTTTGCAGCAGAGGCTCTGAAGTGTAACCGTTGTATTTCTGTGAAAATGGGTGGATCATGCACCAACACAGTGGAGGAGTGTGGAGAAGGTCAAGACGTTTGTATCTACGTATCCATATCAAACCCCAGTAAGTGATCTCAAATTGCTGTAATTATACGTAATTTTGCACTTTTTTGAGTTTGCATGACTCAAACATTTTTAAAAGAGCTTTTTTAGATCAGTCCATCCTGCTGCAGTCCTCAGTAGATTTCAGTGCACTCTTTAAAAGTTGTTGTATTAAGAGTCAGACAAACATCACTAAAAGGATCTCTACAGAGAGGAGGAGGATTTTGTTTTTATTCACAACTACCTGTTAAATCGCTCTTCAAAGCAACCAAACCCCACTAAATAAACAGTAACTTTGCCTCGCGGGAGTTACTGGTCAACCTCTGAGCTCACATAATTTATTTGCACATCAGATCCTGGATCTGGATCCTGGAATAGGTAATTGGATCTATTTTGATATCAATGCAACACAAATTTAAACAAAAAAGTAGCTGTTTGAGGGGTAAAACTCTGGTGCTCTGCAATGTAAAGTTGCTGTTTTTGTGAATGGAGTCTGGTAGCTTTACAGAGAGAGAAGTAAAGGTTGTTTGACGCTCTATTTGATTCCACTCAAAGTGCAGCAGTAAAGATTCTGTGGATCATTTGTGGATATTTTGCCATAATTTACATGTTGCTCTTGTATTTCCTGCAGCGTACTTATATTTTAAAAGATGCTGGAAGAGATTGGAGGCACAGACCATAATTACCAGCAAAATTCTCTCGGTCAAAGTCTGTGAAACTGACCTCTGCAACTGAGATTATCTTATAACGTCTGCAAAAAAAAGCATTAAAGTTTTATCTTTATTTGAAAATGTGAGTTACTGAGAGGACTAAAGAAATGTAAATCAGCTTCATATAATCTGCATACCAAATAAAAAAAAAACTAAATAGAAAGTTGGTGTCCTGCAGTTTTTTTTTTTTTTTTACTAATTTAGAGTAATATAATAGTTTTATCGTAATGTATCCTGTTGTTTTAGTTACTTTGTTTGTCTGACCCCTCAGGGTACAGAATCACCGAGAGGAAAGTAAGAACAAATATATTGTCTCTCTACCAAATAAAAATTCATTAAAAAGTATGAATTTTCCTGCTATAGTTCTTCAATTTTTTTTTCTTCCAAAACTTACATAAGAATTGCTGAAATCATGAAGCCAGAGAACCGGGCAGAGTTTGAGGTCCAAAACATACCGCAATATTCTACGGTCTGTTATTTTAGATAGAGAATCCTGACTGCAGCATGACAGCAGTGGAGAAAGCTGGTAGAGGGCTGGGTGGAGGAGGCCTTCAAGCTTTGAATTGTGTAAAGCTGGTAGAAAGACAACATGAAGCCTGAGCGGAATACTTGTGAACACATGCAGCAGTGGTACACTGCAGCCTCTAGTGGCCAAAATGAGAACTACAATAACAGACAGGAAAAGAAAACCAACCAAATAGAGAGAGAGAGAGAGAGAGGTGTTTTTGACCGACCTGTTATGGCGTGACTACGTCCGTCAGCTTCCAGAAATTGATCAATCAACAGACAGCTCTCGATGGCCTTACGTCTTGCTTGAACTTGAAGTTGAAAAGTTGTTAATGGACACCGACATTTCGGAGAGGTCTTTTACCCAATTCGTCCGTCCAGATATTCATTGTCAGCATTTTCAAAGTAATACTTTATGGCTAGCGGTTGTCTATTCACATTTATATTTGAACATTTTAAAGGATAGCGTTGCGCTTCTTAACATCAGTGACTCGGTAGCTAATTGTTTATTAAATAAAGCTGCATAACAGTAGTCTACAGCCACAGTTACTTTCCTGATATTGCTCATTTAACGTTCTACTTTTAGTCAGTACTAAAGTGTAATTCACTTAATTGTTGACATATCTGTCAAACTGACCAATCTGTCCAAGATGTTTTCGAGCTGTAGAGTCGCTTCAATGAATAAATGAATAAATGAACTGGACAAATGGGTATCCGCTATATGTAAGAGTACAGTAACTTTATGGTCCAAAATGTCCCTTTTTCACTTTATTTTGATGTCATCATATTGTTAGATAAATCATCTTTTATATAAACCACTGCATAAATACTTACTTTAAAAGACATAAATGCAGGTATTAAAAGCATTTTTTCTTTTTTTTGGTCAATTATGATAACATTTCTCCCTCCATTACTGTACTGTAGCGTAGATCTGAGTCAAGGTGATTATGGTGTTATCTAACATTTTCAGCCCATTTGGAAAATATATGAAAACAGAGTGTGGTATAAAATTTACAGTAACAGAGGGTTGTGGATGACAAAGGGACAGAGTAACAAGGGTATACACTACTGTCTAAATTAATGTGTTAATAAAATTTCATGCATTTCATTACAGCTCTGTTACCCACACGTGCTTCTCTGCTTTCTTCACATTTCCCTTAAAAGAAAACAAATCTAGATGGAGCCCTGCTTTAGGAAGCGTGCTGATGGCAGCATGAACCTTACTGGCACTAAGAGGCTGTCAGTGTAAAGGCTGTAAACAAGGGGAAGCCATGACCGCAACCCTTATCCCCAGAGGTTGTTATGGATAAAACTAGAAAGGCTGTTATTGAGAATAAGGGAGATCCAAGGAACCAAGGGAGTACATTGAGCTCTTTCCTTCTTGAAGAATTGCCATAACCATGAAGGAAGGCTGTTTGAGCCGAGCGTCATCACAGCGACTCTTGGCAACTGTGCGGCCGAATGCGCGCATTGCTACAGCGCAGCGCTGGTTCTAGGTAATGAAGAAAAATCCCAGAAATACCGAGAGCTTTTTGGCTTCAAATCCGTATACAGGCAGTAGGTGGAACCAAGTTGTCCAGAGTATATACAGTCTATGGCAGCATGTTGCCAAGTCTAAAACATAACTCCGAAAGAGGCCGAAGCCAGCTAAACAAACCCTGTTGCCAAATGGAGTATCTGATGAGGATGATAGAGAGAGAGAGAGACAGTCAACAGCCTGGTCTTTAATACCCTGGGAGACTGGCCAGGAACTCCCAGGTGTGGCTAAACCCCACCTACCAGGAACCCGCAAAAGGAACAAGAAAAACCAGAAAAAAAGAACAGGTAGCACGTCCTGACTTCGTCGTCACAATGGCAAAAGCAAAAACTCACGATAACTACCCAACAACCCTTCAAGCTCTTCAAAACTCAAAAGGAGTGACATAACTCTTTAAAAGCAGTTTTGGGTTTGTTAAAACAATATATTTTACATGCAAAAATCTAGATGCTTTTGCTGTTTTTTTTTGTGGATACCACGTTGAACCAGACCCTGATCTAAGGACTTTTTAGGTGATAGGGCCTTTAAAACAAAGCATCAGATTTTTGTCAGATTTTAGAACAGCTGTGAAATTCTTGTGAAATGCTGAGAATACCCTGCATGCCTTAGTGATGTTAAGAAGAATCCAAATCCACTCTGGAAAAACCAACAAGGAACATGACTTTAAATTTTTAAGCTGCACTGCCCAAACAGATCAGGGGGACTGTTTTCAAAAATAAAACTCATGTTTGTAACGATTCATGTCATCCTTGTTAAGTGTCAGACAGCACTGAGTGACCTGCTGCTCGCGTGGTACTCTGCTCTCGCCTTAGGGGTGCTGCATTTTCCTGTTTTATTGTGGAAGTTTAGAAATGTTATATGGGGCTGAAAAATTGGTAACGCTTCAAGAATTTGCGTGTCATCCTTGTGCAAGGGGCCATGCTAATCTTCTCTGTATCGTATCCAATTTTAGTATATGTGTTAGCGAACTAACACTATTCTACCAGCACGGTTAGCATTGATATGAACGACTCGATACGATGACGCCCTGCAGTCAAGGTGAAGGTTTCCCACGTCTTACAGGCAGTCGAAACAATGAAAATGCTTTAGGTGACTGAGGTCTGAGTCTTCCTGTTTGGGAAGTGCAGCTTAAAAATTGAGATCAGGGGGACTGTTTTCAAAAATAAAACTCATGTTTGTAACGATTCATGTCATCCTTGTTAAGTGTCAGACAGCACTGAGTGACCTGCTGCTTGCGTGGTACTCCGCTCTCGCCGTAGGGGTTTGTAACGATTCATGTCATCCTTGTTAAGTGTCAGACGGCACTGAGTGACCTGCTGCTCGCGTGGTACTCTGCTCTCGCCTTAGGGGTGCTGCCTTTTCCTTTTTTATCGTGGAAGTTTAGAAATGTTATATGGGGCTGAAAAATTGGTAACGCTTCACGAATTTGCGTGTCATCCTTGCGCCAGGGGCCATGCTAATCTTCTCTGTATTGTATCCAATTTTAGTATATGTGTTAGCGAACTAACACTATTCTATCGGCACGGTTAGCATTGATATGAACGACTAGATACGATGACCCCCTGCAGTCATGGTGCAGGTTTCCCACGTCTTACAGGCAGTCGAAACAATGAAAATGCTTTAGGTGACTTAGGGAAAACACAAGACTGAGGTCTGGATCTTGGGAAGTGCAGCTTAAAAATTGAGATCAGGGGGACTGTTTTCAAAAATAAAACTCATGTTTGTAACGATTCATGTCATCCTTGTTAAGTGTCAGACAGCACTGAGTGACCTGCTGCTTGCGTGGTACTCCGCTCTCGCCGTAGGGGTTTGTAATGATTCATGTCATCCTTGTTAAGTGTCAGACGGCACTGAGTGACCTGCTGCTCGCGTGGTACTCTGCTCTCGCCTTAGGGGTGCTGCCTTTTCCTTTTTTATCGTGGAAGTTTAGAAATGTTATATGGGGCTGAAAAATTGGTAACGCTTCACGAATTTGCGTGCCATCCTTGCGCCAGGGGCCATGCTAATCTTCTCTGTATCGTATCCAATTTTAGTATATGTGTTAGCGAACTAACACAATCCTACCAGCACGGTTAGCATTGATATGAACAACTTGATACGATGACCCCCTGCAGTCATGGTGCAGGTTTCCCACGTCTTACAGGCAGTCGAAACAATGAAAATGCTTTAGGTGACTTAGGGAAAACACAAGACTGAGGTCTGGATCTTGGGAAGTGCAGCTTAAAAATTGAGATCGGGGGACTGTTTTCAAAAATAAAACTCATGTTTGTAACGATTCATGTCATCCTTGTTAAGTGTCAGACAGCACTGAGTGACCTGCTGCTTGCGTGGTACTCCGCTCTCGCTGTAGGGGTTTGTAATGATTCATGTCATCCTTGTTAAGTGTCAGACAGCACTGAGTGACCTGCTGCTCGCGTGGTACTCTGCTCTCGCCTTAGGGGTGCTGCATTTTCCTGTTTTATTGTGGAAGTTTAGAAATGTTATATGGGGCTGAAAAATTGGTAACGCTTCAAGAATTTGCGTGTCATCCTTGTGCAAGGGGCCATGCTAATCTTCTCTGTATCGTATCCAATTTTAGTATATGTGTTAGCGAACTAACACTATTCTACCAGCACGGTTAGCATTGATATGAACGACTCGATACGATGACGCCCTGCAGTCAAGGTGAAGGTTTCCCACGTCTTACAGGCAGTCGAAACAATGAAAATGCTTTAGGTGACTGAGGTCTGAGTCTTCCTGTTTGGGAAGTGCAGCTTAAAAATTGAGATCAGGGGGACTGTTTTCAAAAATAAAACTCATGTTTGTAACGATTCATGTCATCCTTGTTAAGTGTCAGACAGCACTGAGTGACCTGCTGCTTGCGTGGTACTCCGCTCTCGCCGTAGGGGTTTGTAACGATTCATGTCATCCTTGTTAAGTGCCAGACGGCACTGAGTGACCTGCTGCTCGCGTGGTACTCTGCTCTCGCCTTAGGGGTGCTGCCTTTTCCTTTTTTATCGTGGAAGTTTAGAAATGTTATATGGGGCTGAAAAATTGGTAACGCTTCACGAATTTGCGTGACATCCTTGCGCCAGGGGCCATGCTAATCTTCTCTGTATTGTATCCAATTTTAGTATATGTGTTAGCGAACTAACACTATTCTATCGGCACGGTTAGCATTGATATGAACGACTAGATACGATGACCCCCTGCAGTCATGGTGCAGGTTTCCCACGTCTTACAGGCAGTCGAAACAATGAAAATGCTTTAGGTGACTTAGGGAAAACACAAGACTGAGGTCTGGATCTTGGGAAGTGCAGCTTAAAAATTGAGATCAGGGGGACTGTTTTCAAAAATAAAACTCATGTTTGTAACGATTCATGTCATCCTTGTTAAGTGTCAGACAGCACTGAGTGACCTGCTGCTTGCGTGGTACTCCGCTCTCGCCGTAGGGGTTTGTAATGATTCATGTCATCCTTGTTAAGTGTCAGACGGCACTGAGTGACCTGCTGCTCGCGTGGTACTCTGCTCTCGCCTTAGGGGTGCTGCCTTTTCCTTTTTTATCGTGGAAGTTTAGAAATGTTATATGGGGCTGAAAAATTGGTAACGCTTCACGAATTTGCGTGCCATCCTTGCGCCAGGGGCCATGCTAATCTTCTCTGTATCGTATCCAATTTTAGTATATGTGTTAGCGAACTAACACAATCCTACCAGCACGGTTAGCATTGATATGAACAACTTGATACGATGACCCCCTGCAGTCATGGTGCAGGTTTCCCACGTCTTACAGGCAGTCGAAACAATGAAAATGCTTTAGGTGACTTAGGGAAAACACAAGACTGAGGTCTGGATCTTGGGAAGTGCAGCTTAAAAATTGAGATCGGGGGACTGTTTTCAAAAATAAAACTCATGTTTGTAACGATTCATGTCATCCTTGTTAAGTGTCAGACAGCACTGAGTGACCTGCTGCTTGCGTGGTACTCCGCTCTCGCTGTAGGGGTTTGTAATGATTCATGTCATCCTTGTTAAGTGTCAGACGGCACTGAGTGACCTGCTGCTCGCGTGGTACTCCGTTGTATACAGATTTTAAAAACTATACTGTAAAAATGTTTTCGTTTTTTTTTGACATTTTGAAGAGCTTGAAGGGTTGTTGGGTAGTTATCGTGATTTTCTGTTTTGCTGTTGTGATGGCCCTGAGGCCTAATCAGGACTTGCTGCCTGTTCCTTTTTTTTGGTTTTTCTTGATCCTTTTTCAGGTTGCTCATAGGCGGGGTTTAGCTACACCTGGGAGTTTCTGGCCAGTCTCCCAGGGTATAAAAGACCAGGCTGTCGACTGTCTCTCTCTCTTGCATCCTCATCAGATACTCCATTTGACAAAAGGTTTTTTTTTTAGCTGGAAATAATGATATTATATTGTGATTTTTATGCACTCGTTGAAAAACTAAGAGGATCAGAGAGTAAAACAAAGAAGAGGGCTAAGGAAAGACCCGGAAACAAAAGAGTGAGCACCCCCAACTGGTTTTATCTCCTTCACACTGGGAGTGTCTCTGGGGTGTGTGTGTGTGAAGAGAAAGAGGAGGGGTCGTTGGTGCATTTGGTGCAGAGACCTAATGGATCTCTGATTATTTGATCTAACTTCTACTTATGGCAGGTAAAAGAGTCAGATCTGATTCTCACTCACTATGATTAATATCATTGAATGCTTGATTCACAATAAATGATTTCATATGAAATACACATGAAGAAATGTAGAATCACATCAGACATTCTCATTTTGTTTAAAGTATCACAATGAACACGCTAAATTACTCTGAAATAAAACAGATAGTAACACATAGAAACTGTGAACAACAACAAAAAAGGAAACACATGTGAATGAACTTCATCATGAGTAATAATGGATTCTTTATGCTAACATTTAGATTATTCAATGACATTATAACCACCTAATGGTTAAAAATACTAAATAAATGATTAAAATATAAACCCAACCTTTCTAAACTATTTCTGTTACTTAGAGTAAAGTTATGACTCATACTCAACAAATTTAACTCTTAACCCTCACATACTGTTTGGGTCAAATTTGACCCGTTTTGACTTTTAACAGCAGTAAAAAATACCCTAAACATCATTTTTTAAGCCTGAAACTTGATGACTTTTCCTGAAGTTGCCCAAAATACATGAAATTAGTTAAAAAATATTCATGTGTATTTTTGTTTATGTGCTACAAATTTTTCCCCTCTAAGGCTGTTACGGGTCAAATTTGACCCGTATCTATATTTAGATGGATTTTAGATCTAGCAGTGTGGGACAAGTGACAAACAGTAACAACAGTGTTCAATATAAGGTTTGTTGTTCAAAAAGATATATTCAAATCATTATGAAACTATTATTACCTTGAAAGAAACACACACACACGCACGCACACAGACATACAGTCACACAGACACACCTAGACAGAGGTCAAAATGACCTAACTAGTCAAGAGAACTTTCTGTGACAGAAAGCTGCTCTTTGAACTCTTTGAGGGGGCAATTTTGACCCGGAACATACTGTGAGGGTACAGGATTTGAACAGTATGTGAGGGTTAAAAGTTCATGAAACAGTCTGAAAAGCTGTTAGTCTAAAGAAACTAAAGAATAAAGGATTTATTCTGTCAGAGTGATAACTTGGCTTCTGGAGCACATATAAAAACGGGAAACATCTCATTATTACACAAATTTCATGATTAGACAGATAGTTAATTGCTGAATGCATAAGATGTGATGATCAGTCATTTGTAGTCTTTCTCCAAAAGAATGTAGTCTTTATCAGTACATGGTTGAGCAGGGTTATACGACAGAGGTCTGGTGGTCAGCGTCCTGCTCCTCTGGCTTTTCCTTGGATCCTGTGAGTTCACACTCTTAAAGAGTGTAAATCTCAAATGGAAGACCTGGGTCGAGGCTTTAATGTTTATTTCGATGGTCAGTGATGGAGTCAGTTTGAAAGTTAGTAAAAACTCTGTCTCTGTTTTCCAAATTGACCATTTGTGAAGGGCCAGAGGTTTAGGTCAACCTCTGGTCGGGTCAGTTGAGTAACCTGAAAGCGCAAACAAGTCTGGAAAGATTTTTGTTATCCTGTGTCCTGGGACCAGATAAGGGACCTTTCCTGCGAAGAATGTGTGAGTTTCACCCACAGGGTTGTCTTGATGCTACAACAGACACACTGACTAACTGACGCACACACCTCATCCGTTTTGTTGATCAAACATTTATTTTTGTGATCAATCATTATAGTTTGAGTTGACCGTTCCCTTCCCCCTTTCTTTTGTCTGTCTTGTGAGCTGGGTCATGACACTTTGTAGACCTTAGTAAATACTGTGCGCAAAAAAAAAAAAAAAAAAAATTAAAACTACACTGACAGCCTCTTAGTGCCAGTAAGGATCATGTTGCCATCATCACGCTTCCTATAGCGGGGCCCCATCAAGTTATTTTTTTTTTTAAAGGGAAATGTGAAGAAAAAAGAGAAGCATGTGTAAGTGCTTCTCTGTTGAGTGTATAGATTTAGCCTATGTGTTGTGAAACAGGTGTGTGCACATACTGATTTCAGTCTTTCCTCATTTTTTTCCAGCAGTCCAGCTTTGGTTTGATAAATATACTAGGGTTTTAGACTTATACTCGACTTTTAGCCACAAAAACTCTTAAATTCATGTAACTGAATGTTAATAACCACGTACACATTACTTAAAGTTTAACATGACGATATAGAGTATTATAAATCAATCACATTATTTTCATTGCTTATGAGTCTTCATAAACATTACTTGGAGTTTTTTAAATGCTTACATTACCTATGAGAGTCTTTATTAAGCTTTAAAAATGAGTTTACGGAGGATTAAAAAATGCTTCAAATAAAACAAACAGCAGCAAAACATTTACATAAAAAGTGCAGATGCTAAAGACTCACTGCTGGATTTGAAAATATATTATTTAAATGACATTAAATCAGAGTCAGACACCGAGAGTGCACAGTTTATCTGAGGAAAACGTCTCTGTGAGAGATTGAGTCAGTCTGTAAGTTCCTCTTTAACAACGCCACAGGAAAGTCGGTTATTTCGCAGTCAGTCCTGACCAATCGTGCACAGAGGGTAAGATCTGTGACTGATTTCGCAATCGAGTCACAAGAGAAAAAGCAGAGTGTTCAGGCTGCAGATCTCAGACTGAATATATGAGGACCTGAGGACTAGAGCACCTGAGGACAAGGTAAACCTGAGCTTTATTTTACAGGTAGACCTAAACTCCAGACTAAGTGAATGTAAACTCTTAATTTTCTTTGAAAACTGTGCTTTTGTGCTGTTAGGTTATTATTATTATTCTTTTTTTTTTACGTTTCTCTCGGTAAATAGTTGTTTCAAGCTTTTTTTCAGTCTGATCTGTAATATCCATGTGCAGTAGAAACATCTGCCATCTTTATAATTTATCTTATTTTGAAACCCTTAGGTCTGAATAAGTTGCTTTCTTGTTACACACTTTTGCAAAGGGAGCTTTACTGCTTTTCCAACCATTAAATAATTATCCTCTTTCAAAATAAAAGCCTGATGACATTGATTACTTTCAGAAACCAAAAAACTTACTGTATAAACCTGCAGTAGCTGAATTTACCTCCACTCTGGTGTGAGACGACAGTATAGACTTAAGAAAAGAGTGGAAAAAAAAACAAAGTCTCAAAGATTCTTTTGTTGTTTTTATCATTTTGAGATAAAAACATATTTGTACTTAACGATCTAATCTTTGAATTTCAGCCGGAAAAATGAGAGCTGCAGTGTGTGTAACCCTCCTCCTGCTCAGTCTGTATCAAGGTACGTGCGTTTTTATTCTCTTTACAGACACAAACTGAGAACTTTGTTAAAATAAATTCAAAACTACAGGAGAAAAGGCACACTTTGCATGTGTGACTAAATGTAAAGATGTGTTACTAATCAAGTGTTTTAATGTGTGTGCGTGTGTGTATGTGTGTGTTTGTCCAGGTGAGGCCCTGAGGTGTAACTACTGTTTCTCGAAGGACAGTGAGCTCTGCAATCCCACCGGCATCCAGAACTGCCCAAGAACTGCAGACGCCTGCGCTGACGTCATTTTCCAGGCCCCACTCAGTAAGCCCCTCCAATAAAAAAACAAATGTCAACATTTTTATCCAGCTCATTTTGTGGGCATGTAAAATATTTCATGTAATTTAGATTTTATTCTTTTATTTCTGCCGACCTGCCGCTGATTTTGAAGCAGGAGCCAAGTTCAAGTTAAAGAATGATCTCTTTTTTTTCAGTCCTCGTGTTGAGACATTTCTCAGATGTTCTTTTAATTTTACTTGTAGGAACTCAGAGTATATCCTCATACCTACAGACATAGTGTGAGTTAAAAATAATTCAGTGTAAGATTCAGAATGCAGAATGGAAAACGTGGACATCTTGTTTTTTTTTCAGTGCAGTGCAATTGGTCAGTTAAACGTTTTCTCTTACTATATTAAAGCTATGGTCTACGATCTGAAAACCAGTTTGGCTGTTGAGACAGATTTGAAAAACACAGCCTGCCCCCCCTTCACTCACCCCTCCCCTCTGTGTTCCAAGATCCCACCCCCCCAGCTCGTGTCGCCTCCTAACAACACGCCCTCTGATAGAGCAAGAAGCCGGCTGGCTAAAAATATCAGCAGTTGTACACATTGGTAGCCATTTCAACTGGACCAGCGGGATCAAAACCATATATTAGCGGGGTGAAGCGGGTCTGGCGTTGCCACTGCTAGCCGGTCAGAGCAGAGCCGATTGTGGGCAAGGCTTTACCTGTCTTGGCGTGTCTTCACCAGCTCAGTTTACAATGCTAAAGATGCGTGGCTAACTTATGCTAAAATCAATTGACAGAGCCTACCAGTTCCGACCAACAACATTCAGTCATTAGCCAGTATCGGCACAGACTAACCAGAGTTATTCAGCAGACATCTCCCACTGTAGTAAACAAAGTAATTATCTGTTCAACAGAAATTCGTCTGTCTTGTGTCAGTTTTCAGTCCCAAATCCTTCTGCAGCTTTTTCCACCGGTCGTACGTTTCTCCAGTGTAGACTCTCTGTTAGCACCTGTATCGCTAATATTTCTTCCTTACTTCAGCCTTTTCCTCAAAATTTTTACGTTTCCTTTCCTTCGATGTGGAGGGTAACAGAAGCGGCCTCCTGGTTTCTGTGTTTGTCTTCTCCGACTCCATTACGCTTCAGTAGCTGTGCAGCTAGCTAATCACATGTACGTAAGGTGGTAGTGGGGAGTGAGGCGGGACCATGGGCTGGACGGTGCGGAGTCACGAACTCGGATTTGTCGATTATTATGCCTTTTTGCAGCGGATATACTGAATGGATTTTTTTCGTTCTTTTTGATCTTTATATTGCGTAGATCGGACCATAGGACCATAACAGCCTTATAAACCGTGTTATTATGAAGTACCAAGCTTCCAAATGTAGGACCATAGCTTTATTTCCACCCTAATTCAAACAGGCCACAACCATCCTGATGATGTCAAACTGATAAAATCACAACGTTTTTACTCAGCAGTTGATTTTGCACCTCTGAAATCATTCCCACATAACCTGAACTCACCCTGACCCCCTGCGGACTTTATTTAAAAGTCACAGTTTAACATCATACCTGTCTGTTTCCTCTCTCAGGGGGTCAGTCTTTCCGATCCTGCATGAACATGGCGGTGTGTCAGGGTTACATCAAAACGCCCGGCATCTTCGCCAGCTGCTGCAGCACCGACCTCTGCAACTAACACTCCACCTTCCTCCCAGTCCAGCAGAGGACCACCTGATCTGAGCTCTGCGCAAACATGTTCTGCTACACCGCTGCCATGCAAATAAAAGTCTGTTTGACTACTTTATATGAGGAGAGGAGTGAGTTTGTGAGCGGCTTTAATCATTTGTTTAAGGTCAAATTTAAATCAGGGAGCAGCAGTACCGCTGAGCGACACTAGAGAGCAGTAGAGCGCCGTGGGATGAATCTAGCTGTATCCTCAGTGTGTTTTTAAAGAGCATTATTAAAAGACAAATAAAGAATTGGAGTGACATTTTGCTATCAGAGTTGTGATGTCTTTCTTCTCCACATGATGAAGTGCTGGATCTTATCGTCTCACCTGAGCCTCAATAATGGATCATCCACCGAGCAGAGCGGATGCAAATGTGCTGCATTTTTCACACACAGGCAGTGGAAATAGAGATAGATGTGTTCTCAGTTTGCATGCTTTATGAGCTGATGGCTCCGGTGTCATTTGTGAGCATAATTTAAGATCTGAAGGCAGCAGAGCATTAATCAGTCTTTAAAGCAGACGGAGGGGCGGGCTGAATTAACCAGAGGAGGAGAGTCGGAGCAAAAATTTCACCAAAATCAGAGAAAGGGGACGAATGTAAAAGACATATCGAACCTGTGGACAGAAAATGAAATGCGTGGGAATCCTTTAACCTTAAATCTTTGTTTGTTCATGATGCTGCAGTTTGCTCTGTGCAGCTGCAGAAATTATCATGAGGATGCAAAATGATTCAATAAACACCATAATGATGTTATGATACATTTCAGATTGAAAAAAAATATGCTTCATGGACATTATTTGGTGTTAAAAGAAGGCAGATAACCCTAAATTATGTTCAACTAAATTTGAAAAGCATTCCTCTAAGGTTTATCTTGTTTTATAAAAACCTAGAAAACAAAAATAGATTTTTTTTTCTTTATTATAGATGAATTTGAAACTTGAAGAAAAAACCATTTGATGTCAAACTCTAGTTTCAGTCTGGAGTGTGTTCTGCTGCAGAAGCTCATGCCAGCTGATACGCACCAATCCAAACAAAGAAATATTCTGCAAATTCAGAAATGATTTAAATCAACAAACATACGCCAAAGCCCCGCAGAGATGTAAACGCGGGCGTGAAGATGTGCTGCAAAAAGACAAAACTCTTGCATAAAAAAGCAAACCTGCTGCAGATGCAATTATGATGCAAAAGCAGAAAATAGCAGCAAAAGAAGAGCGCTGCAAGTCAACACCACACAAGAGGAGTTTTTTCGACCTGAAGGATGCAGAGTGAAACTTTTATCTCAAACTAAAAAGACCAGGAGTGAAAGGCTGTTAATGTGAAAATGGTTCCTTATGGACCGTTCATTTACAAAAAAAATGGTGCTTTGGACTTTTGACACACTTCTCCAGACTGGACTCTAATGGCAAAACACAAATCGGTGTATTCACAGCTGTGTTACTATCCTGTTTCCAGTAAAACAGTCATGCAGGATTATGAGGACAACTTTTACACATTGAGACTAAAAGATTAATATATTGCATTAAAATTGACAGTGTTTTTATCGTTCAAGTTTGTGACTCCCTGAGTTTAAATTCGCTGCACCATAACCATGACCATCCATACTCAGAGACAGACTTTTAAGCATGTGTGCATCATTGTCTTGTTGTTTGAAGAGCTCCTGTATGTGCAGGGCTGGCATTTTACGATACGAATTTGCACAAGTATTGTTCGCACAAACAATATTTGAGGTGGAGGTGTGTGCAGGTAAGGGAGAGCTGGATAAAAACACATGATGGGTTAAGCTTAGTCATGAGTCTAAGGACTTCTTTTTTTATTTTGAGGAAGAAAGCTGTTTGCTGATTTGCCCTGACTGTTTTGTGACTTGTAGACTGTAGACTGCTGAAAAGGTAGGCTACATGAGATTGTAGGCTTATCACTAATAACAGTCTTCATTTTCTAGGAAGTCTGCCCGTGTCTCCCTCCTCTGTGTAGGCCAGAGTATCCAGCCTGTTGACTCTCCCCGATCAGGGCCCAGATTGAGCAAGGTAACAGACTGGCATGGTTATGTTGGAGGGTTGTTATTATTACCCTCTGAGGTGTTTAAGGTTTGTCCATGGTTTTCACTTTGTTTCCTTCATTTCATTTAATCATCAGACTGCTGTTTTGTCATCTCCTTCTCTGCTTTGCAGCGTTACCCTTCGTCCTGTTAGGCTTTGATTGGCCTGGGGCCTGTTCTACGAAGCAGGTTCAACCTAGCGAGGTAGCCTTGGAGCTACCTCGCTCAACTTAACGTGGTAGCCAGTGGTCTCGCTAAGCGGTTTCACGACGCTGGTTATCAACCTCATAAGTGGATCCAGCTCTGCTATGAGCGCGTGCACACATATAAGGCGGAGCCCGCCGCATCTGACCAATCGCGAACATGGACCAGTCTGGAGCGTCAGAGCAGGCTGGAGAGTGAAGGACCGCAGACTTTACAAATAAGGCGCAGGAGACGATCATGAGAAAGTATGAAGAATTCAAAGCTATCACAAACGTCAAAAGCAACACCGTCGCCGCCGCAAAAGCACTGAGGGAATGCTGGCAGAAAATGCATCTTTGATGCCATTATCACCCTGAAATAGCACTGTTCAACATGCGCTTTTAACTAAGGTGACAGTCCCCGAATTGGATGATCTGTCCCCGGCTAAAGCTGTCCCCGAAAATGTCCCCGATTTAAGCGTTTCATGAATGAGAACAAAAGTGTTGCATGTGGGCAAGAACAACGGTTATTACAGTGGGTAGGAAGCACAAGTAAGCAGTCCTGAACAACAGTATTTACGGGGGTTATTATAAGGGGCGTGCGCTGCTACTAAATAGTACCGAGACGTTGTCTGTGATCGCGCAGCCCATGCCCATTCATTTCCAAGATGAATCATTCATTTGTTCATTCCTATCGTGTTTACATGTTTTGTGTAATATGTCGGCCATATGAGCCTTTCATAAAGGTGGTCATCCGGAGAAAACTCTCCCTGTAAACTCTCGCGAGCCGGAGTGCTCCTCCTCGGACAATGCGAGCACCGAGGTCTACAGGATCCTCCGAGAACGGACAAGCCGTTTTTCGAGAGAGCTCATTGGTCAGTGGGCGGCGTTCTTATACTCTTTGAGTTCAATCTGGAACTTAACCTGCCCCGGAGCAGGTTAGCCGTTCAGCGTATATTGCTATGGAGACTCGCCTCGCTAAGAAGTGAACCCGCGTCGTAGAACAGGAAACCCCGAACTTATCCTCGAAGTTACCTCGCTAAGCAGTAATCCTGCTTCGTAGAACAGGCCCCTGGCTTGGCTTTGGTTTAAGTCAGTCCTTCTAGACTGGTTAAACTGTTTGTTCAATGTTACAGACACTTGAATATTCGTGTCTAGGTCAGCTGATATTGTGTTTCGCAGCCTGAGAATATGTCACTGTGAAATTGTACATCCAGGACTTGCATTAGTTTGGGAAAATTATCTTTCTCTGTTACTCTTTTTAATGTGATACTCAGTGTTTTATTTTGTTCCCTTACAGAGGTATGAGCTGTGGGGAGTACATGTGGGCTCCACCTGTTTGCATGCTGTGGTAGGTCTGCTGGTGGTCACTTGAATGTTTTGTAGACTTGCATCCCTTTTGCAGGTGTAGCAGGTAGGACTCAAAGGCAGGGGCTGCAAGCTGTGCAGTCTCTCCAAAATGAGGTCAGCTCCTCCCTCTTTCCTCCTACCTTCCTATTTAAGGCACCTGTGGCAGGAGAGCTGCCTTTCCTTTGTCTGTGCCTGCTCGCTGCCACATGGTCTGAACAGAGGTAATGAGGCCTGGGTCATTGTATTCGACAATTTACTTTGAGTTCTGACCTGCTTATCAGTTGCTGAATTGTGTTTGTTCGTTTAGATTGTTTGCTTTCACTTTGCACTTTTCCCTGTCTGTCACCGTCCATTGATACAGGTAATGTGAAGTAGGTCGGCGGAAACTTGGATGAATGAACCTAAACAGACACAATCAGCTGCTATTTTTGTCTTTAAGAGTTTGTTTTGTGTTGTCAACATTTTAGACATTTGATCATAGAGCCATTTTAATAGAACCAACTGGGGTTTTGTTTCCCTAGTTTTAATCATTTCTTTTGTATAACCTTTTTTTCTTTCTCGTTCTTTACAGTGCAGTGGTGGCTGGCTAGCAGTGAAGGCTAGGCATGTTGAGAGGTTCCCCACACCTTTTGTTGAAGTGGCAGATGTACTGGGGCACCATAGTCTACGCTGGTTTGTAGTGTTTTCATTGCGTTCACGTGTGGTGGGTAAGTGCACTCCTGGGACACTTCCTTTTGGTAGACTACCTCCCTCTTGCTAGCTCCCACTCGCTGCCCCCTTCTGTTTTGTTAGTTTAACTGTATGGAAGTGTTTTATTGGTTAACTGTTAAAAAGAATCAGTTGTAATAAACTTTTCTACTCCATTCAATATTCAAACTCATTTGTTTTCTTTCAGCTGGCACTTCCAGGTCCAACTCTTTTTAAATCTAAGATTATAAATAAATGTTTATTTGCTTTGAATCATGTCTGTCTCATAGAACTTTTCGAACCCGTGTTAGCCTTTTTAGTGGTTGAAACTGGGTCAAATTCCTTGGGTGAAAGTCCGTAGGTGGCGTTGTTGGATTATCTTAGTGTAAAGGTCCTTACACACTGGGAACAATGCTAATATACGATGCGAAATTACGAAATATTGGGAGACGAATTATGACGCGCCTGACCATAAAGTGTGATGCGACTTTCTGGGGGGGAAGAAAGACACGTCCCGGGTGGAAGCAAGAAGACTGACACAACAGCAGACTGACTGTTTTTCAGTTCTGATTAGACACTAGTGTTTAGATGTCTGTCTGTCATGATAGCATGTACTGAGTCGGGGCCAGTACCAGATAAGCACATTAAACTATAATCCATAAACGTATAAGGTAACAACTGAGACCTAATGGTGCTGTGACAACAACACGATTGAGTTTGAGACAGTGAAAATACATATGGTATGTTGTATCTGAACAGGTTAGCTTACGAGCTAAAGTTACTTAGCACAGATGAAAGTTAAAACAAAGATGTTTAGCAAACTGTTAAAGCACACAAACCATCGTCATATGAGAAATCCGACGCTATGACTCTCCACAAGTTGTCCTTCAGGTCGTTATCTTTGTAATATTTGTGTTTTTTGTCAAAAAACACTCTGTTCTCCGACACGTAAACAATCAGCTGGTCGGCCATGTTGGATATACCGGTGAATCTGACGTCGCAACAACACGCAATCTGATTGGTCAGAAGTGGACACACAGTGGATGAAACTTTAGAAAAATCGACCGCGATATGAAAAAATAAATGCCGCAATATGGCAGGACGGGAAAACGTCGCTGATGTGAACGCTTGTATTGACGGGATATGGGCTTGAAAAAAATATTGACGTCCCAAATAATCGCACAAAAAAAACGCTCCCGGTATGTGAGGACTTTAAGTCTGAAATTGGCTCTTCTCCCTCACAGCCACACAGTGTAGGTTCGCAGTGTTTCGTCCACGGTGTGTCCACTTGGTGTTTAGTGGGTTCTGCGATAGGATCTCCCTGCAGAAATATTTTAATTAGAATGGTCCTAATACATACTTTTTAAAGTAGGAGCTATTTGTTTTAGTTTATGGACCTAACCTGTGGAAAATGAGTGTTGTAACTAATGGTGTTCCTCCTTCCTTTAGGTATTTAGCAGCTTTAAAGGGGACCTGCCACCAAAATTTCATACCCATTTTTATCATTTTTTCATAATCCTTGATGTCCTCTGATCATGTTTGCAACATAATTTTAGCTGAAAAGTTATTTGGTTTGTTTTAGTATGCCTAAAAAACCTTACAGGAAAACCAACTGATTTTGGCTCATTAACGTTTATGGTAATGAGCTTTGCTCTGATTGGATCGCTGCTGTGAAGCCTGCTGTGCTCTGATTGGCTCAGCAGTGGAGGTTCGGATTTCGGTTTATCCATTGTTATTATGCTAATGCCATTTTCCCGGCAGTGAACCCAAGGAAACACCGGTCGTTTGGAAGAGACCCATAGCGGCTACAGTGGTAGCTGGGTCTCGCTCTGGCTGTGAATGAGTACGAGAACGAGAGAGTGGGCACGGCTCTTCGAGGACGCGCTCGTGAATAATAATGAGCAAGGTCAGCGCAACGTCAGATTGACCTGCTTTTTCGATTGGCCTGGTTTACCCGTTCTTTATTTTAAACCTTTACAGAATGCAAACGACGTAACGGTTTGTTTTCACATTTACAACATAAGACGAACATAATATGGACCTTATCTGACACAAAAACACACAAAATTACATTTTTGATGGCAGGTCCCCTTTAAGTTTTTAAATTCTTCGATAGAGGGGTCTGAAAACTCCAAATATAGCAACAAGGCTGTAAGTTGGCAACACTGGCTGTGAGGTTATGATGTGAATATGTGTGAATAATGTGCTCCTATCCCTGATGTCCCTGGGTGATATATAGCCAAAAGAAAGTATATCATGTAGGTGAAAATTACAGGAAAATACGTGTTTTTGTGTTTTAAAGAGCTCTAGTGACTTCCATGTTGGTCTAAGATGAACACATATAGGCTTAAATGAAAGCCACAAGGGTCCCCTTTAAAATGATACCAAACAGTCTATTGTAAACCTTTGAGAAATGTCCCTGTCATGAGCCTTAACCAGATATACACCAGAGTAAGAAAATCAAATTTATCTTAAGGGGTGGTTCACTTCATGAGCTGCTAAACAACATTTAGCTAGGCACCTGGAAAGGTTATCATACAAAAATATAATCTACAGACATGAATCTTGTCAAAAATCATGATGAACCTTTGCCACCCTGAGGTGGACCAAATAGTGAAATTCTGGCCTCTGGCCCAAATCCTAAAATTGTAATGAACGCTGAAAGGGAGAGGAACAATGTCGTGGGAGAGATAAAAGTAAGTAAAAAAGTGAGTAAAAAAACACCCCAAATATGTTTAGAACAACAAATGAGTTGTTTTTATTGTTTTTTTTTTTTTTAAGTATTTCTTTTGTCTCCTATCTCTGTTTCTTGTAGGGTGTCTGTGGCAATGGGGACTCAGGGATGATCTGGTACACTTGGGGCAGGAGACTTTGGGGGTTAACAGATGCAGGGAAGGGGGTCTGTGCTGCTGGGAGCACAGCAAGTGGCTGAAGAGGATTTTGCCACATCCCTGTGTTTGGTCCCATCATCCCGAAGTACTGCAGAGGGGTTGCAGTATTTACACCCTCTTGGCCGGACGAGGGGTTGATCACATGAACCTGTGCAGTCTGGGCAGTGCCAAAAATGGGGGTCTGTGGCTCCTGCAGGACTGTCTCACATTGATATGGTTCAGTTGCAGCTGGTGCACTTTTCCTCATCCTTTTCTTTTTCTTGCCCTGAAAAACAACATAACATTGTTACTTTTCTGACCTGGTAACACCAGACTATGCAGTGTCAGTAGTATAAAGCTGCTTTTGAAATCTCACACACACATCACAACATTTGTGATGCTGCTGTGCATAGATTGTGTACTTACATAGTTGTTGATGGCTGACCAACCAGGGTACAGCCGACTGTGTTCTTCCTTTTTCACTCTGGCCATTTCTTTAAAGTCCCCTCGCTGTTCCTCTGTAAGCTCATTCCACTGTGAACAGACAAAAACATATTGTCAGAAACACACTCATTTCCAAACTGGATCATCCACTTGCGCATGAACAACACCTGGTGCACACCAGATACTCATTAGTGAGTGTACGACATTTCCTCTATGCAAACTTTCATACCTTTTAAAAGTTCTTTACACAAGACAGTGAATAAAAAGCAACATTAACAGTTACAGTGAAAAGATAAAGTAAAAATCTTTGATTTATTTAAACCAGAGTGAACCGTGTCCTGACACACTTACCCACTGGCCGAGGAAAGCGTTCATCTCTGCGCTCCCTTTCTCTGCAATTTCAGCTGGTACATGTTTTCTGTACATCCTCATGAAGATCATGAAGGCATTTGGTGGCTTTTTGATGTATCCGCTGTCCTCCTGCTCCATTTCCCTTTTTCTTTTCCTGTTGGTCAAAATCAGAGAGAAAGTTAATGTTGTTTCTCTATCAAACTTTTTTAATTGAATAAATGTTAAGGTATGCCTAATGTCATTTCCATTCTCTTTGCTTATTATCTTGATCGTTTATGAATAAAATAAAGTTTGAGTAATTTGAATCGATACTTACCTTGAGTTGGAGGCTGTGGGAAGAGAAACAGCGGGACTGGCACATGCAAGCTGATGGTCAAAGAGCTGAAGAGCATCTCCAACACTTGTGACCTCTGCAAACTGTCCAGCCCCACTGTTTGCTGGGTGAGGGGTGGTGTTAAACCCCAAACCAGCAGGGTATGTTGGGGATGGAGGTGGAGGTGAAAAGGAAGGCAGAGGGTCAGTGTACTGGATCTGTGTAGCACGGTGGTCTGCCTCATAGAGCATGTCATCTGTCAGCAGGTCACAATCTCTAGCCAGTGTCTTGAACACTGTGCGGGGACTGTCCAATGGGCTCTCTAGGCCAAAAAGCTTGAGTACTTCTTCAGATGTGAACTCCAGAGCCTCTTCATCAGAACTTTCTGCTGAATGAGGGGGGGTGTTTAACCCCAAACCAGCAGGGTGTGTTGGTGATGAAGGTAGAGGTGAAAGGGAAGGCAGAGGATCAGTGGTCTGGCTCTGCGTTGTAAGGTGGTTTGCCTCAGAGAGCATATTGTCACACAGTGTCTTGAACACTGTGTGGGGACTGTCCAATGGGCTCTGTAGATCCAGCTTGAGTAGATCTTCAAATGTGAACTCCTCAAAATCTCCATTGGAACCTTCTGCTGCGTGAGGGGGGGTGTTAAACCCAAAACCAGCAGGGTACGTTGGTGATGGAGTTGTCATGATTGAAGAAAACTGCTCTTCTTCTCGATAACTTTGCTGACTCGGCTGAAATATTCTTCAGATTTTGTCACTCTTGCTCGCTCACTAGACTTTGGCTATACTGCTTCGGTCTGGAGGTGAAGAGACTTCTGTTTGAGTCCATGGCTAACCTCTGATGTCATCAGTCATGCTCGATGACATCACCGTTTTCAATTTTAAAAAATGCAGTGCAGGGGGACACTCCATTCCATTTTTAAAAAAATGCCAATCAACCTGATCTCAGTCAAAATGCAGTAAATCTTTTCTATACAGTTTTGATTGGGTGCATAGGTGGTCTCTAAAGCAATGGTTGCATCTTGATGTTGTTGTGTTGCTTGCGTGTTTTAACACCTTTGAATGCAGTGACACCTGCATGTGTCCACTAACAGTGGTTTTGCAGCTTTTGGGCCTCATTTTTAGGTCACCACAGACCACAGACTCTGAAGAAGACGATTGATAGCTGTCCACCTTAGAAATGCAGAGACGTTTCTCTGCTTTTATAGTGGATATCTGTAACTCATCTTCTTCACAGTCCATGCC